GAAGAGAGAGAGAGAGAGAGAGAGAGAGAGGGAGTGGTGTGTGTGAGGTGAGGGAAAATTTGAGAAACAAGCGTCTCATCAATTTGGATCCAAGTTTGGCTGGGGTATCCATGCCTCAAACGGCCTGCAGGGGTACGGCGGCCGAGCGGAGGCGGCTTCCACAGCCCACTTCTTTTTGGAGAAAGGCTGTCTCGAATGTGAAGCAAAAATAAAAATAAAAATAAAAATAAAAATAAAAATAAAAATAAAATGGGAGGTAAAAATAAAATACAAATAAAATATGGAATTCATTCGGGTTGTTCCTGCATGACGAGACCGTTTCCAAAGGAGGATGTATTGTATGTATGTACATGTTTATTTGGCTTGATAGATTTAGTCTTCAATTAATTATGCTCCGTCTGCTCATGAAGCAAAAGTTATAATAATAATAATAATAATAATAATAATAATAATAATAATAATAAAGGGGGGGAGAGGCTATTAATATATTACCAGCATACTACGGAAGACGGTTCGTTCTGTCCAGACAGACAGACAAAGACAGACAGACAGACAGACAGACGGATGCAATGTCGTAGTAGTAAACTGACGAGAGATGTGCAGGGGCAGTTTGGCGAATTCGAGGCTGCAGCGCCCCCTTTTTTTGCACCCTCAGCATGCATGCATACACAGTGCATCGTGCATACATACATACATACATAGCACAGTAGTATTCTGTCAGTCAGTAAGTAAGTACTTACATACTATGTAAAGCACACAGCCCGTGTCTGTAATTTCCCGGTGGTGGAAAAGTCACCCACCCTTCCTTCGATTAATTAAAATTGCGCTCCCAGAAGGATGGCAATTTAGTGTGGTTCCCCTTGGTCTCGGTCCTGTTCCTGGCAAGTCTTCCCATGCTGGCTTGCTCACTCTAACAACAGAAGCTTAGTGTCCTCTCTTTGATATCCATTTCTGGGACATTTGCTTTGTTAATAACATTAGTCGTACTATTCATTTTGGAAAAAAGAAAAAAGAAAAAAAAAAAGGTGGGAAAAGGGTTCTTTTCGATAGTACGGAGTACTTACCTGCATACATTCCTCCCTCTCTCTCTCTCTCTCCTTCTCTCTCTCTTCTCGCCTCGCCTCCTTATGTACCCGCCATTTCCCTCCTTACTCTGATATCGCGATCTTCTTCCATAGACCGTAGGTAATCGGTGTTGGTCAGTTCTTTATTGTAAGGTAAGCCGAAGTCCCTTCTTGTTCAAAGCAGCTTGTGCCCCCCTTGCGTATGTTCGACCTCCTTTGGTATACCGGATCGTTATCACTTTCTTTTGGCTTCGACATTCTTAAGACCATGGGCGATTACGACGACCGCTTTGACGATTCGACTTCCAACAACACACAGTTTTTCCTGGGAACAATATCGGTTAGTTAAAAGGGATGGAAGGAACAATAAGTGTATACATATACTAGTCTTGATACATACCTGACTCGGTTCTGTGTATAAGATGATATATCAAGGAAAGTAGGAGGGAGAGAAAAGAAGGAAAAGAAGAGAAGGAGACATCGAATACCCATTCCGATATTTCTATACCAACATCATATCATTCATCATCGACATCAAAATCAACATCATCGACACCAACTAGTATCAATACCAATACCAATACCAATACCAATATCAATATCAATATCAATATCAAACTGGATATCGATATTCTATAACTATAACTATACCAACATCAACATGAACATCGACCACCACGGCGCCGGTTCCGTTCTCTGGGTTTGATGTCACCTCGCACCCGATATCCGTGATATCATGCATCTACAATACCGCCGGATGGTCCAACCGCTCTGCCAATTGATATGACTGACTGAATGAATAAATAAATCAATGAATGAACTGAAGCTTACTTGACTTTTTGACCCCCCCTCGAAATAGATCTCGGCTGGGAAATCCATCCTCCCTGCTCCAATTCGATCCAACGGACCCCCTCCCGTTTTCTCACTGTCTATGAACATATCCATCGTCGCTCTTTTATAGAATCCCTAGATTCTAACTTTATATTCATCGTCATTCATTCATTTGTCTATTTTATTGGCAATCAATCAGCTTTATTTTATTTTATTTCATTCTGGTGAAGACTGTTGTCCTTCACCGTCCACTCATTTGAAATCCCATCCAAGTCAAAAGTCGGTACTGTACTTCTTCTAGATCTCTTTCAACACTGCCCACTCATCTCCATCTTACCTCCCACATAACCATCACCACCCCTCCTTGTCTGGCAATCGCAATCGCAATCGTAATCGAAGTCGTTCATGTCGCTAACACCCGGTCGGTCCAGTTTGAATACCATACCTTAGATACTCTCATTCTTCTGATAACCAAGGTTCTGGTATGTAAAACCGTCATTCTCCAAGGTCGCTCGTAAGGGGGGGGGGCCATATCTCTAACCGGTTTCTCCTGCAGTTGATATCGGAACTATCTTGATTCTACTCATTAATCTTTGTACCCGACCAATCCTGAGTTTCATGTCCTAACCTATTCCAAAGATTCAAAACGAGTAAGTTCCTGTTCATCTTCCTGTTCCTGGCTCAATCGGTCAAATTCCTTTGCCTATTCGAGCATGTCATCACGACAGGGGCATGCTGACCTAGCTATTCTTCCTACAGCCTCTCCTAAATCAAGATGAAGCCACCCAGTACCACGTTCCTAGTCTGCCTCTTCCCCATTCTGGCACCCACTCTTGCCTTCGCTCATGCTCGCCCCCATCCCCACCCCCACGCACGCGCTGCAGGAGGCCATCCAAACCTGGGCGATGTTGAGAAATTGAAGTTGAAGCGCCAGCTTCCTGTCCTCAATGATACAATTATTCCTATTGAATCCGAGACAACTACCTCCACGACGTTGTCTACCACGTCACCGCCACCAACGACAACTTCCAAATCCTCAACCATCAACCTTGATGATATTCTTTCATCGATTGAGTCGGATGTCCTTGGCGGAGGAGATACTGTCTCCACGACAAGCTCTGAACCCGCTGTTACTTCCTCCGTAGAGACTACCACCACCAGTAGAGAAACATCGACAAGCAGGCCACCCACAACATCGCAACAAGACAATGGATCTTCCTCGTCGTTGTCGTCATCGTCGTCGCTTTCTTCCTCTGCCTCTGCCTCCGTTCCCTCCTCCTCCTCCTCTGCGTCTTCCTCAGCCGAACCCGAATCCGAGACGACACCGAGCACAGATCTTACTTTGCCAACCTCGATTCCAAGCGGAACAGCCACTTCTGGCGTTACCACTGGTCTTAACACGCCCAGTCTTACTGTCCAGCCCCCAATTCCCGTTGAGACTACCTCGGAAACCTCCTCGGAGGCTGATACGACAACGTCTGTTGTTTCTTCTTCGTCGACTCGCTCCCAAATTCCTATTATTGAGACTCTATCGGATATTCTTTCAACGCTCTTGAGGCCGGATCCAACCACAACATCTTCTAGCACCCAGCAGAGAACTACCAGTGAGGTGGATCCATCCGCTACATCTGCTGGTACTAGAGAAACGTCAGAAATAAGTTCGGAACAAACCTCTAGTACTCGGGAGACTACCACGACCGCCGAGCCAACTACCACTACTGCTCCGGAGTCAACCACTGAGGCGCCCTCATCTACCAAGACTGGCTTGGATGATATCCTTTCTAGTATCCTATCTGGAATCGTTTCCGATGTCACCTCATCTATTGATCTTCCTACCACTCTGCCTCCAAATGCGACAGATGTGGTCCCAACCAGTGTCCCAGATGTCACTAGCGTCATAACAGATATCCCGACTACCACTGACGATTCAACATCTGATCCCACAGATGAGCCGACAACTGAACCGACAACTGAACCCACCGGTGTACCAACCAGCGAACCGACCAGTGAACCAACCAGTGAACCAACCAGTGAACCGACCAGTGAACCGACCAGCGAGCCTCCAGTTGACACAACCACAGTGGACACTAGTACTCCTACGACGGAACCGCCAGTACAGACGACACCCCCTCCCACAGATACTAGTGTGATCCCTTCCACTGATGTCCCAACAAATTCAACCAGCGACCCGACAACCGTGATCACAGACCTCCCACAAACTACTTCTTCGACGGATCTCCCTTCCTCAGATATCACGACCACTGACGGGGTTCCTTCCACTACCGATGTACCTGTTCCGACAAGCGCTCCTGGAAACTCAACTGTGATCCCGTCAGAAACTTCAGTAACGTCCGGGGTTATAGAAACTTCCCAAAGCCTAGAACCAACTGTCACGAGTATTGACCCATCTTCCGTTGTGTCATCGATCTCTGTGACTGAAACCCCGCCTACCGTGACGTCCGAAACCCAGCTTCCCCCACCCGACCTCGATACCTCGTCTCTATGGTTTGGAACCAGCCTTGTGACTCAAGGCACTCCAACTGCATCTGATGAGAGCTCCATTGTCGCTACTCCGACTAGTCTTCCTAGTGGCGTGCCCGAAGCGATCACACCACCCGGAGGTGTTCCAGAGGAACCCGACAATTCAACTCTCATTCAGATCGGATTTACCCGCGAGTACAATTACGCGTTTGTCTCTGGTTCTCTCCAATCTGCCGCCCAGATCTGCGACTTTCTTCCGAAGGGTCTTGCTGATGGACTCGGCGTTTCAAGGGATCAGATCCGCATGCATACCCTTCAGCCTCTCCAGCCTGATGGGGTTGATTATATTGTAACCCTTGGGTTGCTTTACATCCCGCTTATTCTTGTGGATAAACTTAGGGTTGATATGCATGTCCCGCTATCTAAACTCTACAACAACAGGAACCCGACGATCAAAGCATTTATGAACACTATTGATCCCTCGATCCCGTTGTTTCCAGGTCAGGATATTGCGCTTTTGCCACCAAGCAATACCGGCGGCTCGGGAGGCGGTGGTTCGAACGATCCATCCTGGGTCAAGGATGGTGACAACATCGTGGATGGCAGCCAAGCCACCAGCACCGCGGGCACAGATCAGGTCGACGGTGCAGACCCATACAGTGCCAAGAGTAGCGTTCAAGATAAAACCACACCGAAGACGGTAACAATCGGTATTGCTTCGGTCGGCGCAGCTGCTCTTTACGGTGTCGCCATGTATTTCCTTGCTAAACGATATCGACGAAATCGTTTGAGCCATCGCCGATCCCAGTCTCTTGCAGGCGGTGGAATTGAACCACCACCGATGTCAGATATGCGATCCTCCGGGGCCCTATCGCCGATGATGAGCACTCACTTCTTCAACAATGGCAGAACCACCCCCACCACTCCCGTCGGAAGCGACAAGCGCGGCAGCAAGGGCAGCAAGACCAGCGCGCGAGGTCAGATTTCAGCCCCAATGATGTCGGAAAATTCGTTGGGCTGGGACTGAAATGATTGTATTTCACGACCGCAACGTCACTAGCCAAACCAGCGTTTGTTCAACCTTAATCTCTCCGTTATGACGACCCGGCGAAGTTCTTTCCTAATCCATAGAATCTGGTTTTCTCAATCTACTTGTTCCCGGTAGCGAGTGACACCGATTTTGTTCTGTATTTCCTTTGTGATCCTTTTTAATCTTCTCTGTTTCTATTTATTCTCCTTTTTTTTTTTTTTTTTTTTTCCCTCACTTTTTTCTTTTTTTTCAGTTCTCTCTCTCACTTTTTTTCATTTCTTTCTCCTGGCAATGTACTTCATACCCTTATACATTTCGTCGAGTAGCGTCAGCTTCGGAGCCCGTTGTTCCTTATTAATACATTTTCTTTGTTGTCTTCTTGCATTGTCCTTATTTATTAATGTCTCTTCAGCTCCTTTCGGTGATACCGTGGAAGTCAGTATGAGCGACAGCCTGTGCAGTGCAAAACTATCGGTCTCAGGCAGATACTTTTGTGTGATTTTGTTGAGCAAGCGGGAATATAAAAAAAACTGGAGCCTGTGGAGCCTGAGGATGGTGTTCAAAGGAAAGGAGGCAATGGAGGGGAGAGTTGTAAGATAGTTGGAATGAAAAGGATATTTTCCCTTGCAATGAAAGATCTCTTGAAATTACGTTGAATATCTAATATAACTTCCACGTGGGGGAAACAACCTCGTCCTCACCGAGTTAAGATTCGTGGTTACATACATCCAGAGGCCGCAATGTTGATTCCGAGGAGACCATTGAATTCTCCCATTGAGCATTTTATTTTCCTTGTTTTCCCAAGATTTACATACAATATATGTTGGACACATGAAGTAAGGAAACGTATCTATTTGATTCCCAAAAGCTCGACATCGCTGTGAGGGGATATATTAGCATCGCGGAGAGATAGAACTCTGCTCTGGTTGGACTTACAAGATCAAAGTCGCGTTTGGTGGGATAACCCTGCCAGCACCACTATATATATAATATAGATATGTTAAACCATAAACTATTCGGCGCTTGTTTTGAAAGATAGCAGATAACCTACCGAGCACCGTACCCGTAATCGGGAGTGATGGTCAAGGTTGCTTTCTCTCCAACCCTCATGGTAGGAACGGCCTCATCCCAACCTATGGATATTTAATTGACAATCAACATCAATAATCAGAAACGGGGGGGGGAGGAAATACGAATGCGATATAATTCATACCTTTGATGACTCGGCCAACTCCAATAGCGGTCTCGAATGGAGAGCCACGGTCAACAGAAGAGTCGAACCTTGGGGGAAGCATCTTATTAGCCCGGATATGAAACACGGCTGATCTTACGAAGGGCAATTTACTTGGTTCCATCTGTGAGTTTTCCAGTGTAATGCATGATGACTGTCTGGCCTGGTTGTGGCTGTGCGCCAGTTCCTTCCGTGGTAGTGACCTTAGTAACACCCATTGCTCTGCTTGATGTATGAAATCTTCGAGACAGCTGGAGCGAGGCTCTCGAGAATTGTCTGAGGGCCGTCAGTTTGAAGGATTTAAAAATGTAATTTGGGGTTTTGTCGGGGGTGGTGAAGTTAACCGATGAATTGTAGGAGGTTTGAGAAAACAAATCGAAAGAATCCGAAAAAAACTAAGAATCTACCGATGTTTTATAGCCCGTCGAATAGGTGCCTTCTAAGCTAACACGAGTTCAATTCCCGAAAACCCCGCCGTTGACGTGGGGCAGGATCATACCCCGCGAGCTAAGAACCCCTGGAAGTTCCGGATTTGGCTAACCATACGAGCGTAGTATATTTGCTTTCGACTTGTTGTCGACGTCAAACTTTCAGTTATATATATATCAGTAGGTACATATACGAACATTAATATTGGAAACAATCCCGTGCCAAAGGTTTTAAATTTGGCCTAGAGCTAATGCCCGGGTTAATAATCTACCTAGGTATTCATAGGATATGTATCGAATTATGGCTCTCTACGTCTCTCTATATTTCTATTGTTATTGATATCATGCCTCTGTGAGATCAATCCCCACCGTCTTTAATGCATCTACTGCCCAGATCGGATACTCCGCTGTATCATATTTGTAAATCTTGCCAAAAAACTCCTTGACGAAACTTGGATAAGCATCTGCAATGATGGCCTGACGCGCATTTCGCATCAAGTCTAGTAGATAGTAGACATTATGCATTGTGAGGCTAACGATGCTGTTAGTACCATAGTATTCCCGACTGGAAACGGGTTCAAAGATAGGAGGGCTTACATATGGGCTCCCGCTGTTTCCTTGCCTGTCAGGTGGTGTATATATGCCTTGGTCACACCTAGTCCTCCATTTTCTTTTGAACGGCAGCACGGGCAATCACAATCTTCGTCGACAGGTGAAAAGTCTGCCGCATATGAAGCGTGCCTCAAATTCAAGGTACCCCTCGAGGTAACTGCATTTCCAAAGCGAGCGGTTCTGGTCGGCCATACGCAATCAAACATATCGGCGCCCAAAGCAACCGAAACGACCAAGTCTTCCGGGTAACCCTATATAATTGTCAGTTAAGGCGATTCGACGGCCAATTAGCATGGTATACATGCATACCACTCCCATTACATATCTGGGTTTCATATCAGGCAGCATTTCTGTACATGTTCTCACGCTGGATGCTCGGGGTTAGTATTTCAGTTCCACATAAGATATATCAAGTTGGAATCACTTACACAGCGCAGTACTTGGCCTTTTCTTCTCCGCCACTTAGACCACCGATAGCAATACCAGGAGTGTCCCTTTTGACCATCTCCTTTACGCATTCTCTTCGCAGCTCAAGGTCAAGACCACCTTGTATGATACAAAAGAGGTTCTGTTTTTCTGGATACTTGTGTGCCTCGATACATCTGTCTAGCCACCTCACAGATCTGTGCATTGCTTCTACTATTCGCTCCTTGTCGGGGGACGTTGTTGCAATTACATCATCCAACTGCATCATGATATCCGACCCGATGCTGTTCTGTAGCGACATCGAGTGCTCCGGAGTGAGAAGCCTAGGGAGATATCAGTATAATGACAAAACTGCCCGCCAAAGACGGTTTTCTGAGCCTTACATGGGACTGCCATCGTGTGGGCTTAAGAATCTTACTCCTTCCTCGGTTATTTTGGCCAGTTTCAACAGCGATACCATTTGGAATCTGCCACGATTCCATCAGTACCAGATAACTATTTTGGTTCTTTATGGCGATAGAAAATTGACCAACCCACCGCTATCTGGCATTGTGTGTCAATGGGTCAGTGCCTCGGCAATAGGTTATCATGAGGTATCTATATTTGCCCATACCTGTCAAAATATTGTGATTCCAGGATTGTAGGCGATGAGCCCCACCGACGGCATCGAGAGTAGCCTGTCCTGGCTTGAGGCCCCTACGAAATTATGATACGACTACTTAGGACATCATATATTTTAAGACTTTGATTGAAACGGGGAACATACAAGTGGTAGGTATTATTTAGACATAGACGACACCCGAGAGATTCTAGCTGTTCGGGAGTGAGGCCCTTTAGACTAGCCTGTGTTGCTACGGGCATAAACATTGGCAGCTCAACAGGTCCATGCGGCAGGGTCATGGTGGACGCCCGGGCTCTGGATACCTGATAACCACGTTAACAATATTATTACAATTCGATCTAAAAAAAAAGTCGTACCGAGCATTTTGCTATGAGATCGAAACTAAGGGCGGCCTTCTGTTGTGCCATTTTGAGCATCTATGTGTCACTTCTTGGTTGATGATCGGTGAGTTTTTTTGTAAAGTCTAGATCCGCTGAGGATTCGTTCCTATTCGGCCAAAGAGTTTGTTTATAATTAGTTGAGGTTACAATTAACGTTTTTGGCAGTCATGATCACGGTACAAGAGAGATGTGATAGATTCACAAGCCAGTCAGAATATTATGAGATCGGTGATATCAAAGGGACTAATATAATAGCCTCTCATCCTCTTCCTATCATTAAATTCTTTGTAGATATCATCATAAAAGGCGCGGATGCATATGCATATACAGCAGTATACAGGGCATATGGGCGGATGTAGAGATTTCGAGGGAAATAGTCGATTTCGACAAGAATGAACTTACCCGTCAAGAGAACGTTTTTTTGCGAAAGATATAAGAAAAGGCAATTGGCAAACGATGCTGGTCCTGCAGTATCCTCACCGTCATGCGTCCTGCATCATGGTCACCAGCAGGCGGTAATGTCAGGTCAATGCAAATCCTTCAGGCGGCGAGTTTGGATGTGTTGAGGTGTCGTCTCGGAATGATTACATAATCAAGAGGGCAAAGAACCCTATGGCGCTGGAAACGGCAATTTTCAATGTCAAACTCATTTTTTTCTCAACCACCACCAAAGACGCTAACCGACCAATCTTCAAGTCTCTTTTAGTCTATCTGCATCTTCATATTATCACCACCATTGCAACCACCGATACCGACACCTACACCTACCTCTCCCCTAATCCAACAATACCGCAATCATGGGTCGTGTCCGTACGAAAACCGTCAAGAAGTCCGCCAAGGTCATCATTGAGCGATACTATCCAAAACTCACCCTCGACTTCGAGACCAACAAGAGAATTTGCGATGAAATCGCAATCATTGCTTCTAAGAGATTACGAAACAAGGTTCGATACCTCCGACTGGATTATTTGGGATTGAAGTTTTCCTTGAGATACTGGAGTGGTGGCGATGGTTGATAGATATGACGGGGAATTTAAGAGACAGAGAACCAGGTGCTAACCGGGTGATGTGGGGACTTTTAGATTGCCGGCTTCACCACACATCTGATGAAGCGTATCCAGAGAGGGCCTGTCCGTGGTATCTCCTTCAAGCTGCAGGAAGAGGAACGTGAAAGGAAGGATCAATACGTTCCAGAGGTTTCGGCACTCGACTTCAGCCAGACCGACAATGGCCAGTTGGATGTTGATGCTGATACTAAGGATCTGTTGAAGACCTTGGGCGTAAGTCGGAACACTTGAGCTGGGGGCTTCTTCAAATAGCAATAACTAATGCATCTTCCTCCCTTAGTACGATGACAACTCCCGAATCAACGTCATCAGTGTCACCCAGCAACAGCAGGATAACAGGCCATTCAGAGGCAACAGGGGCCCACGCAATCACTAGATTGCTTGTTTGTTTCTTTTGTTTCCTTGGGTTTCCGCTGTCCCTATATTACGCCGAATTCGAATTTTTATTCCCACATTTCCTACCCTTCACGATCCATGATTTGAGGCAATGGGTGTTCATCAGGTTCTTCATGGGCATGTTTCTTCTTTCTTATTTCAGTGTTCATAATATATTTTTTCCTTCGTCGCCCATACACAGCCTCAACTGTATTAAAAGAACCACAATAAGAACCACCTGTTGGCTATGGGGTGGTAGAAACACCATGAAAATTCGAGGAACAGAAACAACTCTCTTCCAGTAGAGAGGCTAATCTAGATTTGGTTGGGCTAAAACAGGTCCCCAAGGACCTGATAAGATTACACCGATACATATCTTACAATAAATTCGCTATGTAGCATGGCTGAGTGCTCAGCATTGAACCGAAAAAGAGACAAAAAAAGAACAGCAAAGGCGTTTAAGTCCTTGAACTACAAGAGAATCAGGTCGCCCTGATTATTCTGAGCAAAGTTGGTTTGCGGGCGATTGACTTGTCCTAGAAACGGAAATTAGCTGCTAAATATTATAACGACCTATCTCTGAGAGTTCACCTACCATAGTTGTTTTCAATGAGATCCGATGGACTCTGCATTACCCCAGAAAACGGATTGCTATTAACTACGCCGCCTCCGATGCCCATGTTTCCTGGCGGAACCGAGGCGAAGTAATCGTCTGCAGAATCAACTGCTGCTGCGACATCGCTTTCGTGAGCAGTTTCTGCCTTCGGTTGAGGCGATGCGACTTGCCTAGATATCATCGCTTGCATCTCGGCCATTGCTTGAACAGTAGGCAGCAAGTGCTTCTGGAGAGCTGGCGAGTCCTCAAGTTTCCTGGGGCGAGCGACTCGGAACACTTGGTTCACGGGCTTGAGATAAACCGTTGCGAGCGTACCTACATTCAAGCACATTTCTTCCAAAGTTGCTGGATCAAGCTTCTCGGTTTCGGCAGAAATTGGTGGCTTCTCCCCCATTACCACGGCCCTTGCCGCCGCAGGATCCGCTGATAACAGCCGCCAATACATGTAGCCTCTATCCCGGAGATCTGGGTTATCGGTATCCTCCGTGGCCCATTTTAAGACCTTTGGGACGAGGTCCTGGCCCTTGGTTGGTCGTTGTATAAATAATTTTACCGTAGCCGTAAGCAGGGCTAACTGAACCTCGACCGGTTCGTCCGCCCAGCCATATAAGAAGTCGTCTAATAAAACATCGCTATTCTCGATTCTGTCGGCGTACTGTCCGATAACCCAGATCATCGCGGCTTTTGCTTCCGGTTCATCCAGCGAATCCAAATTTTCGCATAACGTCGAAATGATAGATTCGTATTGGTTAGGGTATTTCCGAAAGATATTCCGGATTACAACTGTAGCCTCTTGCACTATATAGGAAACTTTGGTCGAAACGAGCTCTAATAATGTCCTTATACATTCACGAGCTGCTGGCTCAATTTTTATGGCAAGTTTCCCAATAGCGCGAACGGATTTCCGGACAAAGTGAACATCAATTTCTGTGGCATATCTAGTCAGGGGGGGAGAAGGGAAAAAAGTTAGCGCGGTCAAGCTACCAGATGTGCGGTAGGAATGAAGATGGTCCCTTACTCTCTTAGTTCTGTTAATACTTCCCGGATGTTTTCCTCGTTTGCCAGCATGAATATCAATTCGAGCTTTGTCACCTTAACATATATCGGGTCATTGTATTTGCAAAAAAACACCCTGATATCGTTCCTTAGTACCTCTGGACGTCGCTGCAAGATTAGAAGAGCATTTCTTAAAGCAAGATATTGCACCTCCGGGCCCTTGGCAAGTAGTGTGACTAGCGGTGGCGAAAGCTTCCTACATAATGCTGATATCTCCTGAGGAGATGCAATGTAGTTCATTAAGTATAATATGACTCTGATGCAAGTCAAAACAACAGCACTGTTGGAATGCTGCAAGCGAGGGCATATGCGCTCCGCCATTATAGAGGCTTCTGAGGTTTCCTGTGGTACATAAGACATCAGAGCCTCTAAGATGTATGTTTGACCCCATCTAAAAGATGTTAATAAAAGGCATATGGTCCATTGGATGCTTATGGGCCTTACTCAGAGCAATCTGGCAAAATCTGGATGAACTTTCCGGCATTTGCTTTATCGATAACCAATTTGATGCCACCGCTCCCACCATCTCTTTCCCAGATATCTAACAGAGCAGCCAATGCGCTTGTAACCACGGTTGGATTGTCGTCTTGGAGTAACCCATTAAGTTTGTCAATAAGATCACTTCCTTCGACCAAGTCCCTATCGTGATCGTAGAGTTTTGCGACACAGAAAGCGGCGGTTTTACGGACGTATGGGTCTGGATCTCTAAGCCGAATCCGTAACGGTCCAACAGTAGCTTCGACGAACTGACGAACGTGTATGTATGAAAGAGTACGAAGCGCCAAGGCCCTTACTAGGGGATTGCTATCCTCAATATCGGAGAGAAGGATCGGTAGGCCTTGGAGTGCAAGCTCTGGTTTCATTCGTCCATAGTTGACGAGAAAGAGGAAACACCTGAATTATTATAGGGACACGGTGTTAGAAGCCGAAATCATGAGCCGTAATTATAAGTGGGGAGTCTGTAGATGCCTGTGTACCGTACATCTTCTTGATCTCGAGCTGCGGTATCTGCATGCATTGTACAACATCCGGGAACAGACCAGCCATATCATTATTCGACATGGTCATGTTGGCCACGATTTTCTTGAGGGCGATCTTCTTTCGAACATGGTTTTTGTCTTTCTTGTCGGAATTGAGCTCAATCCGAAGTTCAGCAACTTTGCCCTATTTTCCAGTTAGCAGAGACACAAGAGAGGCCGAAATTTGAAGTAACTATGTGATGGCCATATACCCTAGCAAAGAACTTTGCATCTCCTCCGCCACTCATTTTGGGAGTTTTAGTTTGAGATTACGCCTTCCTGCGCAGCTGATGACAGCACGCACTTGCAGTTGTCGCTATATCCTTCCTGGTCCAGGGGCTGTATGGTTTCCAGTTGCAGAGGACGCAGGCCAGCCGTAAGAGCAAGCTTCAGTCGGGATCAAGCTGCGGTGTTGGTCGCAGTCATCCTGGGAGGCCAAAAAGAACGGGAAACGAGCGCGTATGCAGGGCGTTTTATATTCTTGCTGAGAGATTGTTCGAGTGATTTGGGTAGAGGCTTGGTCGGGTTGAGGTCTTCATGATATGATTGGGAGGTGAACAAGGGGCCCAGCCAATAACGCGCACTGATTCGGCAGCAGCCTGTAATTAACGGCGGTCATCCCCACATCACCAAAATCCTCACCACAGCCGTTTACAGCTGCACAAACTACCTAAAGTATCTTCAGCAAACGACCGACAGACAAGACCACCAACCGAAAGCATATTGACTCACGATGGCCCTCTCACAGCCAGCCTGGGTTATTGACCTCAAGACTTCTCCCAGCAGCCGACCAAAGGCCCCTTCAAATGTCGCGGACCCTCCTGGCTATTCCACCAGTGGCTCGTCAAAGGTAGCACGGCAATCTCGACGGTCTATCTCGAGCCATCGCTGACATTCCCATCTCAATGATTACAGAAATCACAAAAGCAAATAACACCACCGACCCAAGCTGAAACCGATGATTTGAAAATCAAGAAGGCCTGGGAGGTGGCACTCGCCCCGGCAAAGTCTCTACCCATGAACATGATCATGATGTACATGTCCGGAAATACGCTCCAGATCTTTTCCATCATGATGACGGCAATGCTGTTCATGAATCCTCTCAGGGCCCTTTCAAGTGTCGGGAATACTTTCTCCAAATTTGACGGGGAAGCGACACACGGCCGGTTGCTGACGGTCAAGTTGGCATACATCGGGTTACAAATATTGACTATTGTTATTGGGATATGGAAGGTGAACGCAATGGGCCTTCTACCGTAAGTATCTCCTCATTGCTACCTGCCTACTTACTTGGGCGTTTACACCCACTTTATGCTCACGCCCGCTGACGCTGTGCTCATAGGACTACTCGTTCTGACTGGCTTGCATGGGAACATGCACCAGTACCTTTAGAAACATCGATTTCCAATTTCCGCTGATTTTATGATACCAGAGGATAGGAATACTTTTGAATGTATCTCAGCCTATATGTATGTAGCGGACCAGCCATGGTTTAACCACGTCACCAAATTAGAGGATGTGATTGAGGGTTGATTACGTAATCCAAAAACGTTCTTGGTGAACGTGAGATAGGCAACATTCGACATGATGTCAACGAATATATATATTACTTTGAATAAACATGCACTTAGACCTTCTGAACATCTTCAATAAATTTCGGCTCTTGCTTTAATTCAAAATTTTATGAATCGTTTATTTGGTTGACCATATCGCTAATCTCAGGATGCCTCCAAAACGTCAGAAGAGGGTTGGCGAACCCCTAGCTTCGGATACGCCACAACCACCCCCTTCAGATAACGAGCATGTCAAAAAACGGCGGAGAATAGAAAGAGGGTTTCGCAGAGCAGTTGGAAAACATGTTTCCGACGATGGGAGTGACGAGGATACAGATAGTGACACTGATTCAAGCCTATCGGATGATAGTTCTTCGGATTCTAAGAACCCACAAACGAAACTGAAAGATGAGAGCGGTTCTTACAGTGGGGATCGAGGGCGAGGACAAAAGCAAGAACAAGAACAAGAACAGCAGAATGAGAGCGACGATGATGACGACGACGACGACGACGACGACGACGAGGTTTGGGAAATTCTCCTAGATGAAACAAAATCCGTCGACAGGAAACCCGCCCCTATAAAACCGAGCGAGAACCTTGGAGATGGAGACTTAACACTAACACTCGATATAAGTAATAGTTCCTCTTTGCCGATGTGAGATATTCCCATATTTCTTAAGGTCTCTTCGTCTCCAATATTCTAACAAAGCTTTTCTAGGAAAAAGAAAGGTGTTTCTTCCCGGGAGCGTCGAGAGCGCCTCTATACACACATTGTACATGTTATCTGTCTAATGTATCATGGGCATAGACGCAATGTTTGGCTTAATGATAAAGAGCTCTGGGAGATAATTCTGAAATGCATGGAAGGTACCGGGGCGAAAAAAAGTGTCGAAGTGTACCTCGACTTTGTTAATCCTGGGAAGCTACCTCCCGATTCTCCTAAATATACCACAAAAAAGAGTGGGAGAAAGGGGAGGGGGAGGGGGAGGGGGAAGGGGAAGGAGAAGCCTAAGACGGCAGATCTTCCGCGGTTAGAGCCGCTAGAAAGACCTTCTCTGCCGCCGTGCAGCTTTGATACTAAACTAGTAGAAATATTGGGACTTCTTATGCGTTTATGGAAAAGAAAGTTTCATATTGATGCCCCAGGGTTACGTAAAAGAGGCTACTCCGAAAACATTACGGGGGCAATATCTGCAGATAAAGAAAACCAGACTGAAAGAATTCAAGGACTCGATGATTTTCGACAAAGGGCCAAAGATCTTCGCGGATCTCGGGACACTGGAGCTCAACTTTTTACAGCACTCCTCCGGGCTCTTGGATTCGAATCAAGACTCGTATTCAGTATTTGTCCGCTTGGGTATGGTTTTTCGAAAAGTGAGATGCGCGAGGACGATAGTACAGGGCGTTCAAGGGAAAGCGCGTCAAGCGTCGAATCAAGTGGAGAAAGTTCGGATTATGGTTCCAATTCTGATAATAACCTTTCAAAACAGAAACAGTCGTCTTCTAGGCAAAGGAGCATGGGTAATGCAAAGGCATACGATAAAGATCTCAAGTTTCCAACATTTTGGTCCGAGGTTTATTCCCCAATAACAGAACAGTGGATAGCGATTGACCCGCTTGTTACCGGTTTAATCCTAAGCAAAGATGATATGTCCAGGCTCGAGCCTAAAGGACGAATAGCTTCAAAATCCAAACAGCAAATTTCATACGTCATTGCTTATAGCGCTGACAAGTCGGCTCGAGATGTCACAATACGTTATTTGAGTGGGATGGTGTTCCCCGGGAAAACCAAAGGTTTCCGGATGCCCATATTTGGGAGGGAAGTGCTTAGCAATCAGGGAGATCTCCTAATGATGGAAGAATTCGACCTTTTCTCGGAGAGAATTCTGAAGTGTTTCCAACCTTGCGGTCTGGCTAAGACGGCAAGAAGCCTCAAAGAGGACCAGGACTTATTACCCAAGGCCTCTACGGAATTGTTGAATCCATTTAAAGGGGATTTCCCCAAGAGCATCGCTGCATATAAAAACCATCTCAAGTATGTGCTTGAACGGCACTTGAAACGAGAGGATTGTATCTTGCCAGGAGAGCTACCAGTACATACGTTGGCTACTGGCAAAGCAAGCGCGATCAAGGAGGAGAAAGTATATTCCAGGCAGTCTATAATTGTCGGCAAGCCAGCCGAAAACTGGTATAGGGAGGGTAGAGTCATCAAGAAAAACGAACATCCACTCAAAATAGTGCCCAGTCGGGCTGTCACGACCAATCGAAAGCGCGAAATCGAGGATGCGAAACGTGAAGGCGATACTAGAGCTGGGTTAGTTGGTCTCTACGGTTTCTATCAAACAGAGATTTATCGTCCGCCGCCTATCATTGATGGGGTAATCCCCAAAAATGCCTATGGAAATATTGATTGCTTCGTTCCGAGTATGGTCCCCGTAGGTGCCGTTCACGTGCCTTGGGGGAACGCAGTACGGTTGAGTAAGAAACTTGGGATTGAGTTTGCAGAAGCCGTCACTGGATTTGACTTCAAAAATAAGAGAGCGGTACCTCGGACTGAGGGAGTATTGTGTTCGGAAGAGAATGCAGACATTTTGACCGAGGCTTGTAGACAAGACGATGAACAGAAAAGATTGAAGGATGGTGAAAAGCGCCAGCAGATTTGTCTTGCGCTCTGGAAAAGATTTCTTATCGGCCTTCGTATTGTTGAAAGGATCGAAGAGAGCTACGGGTCGGGAACTAGCGAACCTGCAGCTGCTCGGGAAACTGAAGATACAGGCCGAGATCAGGAACGGGAGACCACGGTGGTCCTGGATTCGGGTAATAACAGCGACTTAGAAGAAGGGGGCTTCTTCCGTGAGTAGTATAGCATTTAGGTTAGATAACAAATCACTTTTGTTCCTTAGTTAATCATTTTCGTTGGCAAAATACGGAATAGAAAGTATAAAACAACCGCATGGCTATAACATCAAAAATGTAGCGACATTAATTGGTGAATATATTATAGGCGTAATTCTATAAAAGCCAGCACGCTAAGAAGGCACATGAATCAGGGATAGAGACAGCAGTCGCCCTCTATGCTAGGCAGTAATTCGATAGAAGGGGCGATAGAGAAGTATAAGAAGGGGAAATCGTAAAGTTTTAAACAATAAACGAACGGAGACGCCAGTGGTAACCCATAAGTAAATCCAAAAGGGCATGAATGTATTCTAGGAACATCAGTCCCTCCCTATAAGTTTCAAGCTCAAACCTATTCAGGCAGGTTTTCGGAAACATGTTCCTTGAAAGTTTTTGCAAGGTCACCACCTTTGAACTACGGAAGTGTTAGTATAGGACATCGTAATTGAGGGAACTGTTAACATACTCTTAAGAGGTAGGTCTTTAGGACGGGCTTCGCATCAGGGGAATGTTGTGGTTCGTCCTTTTTGTCAGCGATGCCGTTTTCTTCTTCTTCTTCTTCTCCTTCTTCTTCAGTGTCTCTAGGCTGAGTGTCGTCGGGGTCTTTCTTGTTTTCGGGTTCATCCTGTGCTTCGACTAGGGGGACAGTATTTACGGCCAAGAGTCTGATTGTGTTCTCCGCTGGGGTCCTCCCATCGGGAAGCATGTTCCTGAACATGCTAGTGTTGAGGATCAATCGTCCAACACCTTCCTGTCGCATGACTATTCGACCAACCGTTGGTCTCTTCGAAGCCTATCAGATAGTTAGATTGAGTAAAAATAGCTGATTTTACGCCGAAATTTTTATAACTTGCCTCTGGTTCTTCGAACTCTTCCTCGGGTTTAGGGACCAGCACTCTGATATTTCCAATACCGCGTTCTTTCCACGCACCACCACCAAGTTCAAATAGCTTTGCTCGTGCTTGGAAAACCATGTCGTAGTCCTCTTCCCCACTCTTAATGGCGACCTTCGAGGTAAATTGGGGATTCTTTGAACTTTCGCCTTCACCACTTGCGGCTAGCTCAGTAGTATCTTCCCCATCAGTGTCCTCATTCTCTGAATCTTGGTCTTCCACTTCAGGCTTATCAAGGCCCTTGATCCCTTCTAGAGGCTGGGCTTTTGGGAGAGGTTTCGCGGATAGTGGATTGCCAAAAATACTTCCGCTGGAAGAGAATGGAGACATTGCCGCACCAAAACCGGAACTACCGAAGCCAGAGCTACCGAAGCCAGACCCCCCGATATTGCCAGACATTTTTGCGAAAACATTGGCGCCGCTAGGAGGAGGGCCTGGGAACGCAGACTGGGTGGAAGCGGATGACATTTTGCTGAATACATTGTCTGGGCCCGTGGGCGGCCCTGCAAATGGAGAAGAACCAGCTTCACGCAGCCTCGTTAGTTTCCAAGACGATAGATTGAGGGGTTGGGGTACTATCGTACCTAGAGGAGACGGGTTTACGCCGAAAGCCGAAGTCGAACTAGCAAATGCGCTAAACTTGGATGTAGCAAATCCAGATTGGGGACCACTATGCGCATCCGTGGAGGAGTTCTCTGGGGCCTTAGTACCGAGCGACCCAAAAGGCGATACGGCGGAAGTATTCGAGAAACCGCTACCCGGTTGAATCTATACGAATTGTTAGCAGAGAGTTCATGCTATGTACCCATATTTCGGATTCAATTCGCATAATACCTTTAGTTCCTCCTTCTGGGCCGCCGGCTTCAAATCACCATTCTTCGCAACATCATTTTCCGCGGCTATATGCTCCTTTGTCAACTTTGATCCGTCATGGAATTTACTGTTTGGGTCTTGCAGAGCTTCAACATGGTGATTGGCAACATGGTGATTGGCCATGGAGGTTTTTGGATCTCTTGGTTTGAGAAATAAGGGCCCATCGCGGCAATCATTGTTGGAATGGCTACCGCTATCGGGGGTAAGAGGGTGGGTTGGTGCATCAGATGATGATTCCTTATTTGTTTCCTCTGGCGTGATAGAAAGCAAAAAAACATTCTTCGGTTCCTCGGGCAGGGATGCAGAGCATTTGCTAGTAGCAGCAGCTTGTGCATCTTCTGGGATGGGTGCGAACATACAGGTGTTGTCAACATCTCGGGGAGGCGAAGGAGTCTCCCTGAGTTTCTTTCCCAAAGGCTCCCCATTGGCAGCCCGACTCGGCGAACGGTTTTCAGCTTCAGAAGCTGGGGTTTTGGCATCTTTAACGGTAGATGCGATTTCGTCATGCGGCCTCTTGCGGCGGTTGCCCCCAGGAGAAACCTCGCCGGCCTGCACATCTACCATCTCGTCTGTGTTTTCCTGGCTGGATTTCGGGATGTGTTCTGAGCAATTTTAATTAGCATCCCTCTAGAAAAGGCAGTTCTACGTAAAGCATAGCTCGGAGCATGCAAATATGGATGCAATACGCATGTATTACAGAGGCATAAACTCTTATTTACAAGTATTGATTTTACTCACCAGATTCTTCTATCCTTGTTTTCCTCATCTTCTCACGCGCTGAAGAGTCCGATTTGGGGCTATCGGCACCTGAAGTTGGTGATTGGGATCCATTTTGACGAGGAGATCTACGTCGCTTTCTGTTTCGAGGAGAAGATTGTGACTGGAAGAGCGGTTGTGAATCGGCGTAAGATTGCGATAATGCGCTGGGGAAGATGTCAGACTGTTGCGACAAGACACCACCATATAGATCGGAATCTTGTGCTAGTAGGGCAGGGGGCGATCCCTTCGAGCGGCGTGTAGACACCATCCTAGATATAGTGTCCTCAGTCAGGTATTCTGGCTAATACAAGTTGGAAGAAAAGAAGAAGAAGGGGTGTGATAAGGTTGGATATAGTTGTAGGGTATTGTGGAGAGAAATGTGCAAGAGAAAATACCTAATCGTTCGGGATTGGTTAGCTTAAATTGATCGAGTTGAGGGGTGCTTCAATTGAGAATTCGAGATAGGAAAAAAGGATTCGAGATCAGGTCGAGATATATTTTTGCAGAGGTAAAGGAGGGGAAGGAAGAATGAAATGAATAAAATCAACCAGGATAAAATATCAAGGCCTCAACAGGCTACTATGTAGTAGGTTTGTAGCATATACAGGTTAGGTATAGCTGACGGACAAGGGCCAGGTAGGTGTTTTTCTGCTTATTGCTTTTGTAGGGACTAAGAAGCTTCTTACCTAAGTAAAAGAGAAGTAAAATATGTGTAGCAAGGGAAAAAAAGGGAGAGGAAGAGATAACCAACTGCGAGGTTACAATAGACAGGAAGAAGGATGTATTATTGGGTGAGGAAAACTCGTGCGACGCAGTCAAGTCTCGAGGTTAAGGGAGTGTTTTGGTCAGTGGAACCGAGGTTGATGTCTGAAGCTATATGAAGGCGAAAAGCCTAAGCACAAGCTTGAAAGAGATATTCGTTATCAGGTTGATTATGAGGGCAAATTGCAATGATGATGCTTTTAGATTGATAGCAAGGAGAAAGATGAGAGGAGGAGAAGGAGAAAAAGAAGAGGAGGGGTTTGGTGATGACGATGATGATGATGATGATGAGGAGGAGGAGGAGGAGGAGGAGGGAGAACGAGAGAGGAGGTTCAGAGTGGCTGGCGGCTGTCTGTTGCGGGATAGATAACGTATGGATCCACCGAAAATTGGGGACAGCAACGGTATCACCTCGGGATCTAGTGCAGTGAGGCGAACAGCTGGAGAAGAAGAAGACGACAACAACAACAACAACGACGGTGACGATGGTGATAGTTGTGCTCCCACCTGGGGAATGTATTGCAAGTATTCGAGCCCGGAGGAGGCAGGCGAGGAGGAGGTGAAGGCGAAGGTGGTGATGGTGGTGATGGTGGTGGTAGGCAGATGGCAAGATCGATGAGATGGTGAGGTGAGGTGAGGTGAGGTGAGGTTGGGTTGAGGTGAGGTGAAGTGAGGTGAGGTGAGGTGAGGTGAGGTGAGGTGAGGTGTTACTTGTCAATGGCATATAGAAGTGCGGCACAAATCGAAATCGAATATGAACGGATCCACCTTTGAATGAACGAATGGATTGGAGGATGGATGGATTTTAACTACCGTTACTAATATATACTTTCCTTAACTTATATACTTAAGTACGTATATAGGTATGTATGCATATACTAGCTTGTTATATTACAATTGAAACTCGCGCATGGCGACTGGGTATTAATATCATTTAGTAGGCATATATAAGGTATATACCTACCATACAATCATATACTGACATGCGCATGGCCTTAAAATATAACCACTAAACAGCTAACTCGGTGCTTTTGAGTGTGCACACATATGCAGAGGAGAAATTCCATACACATAGGTACTTCTCGTGTACGTAAGTACTGAAGTAGGTACTTGTATATAGTATGTACTTAAGTACTTACTTAGCTAGCTAGCCCTCCACGAAAATATGTCCCACCTTGGCCGGAATATAAGTTCCACTGATACCCATAACTACTTAGTATTTCAGCATGATTGTCCTTCAACATGGTGGTCCAGTTGGCTTTTAAGCGCTCCGTACTCGGGTAGCCATTTGGAATTTGCTTAGTGAGCTACCAGCTTGCGTGCTTGTATGCTCATTATCTTATCTGCATGAACCGCTCGAAGCTTCCCCGTATATCTACTTTCCCCAATCCTTTTCCAATCAAGACTATCTTCCCTGAACCTTCCATGTTTCTTTCGCTGGAGTCTGTTATTTCGAAGACCTCACGGACACCCTGGATAATATGCGTTTTTCCGTCCTCGGTTTTCAGTCGACCTTTCAATCGGTGTATTTCAACAGGGTGAAACAAAGTAGACTTGATGCCATCCAGTGGTACTCTTTCGTCCCATAATAACGATCGAATCCATGCATCCACTATCTCAATAGCCTCAGCTTTTAAGACATCAACATCGAACGATATAGTTGAAACGCCAGGATCTAGCCGGCTGACTCCCCCACTTTTCGAAAACTTGCTATCCTCGACCAGCTCAAAATTATCGTAAGCTTTGATATCGAGCAAAATACCCTCCAATTGCGGCACAGCGCTCTTCTCCGTCACAATAATCTTTGCTAAACCATTTATACCCCGGATACGCCTCTGTACATCTTCTAGTTGTTCTGAACTCACTAGATCAGATTTGTTTATCAGTATGACATCCGCATGCGATATTTGTAAATGGGCCGTTGTAATTTGGTCTGGTAAATGGGGATCCAAGTCTGCCCGCGCTGTTACGTCGTCCAGGGTCCGTAATATATTGCTTGCATCGACTAGCGTAACAATACCGTCCAGGTATATGGTCGCACCGAGGCCATCATCTAACCAGAACAAAGGTGCGATGTTTCCGGGATCCGCCAGACCGGTTGTTTCGAGTAATATGTAATCAAATTTGCCCCGTTTTTCCATTAACGTTTCAATCGCATTGACACCGTTGTCCCTGTATTTCCCAAAACATACTACGTTAGTAGTACAGGGGGAGAGGGGGGGGAAAAAAGTTTATAGGTTGTACTTTACTGTGCAGCACAAGCAGCCGTTATTCAGCTCTAGCCATTCCTCAACCAGTTGTCCTTCCTGGCTAACCGTTAACGATTTTTCGATATCTGCAGCTGTATCGGGAATCCAAAATGAGCCTCCGAGTAAACTTTGCAATATAAGGAGAACGAGCGCAAAAAAGGATAGAGGTGGGGACGAACAGTCGCCGAATTCTAGAGACGGGGGAAATACTATGTTAGCCCAAATATACTAAATCTCATTGGGAAAAGGTGTAGGAGAGGGCGCTCAAACCGTTTAGTATCACAGCGACTTTCTTAGAATGTTGCTCTTTGAGAATATAGTTCAGACTGTAGGAGAATCAGTATTGTGAAAAAGGCCCGTCATTGAATGCCTTGGGTTTAGTGTAAGGGCGCACAGAGTGGTCTTTCCGGCTCCAAGGTATCCTATGCGAGAATGAAGAATTAGCGGAGGAGGCCCCGGGGCGATGGAGCTATGCTAGTTACCAGTCACAATCGTAATGGGCACTCTCTGCTCTTTGGGGGTCTCTTCGCCGAATGCGAGATCCATGTCGACGTCATTTGTGCTTATAATATCAATATCCGTATTTGGAGTTGCGCTTTCGACAAGCTGTGGAATATCGTCGTCCTCCATCTTCGAATAAGACGATGGTATGCCGAGTCAAGCTTAAAGTCAGGATCTGGATACGCTGAATGTATGATGTAGAGTATTGTAATGTTAAAGGGAAAGATACTTAGTATTCGCCCAAAGTTGAATTTATAGGTACCTGCCTGGTAAGGTTGGCCGATGCTTGCCGACAATAAATACTTCAAGTGCATATGCATTGTACATACTTATCTACTTGAGTACCTAGGTAAGTCGGTGCCTAAGAAGTACCTAAGAAGTGCCTAAGAAGTACCTACTATGGAATGGGACAAGAAGATGTGCTTCCGGAATAGTAACAAGGTGCATGATGGATAAGTAGCTTGCTATGCTCCTATATAGTACTAGGCTAAGAGCATTTAAACATCGGCACCACCGCCTAACCACCACCACCCGACCACCACCATCACCACCGTCATCACCACCGCCATCACCACTACCTGGCCATGGCCTTCCGCAGGATAGATCTTACTCCCGCTCTTCGGCCTCTTCTTTTGCCTAGTGAAACCCTCCTCTTCGTCCAGGACGCTGTAGGTCTTTACGAAGGGTACGGAATACGCTATCTCTGAAATAAATTAAAGACATGCCAGCACTAACTCGATGATTTTTGATAGGTAGACGCTACAAAGTCCCGAACTTCCAGAACGGCAGCGCTTACTTGACGACTCATCGGGTTTGTTTTGTCAATAACGATGAACCGCGAAAGTTTTCGGTTGCTCTTGAGCTGAAGGATGTCGAGAGATTCGAGCTTTACGTAAACATCCCCACCACCCTCCTTCGAACTCGTGGAAGGTCTCTAATATACTAACACAGATTCCCTTCTTCCAGAACGGCTTCCTCAAATCCTCTCCTAAGATCACTCTGTACCTACGACCTTCAAACCCGTCTCTCTTGGACTCACGGGATAGGTCTACTTCGCGAAGCCCAACTTACAGCCCCATCCCGACTCCACCGAGATCATCAACGCCTCTACAATCGGCAGCATTGAATCGGCAGTGGATATGTCCAATCTGCACTTTTCCAAATCCATTCCCCTCGAACTTTGGACATCTCGCTCCGATCCCACCCTGCTTAACCTGTGGAGTGAAACCGAACCGCTCAATACTCGATGCAATAGTTAACTCTCATACTCCCGCAAAACATCAAAACGGGATATCCGATGATTCAATTCTCCAAGCGGGAATCCAAAGATCTAAAAACGCCTGTCCCAGGTGCACATTTGAGAATGACCAAGCGCTTCGGAATTGTGAGATGTGTGGGGAGGTTCTCTCGTCTCATCCAATCGACGATCCTTCGGTAGCCAGACCATCTCCGAGCCGGGATGAATCGCCGGCACCTAGATATCTGGGAAGTGTACCAGCGGGGGAACAAATTGATTGCGTCAAGCTGTCTTTCAGAGGTGGTGGCGAGAAACCATTCCATGAAAAATTGAAAGGCGCAATGGTCCAGAGGAAGTGGCTATTGGATCAGGCCCCAGCCGTCCCCGCCATTACTTCGGGTGCTGCAAATTTGACGCTGGATCCAAGAGAAAGTGAAGCCTCCCCAAGAACTCCAGCCCCGACGGAGAGGATAGTAGGAGTCAGAGGACTAGAAAGGCAGAATCTAGCGCTTCGAATGAACAACCAGCGGGCAATAGCGGGGGCATTTGAGGACCTGGAGGCTCTTATGAGCAGGGCAAAAGAAATTGTACGTCTACCCCTGTCTACCTTATCTTGGGACTACAGCACTCTATACTCATAATAAGCCACAGATCGCCCTCGCAGAAAACTTTGCAACCCAACTAGCTGATAACCCTTCACTTGCAAACTCCGATGCAAGAGAAGCACTGAGTCAGTCAGCAGCTATGTTATCCCTGAGACCAACAGATTTTACAGTAACAAAAGACCAGATATCTTCTTCTTCTTCGTTATCGCTCTATCATGCCGAATTAGCGAGATCAATTGCCGACTTCTTGGCTGATGATACAAGGTCGATTTTAAAGAAAGAAGGGGGTGCTATTACCCTAGTAGATTTATGGGCAGTATATAATCGCGCGAGGGGGATAGAGTTAATAAGTCCAAGCGATCTTGAAAGTGCGGCTAAGCTTTTCGATAAACTTCAGCTACCCGTTCGATTGAGACAATTCAAGAGTGGCCTTCTAGTGATTCAAGAAAGAAATAAGACTGATGAAAAGGTAGCTAAGAGCGTGGTCGCATGGTTGGACGAGTTATCAGACCTGGAAACCCGGGACACAATAGCGGATAATAAATGGGGTAAAAGTGTTCTAGCAAAAGATGCTGCTGAGAAGTTTGGTTGGAGTATTGCAGTGGCGATAGAGGAGTTGGAAATGGTTGAAGAAAGAGGAGAATTGGTGAGAGATACTTCCTTTGAAGGTGTAAGATGGTGGAAGTCCCCATGGTATATTTCAGAATAACGACACTAGTAATCCTGATATAGTACTCACCCCATCGGTTCATATGTGTTATTCGATCAATAAAGCGGGCCGTAGAAAATAGTCATAAACACTGGAAGGATATAGCTTGCCTTGCGTCTTCTTACAGCTACTAAGATTCGTATCCTCTAAATCCTACTATCCGAGTTGGCTGGAGAGGAGCGACCCTAATCCACACAGGGTCACCAATGAAAAATCTTACAACATTAAAAAACATTGAAAATTATTAGTTATTAATATTATTAATGGCAAGTTTCTGAGGATATAACGATGCTAGTCTTCCGATAATTTTTCTAGTTGTTGTATCGGCCGTCGCTACAGCCTTACAAAGGATTTCAATCCACGAAAAGACGTATTGCTCCGAAATTTCTTTAGCATCAAGCCATCTACCTCATGAGAGTTGCTAAGAGAAATGCTACACTGTTAGGAACTAAACATGTATCGCTTCGGACACACGTGGATAGACCTGGATCATCCGCGAGTATAGGTCTGGATGTTGCTGAATAAGGACTTGTGGGTCGACAGCCATTGCCATGAAAAGGGTAGTGGCACCTGTAGCAAGGGAGAAGAAAAGAAAGCAGCTAGTTAGCATACTAAACTGTTTATATTGTACGATGTATGGTGCCTACTTACCAGACTTCAACGGATTGAGGAACGTATTGGCGATTTGCAATCCGATCAAGAATGAAAAGGCCATGACAATTGCCGTGTAAGTTCCGCGAGAGTTGTACGCAGGCTACGGTGCAATTTTGAGTTAGACTTCTGTTTCCAGACCCAGTGTGACACACGGTCCGTAATGCGTAGCTAGCGGGGGGAGGGTTGCTACCTACTTTTGTGAATTCGAGATATAAATAGGCCAGCAGAGCGCACAAGTACCCAACAAACATAGCGCCCATAGTTAAAACAGGAGAAATAAGGCAGTCTTGAATGAGGGCGTCGATCCCGCGGTCCTTAATCATACGCCATGTAGATTTGGCGGCGGGGAAATAAGCAGAACCATAGAGAGCGATATAACTATAGGCATACTCGTTCAAGAATTCCACCGCCCACTGAACGATAGCCAATATGCAAGATGCGATGCAGAAGATAACATATTGCAAGATATCCCCAGAGCTAGCAGCGTCGGAACTAGCTAAGGAAGCCGCCTGCCGAAGTAGTTGAATTATGCTGACTATTAGTGAACCCAGGCATATTGACCCGAAAGAGTATGTCATCGCTCGTCGGAAAGCACCCATTGTGGGATGAGATGGTGGAGCATTGGCACTAGAGCCGCCCGCCGAGAAGTACCAACTCCCATAAACTCCAGAAACGGTAACGTGCATTACATTTTTTATGACCCTAAAAAGGTATTAGTATCTCGGGTACTGGGTCAGTTCAGGGGATCAATCCGCTTACTCTGTTGTCCAGTAAGCGGCAAACGTTACAAAAGCGATAAGGCCATAAACCTTCCCATCAGAACATCCACCATTTCGGCACTGCGTATTTGATGAATTCGGGGTCCAGCGAACATAGATTCCGACCAGTGTAACCGAAAACCAGGCTGAAAATGCGAGGGCGACGACTCCTCCGATGAAAGATACGGTGAAAACATGCCCATAACTCTTAGCTACATCTATGACCGTTTGAAGCATCTAGAAGCCAGTTAGGAATCGTGAGATAGAATTTGAAGGGTTTAGCTTACGAGAACTGAGAATGGTATCCTGCTTCGCCCTAGAATTTGAGGTAATATACATTAGCATACACGGCCTCAGTTTTTCGAGCATTAAAATCACCGACACTCACATGTCCAAAAGCAGAATGCGTAAAACAAGGCAAAGATCAAGAAAATGATTGCAGCGGCATATTGTTTTCGGTAGAAGTAATAAGCGGCGGACCCGATGCCGATGAGGAAGCTAATTGCACTTTATTAATTCACTACACTTTGTAGGTCGAGTTATTTGAGGGGGGGCCTACTTGAGGATTGCGCTCAAGTAGATTATCTGCTTTGTCAATTTCCTACACATGAGTAGATATAGCAATGACACGACAAATGCAACAGCAAGAACAAAGGCGAATAGGATGACAGTATTCGTCGTTAACTATATCAAATGGCAGACCCGTTAGATCGTCGTCTTCAGCTAGGTACCAGCTGTGGCATTTTCGAATGAGGATTGGATAGATAGGTAAATTACACACCCCAAAACGAGCATTTGAATCAGAAATCCCAGATCCACTGGTCCTGTTGCTCTTGCTGTACCCTAGCAGGGAGAGAACTGAGACCGCAACAAACCCCAGGAAAGTCAGAAGCCATAGTATACCAGCCCAAAGATCGTTGAATTTAGGCTTCTCGATAACAAACTGTTCCTCGAAGGTTTCGCCTTGTTTTGGAGGAAGAGGGCCACCATACTGCTGGGGAGGATAGTTCTGCGGTGGCTGCTGCTGCTGCTCCTGAAGCTGGTAGTATCCTTGTGATTCTCCATATTGTTGTTGTGGGGGATAATAACCCTGCTGGTAGCCGGCCATTTTTCGAGATTTATCGAAGTGCGACCTTGAATCCCAAAGATGGTGAGAAGTGTCGCTGGTGGTTGTTTAACACCGCGCACCTACGTAATGTTGAATGAGGGCTCAAGAAGGCGGTTCTTAATTTAGGACAAGGCGACGGAAAGGACGACAATTGCAAACCCGATCGATCACCAACTAGTAAACGGATACTTAGAAGTAAGTATGTACGTCTACTTGGTGGATGGGCAAATACTAAGTAGTTGGACAAGTAGACGGACGGGTTCGAAGTGCTTCTTGCAGAATTCAAAATTTGGGATGGAAAAGAATGAAGGGATTTGACTGCTGGAAAGCGTCCGCATACTAAATTAACCTTAGCTTAGCGCCTGAAAACACCCACTCGAGGTGAGAGCTTCCCCTAACTGATCCCAAACTTACAGAGTAAACTCCGAAGCCTCTCGCCCTCTTGTTAAAGGTGGGCGACTGCTTTCGCACAGGCAATGCAAAACGCGCTAGAAAAATGAATGAATGGGTGAATGAATGCTGAATGCATGCATCCATGCACCCATGCGAACGTGAACCTGTAAGTACTTGGTAGGTACTTACATGACGTCAACACTTCGCCCATCGATGGCCCCCAAATTAAATTAAACCGGCTACCCAGTGCGAGTTAACATTTCGAAATTTCTATAATTCAAGAGCCCACGCCCTCATCACTTTTGGCGTAAACTGTCGACGTCTTAGAAGCCGGCAATCGGAACAGATCCGAGGCCGCGGGGTTATAGGTTTGGCATATGCCAGTTGCATAATATTAATATCTCCGGGCCGGGGTGTCCCTCGAATTAGGGAATATCCCTGGTTCCGGCCTACGTATAACATACACAAAATACGTATATATATGTATACATCCATTTCCGAGGCAATGACTGTCGGAAATTTCATCTGGCATCTATGTAATGTACTTGCATCTTAACATTGAGCATCTAATTAAGTACATATGGGCATCTGTATGGGTACTTAGGTACGTAAGCATTTGCAACATTTGTTCTTCATACCAATTCCGATCGTTGGCATCCAGCCTACCTGCCTTGGAATTGTGCATCTGAGACGAATAAAACTGCTTGGCAAGGTCCACTCCTCGGAAGCCGGCACAGCTGGTCTGTTACCCGAACGAGAAGCAAAGCCTGGTTTAGCATTAGCGCTAGCCTTATGATTTAAGTCAGCAGTTTAAATACTCGATATTCACCCAGTTAACCAAACGAATGAAAAAAGGAAGAGAATTACAACAGGAAGAAAAACGAAAAGAGAACGAGGGGTGGGGGGAATATTGTAACCGGTGTTTTCGAATTCTTGAATCCTTTGATTGAATTATCGGTGGCCGATTTGATTTATTAATTAAGCTGATACCAAGTCTGACTCGTAACGTTAACTCCGCAGTTAAGCAACGAGATAATCATTGGATCTTAACAAACTGTCCGATTGACGGGATACCATCCAACTACCAATGAGAACGAACAAATATCACGCTGATTAGCATTTATTCCATATCGAATAGACATGCTTGTAACAACCTACCAGAACGTAGATAACCCAAGGCCCGGGCTGTGCTGTATTTCTTGACGGGATTTTGAGGCGGATATTTTGGTGAGTGGTCCCGCTTTGGAATCCAGAATTATCCAGGAAAACCATCCGATGTCCCATGTGGACAGAATGGGTAACAAATCCCCCATGATAAAGTACAACCTTAACGCTCTTGGAGTCTCCGATAACATCAAATTCAAGCGTGTAGGTTCCGCCAGGAGCTAGCGTCTTGGCCGCAAGACGAATATTTCGAGGACGCCTACCAGCATTTTCGCCTAGAAGATACGGTGGAACCCAGCGCTCGACCCTAAAATCGGTGACGAAGGGATGTTGGCCGTTTGGTTGGAGGATTGGCTGTTCAACTGGATTTGATCCTGCGATGAGGACTGTCCCATCTAGAAGTAGCAATGCAACTGAGTGGTAAAGCCTTGGGATTGGACTGCCGGGGTATTCCGTGAAACGTTGTCCCCGAGGGGCATCAGGGTTATAGATGAGAGGAGATAAGGTCGGGCTATCCGCCAAGTCAAAACCCTGGGCTCCTCTATTGGCTGGAGGTCATTTCAAATGATGTTAGAAACTTTCCAGCGATATAATATTCACGGCAGACCTACCTCCATTCACCAGCAGGACTTTGCCATCTGCGAGCAAGAGACCGTCAACCATGACACGGCCTTGTGGCATACTTTCAAGAGTCCATTGTGCTCCGGGGTCATCAGCAATAATTCGACCACAAGAAGCATCGGTTGGGGATGTAATATCCTGATAAGCACCGCCTCCACAGACTAAAATATGCGATTTATACCCGTCAGAGCTAGAGAGTGGGAGTAGAACGCTAGTTCCCGTGTTTGGATACGTTCTATAACCCCCTGGAAGATCTGGCAGCTGGTGTACAACCGCGTTCTGGTCAACGTTGAAGATTTGAGCGAACTTCGAGATGAAGATGAAAAGGTTACCATCTCTTAGTGTGTGGATAAAAGGATACATATAATACGGCTGGGCCTTGACCAGAATACCCATACGGACCTTCACCCCATTTGTAATACCCTCAGGTGAGAGGATCTCGTAGGTCGGGTTATTATTCGTAGCAAGCGTTGGATCGAGACCGTTAAGACTGCCAGATGCAACGAAAACCCTACCATCTGGAAGGGTTTGAGCAGATGCATACCACCTTTTTGACGCAAGCTATTCAGGATAATACCGACGAGTTAACCCACGATTTCAATATTTTTTGGCGAAATTAACTCACTTTGTTCCCTGGTTCGATCCAATCATGCCCATCTAGGGATGCGGTTCCAAAGCCTCTTTGGAGGTACCTCAAAGCATCAAATCCATCAGTTACCGTCGGATCGATGAAGTCAAGGGGTCCATTTCCACCAATATTCAGAAGTCTGCCGTCGGCGAGAAATGTCCCACCAGAACAAAATGCATTTGTTTTATACGCAAGTGGTACTACTTGGCCCTAGAAATTATTGTTAGTATAGTAGTTGGTGCTTTTTTTTTTGAGGATATATACCACAAACGTACAGTGTTTGGGTCGAATTCTGATGAGTAGGCGTACTGTCCATTCCTAAGTCTAAGTTGGGAATAATTCTCGACTTTGTCCAAAAAAACCACTTTACCATTAGTCATTAGGGCAGCATGCATAGCAGGAACCCCGGCTTGCCCAATCACGCTGAAGAATGTGCCGAGCCCCCTATGTGCTGGGGCTGGCCCCGGAGCAGGAGAAATAGGTGCCCCGATACACTCGCCGCTCTGGCAGCCGACGCCGCAATGATCATCAGTCGTGCCGCAAAATCCATACATACTACAACATCTTCGCGGAAGGCCCTGTGACCAATCGCCACAGACAGCTCCCTATTGCCAACTTAGTCCAATATTTTTTAGAATTGGGTCAAAAACAGGACTAGACCTACATTATTCTGTACTCCACACTGACCATTTGTTGTAATAGGGCCGTTGTTCGACCCACCTCCGGGACGATGTGTGATTTTAGGTTCACTGGCGCTCGTGGCACGGCCCGGCGGCGGTGGTGAAGATTTACAACCTGATTGACAGCCTAGCGCAGGATTGCAATGGTCCTTAGTCACGCCGCAGAAACCAGCAGCCGAGCAGCACCTTCCGTATGGCCATTTCCCACAGACTTGGGGGCCGTGTACACGTGTTAGTATATTTGTTTTACCTGCCACATAGGAGTTTCAGGATCTATACAAATATTTCCGAATGCCTTCCCACATCGGCCATCTTTAGTTTCGGAGCCCAGAGCAGGCGAAATGGGCCTTTTGCAGCCTGATTGGCAACCATCGTTACAATGCTTTAAATCCTGTTAGTGAGTAGGCTTATTCAGATAATAGCTAGATAGGATTTCAATAAAACATACAGCTTCAGAGTTACCACACCAGCCGTACTTTGAGCAACAGGTACCTTTGTAGGTTTTGGAGTTTGGGTTGCAAAGAAGGCCGCCGTTTTGTACACCGCATTTCCCATCGGAGCTGTAGGCTCGAGCGAATTTCGGATGTGACTGATAGAGGCATATACCCTCCGTTCCACAAACCTGCCCTGCTTGACATTCCGTATACCCATGGATAATGATAGAGGGGTTACAGGCAATTTGTGGTTTAGGGAAAACAATGTTTGCCAGAACGAAAGTTGAGAGGGAAAGGATAGAAAGGAGTGTTGGTCGCATGGTTGATGATCCGAAATTGGGTATGAAATTCGTCAACAATATGATGTGAAAGAAGTCTTACACGTAGTGAGTGCCCTGGAATGGTACGTAGATGCTAGTTTTAGTGGATTGATACAGCATGCATATGGCGATGGAGCAAATGAAAGGAACAGAGTACATACTAGCCTAGTTCTATCGATCGTATGCTGAATGAGTTGACAAAGTAAGAGGTAGTGAGAGGTTGGTTAAAGATGTTTTTAGAAGGCCCAAAGTGATTGATCACTGGCGCCTACTTACCTCCTAGTATAGCTGATTTTTACTTGGAGACAGGGTGGGAGCCTACGCCAGAGTGCCCTGGAGATTCAGCTCTGGTTCCCATAGTGTGTTGATACTGTTGCATTTTACTATGCAAAGCCACAAATACGACAGTTGAGCCACATATATGTCTCGTGACCTCATCGGATGCACTGCCACCCTTCTCCCATGTTCTTCTAGGACAAAAACCAACATTCCACACTGTCTTGTCAACCATCTAGCTTTGATCTATGCACTCTCCACCTTTTCTCGTCTTCCCATCCTATACAACCATATCACTGAATCCGACACAACCATGTCACATTCACGTCAACGGCACTACGACTCTGGGCGCTTGGCCTATGATGACGAACGGGAAGACTACCATGATCGGGATCGAGCTTACAGCCAGAACTACGATCGAGAACGTGACCCAACGGGCTGGAGGGAGAGACGGGATGGTTCCTATTCACCCCGAGGTCGTGACCGCGCCTACCAGGATAACGCCCCTAGGCACGATTCGCGCGACCGGCTCTCCCCACCATACAGGAGGTTGGAAAGGTCTCGTTCGCCTTACTATCCGTCGAATGACACCAGACCACCACGACGAAATAGCTCACGATCGCCGTCGCCGGACTCGCGACATTATCGACGGTCATCGCCGTACGGTCGAGATCCCGAAAGACAAAGCCGACGTCAGTACTACGATCGAGATGCACCGGAACGTTACGATGATAGGGGGCCGTACTATGGCCAACCCTCGCGGGATATCATGCTGGAAGGAATTGGCGGGGATATGACCGATCACGACGTTGCTACCCTCTTACCCTTTGCTGTTTGAACGACAAGAAGCGAGCAAAAAGCACATCTACGACCCATCTCCCATGATGATTTTACATAAACTCCCTTTCTCGCTTCTCCGTTGTCTGCAGAATCATATGCTGAGATCGCGGCCGGGAAAAATTACCGTGGTCGGTCATTTTTACAGATACAAACCGAACTTCAAAGTCTAAATGTCGAAGGCTTAAATGCAGTAACTGTTATTAGAGAGCGCAAAACTGGTTTGTCGCAAACTGTTGGCAGGAGCACATATTCTTGCTTTCTTTGGTCTCTCCTTCACCTGTATTGATTGAATGGCATCGCTCGAACAGGAATATCCCGAGGTTTTGCATTCGCGCGGTTTAGAGAAATATCGGATTCTAAACGCTTTCTGGAACGGTTCTTTCCATCGATGACAATTAGCGGCGCCCGTATATCACTAGCATATGCCAAAGAACGGGCTGAATCGACTGTCACCGACGATTGGCACTGCAGTGTGGTTCGTTTTATACACCGTTGAACTATCGCATGACCCTACTAACTGTACCGTCATTAGTGCTTATTGTCAAACTTTCCTCGACGCACCGCCTGTTATCGATGTGGGACATCAAGGGCCGACTCGGAGGCAACCGGTCCTCTTCTAACATCCGCGCTTAATCACTTCTCCAACGACGGGTCTAAAGATGCAGGCGAAATACCATCTCAATTCTTATTGATCAGAGATCTAGAACCGAATGTAACTGAGGAGCTATTGCTAAAAGGCGCTCAAAAGCTATCGGCAGACGAATTCGCAATTAAAAGAATACTTCTTGTTCGAGACAGAAGAACGAATGAATCGTGGAGATTCGGTTTTGCTGAATTCTCGAACGTCGATGAGGCAAAAAGGGCATTCGAAAGGTATACGGCAATGGATGGCGGGTTTACCATCAAAAGTCGGCCGGTCACTGTTAGTTATATTCACCCTGGAGTTTTCGTCCCTATGATCCAGCCAAAACCTAGCAGTGAGAAGTGGACTTTCGAGCCTTTGGGAGGTATGGGGGGTGGCGTTAAATTGGCCTACTGGGATGAAGAAGGGTATTGTAAAGTCCATTTTGCCGAATATGCTATGCAAGACCCTACGAACGAACCTCAAAACAGGGCCAAGGAGGATTCAAAGCCGAGGAAGAAGACCGACAAAACCGCGTCGGACGCCGGAATGGCTGAGAAGACGAAAAAACGTAAAGCTGAGAACATAACTGGAAAGGAGCCAACAAATGCATCGAAAAAGGTGAGTCTATTCTGGAGTAGCGATGATAAGAGACACATACATTAATAGTTTTGATGCACAGCTTCCAAGCCACCTTCAATTCTGGCAGGAGAGACATACGGAATTACATGGCACAAATTTAACTGATCACAGCACTCCCGCTGCGGCGACAGTGGATGAGGATGAGGAAGATACATACCCAGCGAAATCATACGCAGATCCAGTCAAATTATGTTGTTACCTCTGCAGCCGACAGTTCAAAACGGAAATGGATGTCAACAAGCATGAGCGTGTTAGTGAACTGCATTTCAAAAACCTTAAAGACGAGAAATTGGTTAAGATAGCCGAGGCAAAACTCAGGAAAAACGGCATAGTGCGGGACAGGGAAACAGTAGACGACGATGGTCTAGCCTACCGAGATAGAGCAAAGGAGCGAAGAATCATACATTCGCAACCAGCAAATCCGGGCGCCGCGAAAGGCCAACAAAAGTCAAAAGAGGTGGCGGCTGCCCGTGAGTCTCCAGAGAAAGAGACAAAGGTACCTATTAGTCGCGGCGCTAGTCTACTTTCCAAGATGGGTTGGACCGAGGGACGCGGCCTTGGTGCTCAAGAAACTGGTATTACAGCACCGATTGTTGCTGGTATGTATGTAGAAGGCGTAGGTTTGGGAGCTAGCGGTGGGAAGGTTGGTGATGTTGATGGGACGCCGGAAGCTGGTAACTATCAGGGGTTCGTGGAGCGGACAAAAGAGAAAGCGCGAGGAAGATATGAAGAGTTAGATGCTAAGGGACGCTGAGATACCATAGCCAGAGGCCCGCACCGTACACCAGGTTCTAATATAGTCCGGTACCAAAATCGATCTCGCGCATTTGGTCCATCAAATTGTCTTTTTTTCTGTCGTTGCTGCTAAGCAAGGTTCTCCTTGCCAAAGGTGTCTATCAACATCTTAGGCCAAACACATTCGCCACACTACAATTGTCCAAGCACAAAGTGATGTCACTGAATTTGCAACTGCCAAGTGGTCACTATGTTTCATTGGACAGATCGTTCTTGCTGGGTCAGATTTTAGCACTATCTGGGAAGCCACACCGATTCACAAATCGACGGCTGGCCAGCGCTGGGCAAGACGTACATGCATATGCACTAGGTGCATAGGTACCTAAGAAGTACTTAAAGTAATTACTGAACAGTTACCAAAATCGTTCAAGCATGGTCAGATTGATGACAATTATGATTGTTTTGTGCTGCAAATCTCGAATATGAGGGTTAGAAAGGAGTTTAGTGCGGCCAGAGCGGCCTCAAGCCAAGAGCACGTAGAAAAGCGGGTGCCCAGCCCTCTATCATGATCACGATCGATCTCTAGATCTTATTTTCGTTTTCGGTTCATTCGTCTATATCTTCTTTTGCAATTGATATTCTTCGTTTCCCTTTTCTTCTTTTTCATTTTAATTAACCTAACATTTTAATATTTTGATACATCCCACTGAGGCCGAATCGTCAGTCGCAACGTATTTTACTTCAAGGCCCTGTGAGCGAAGGAGTGTTCTCAGCCCCCAACCAAACACCAAATCTTTGAGGCATAGAGATCGAGAGGCGGTTCAACCAGAAAGCGATATCGGTATTATTTCACAGGAAGTTTGGACAGTATGCCGTACGCGAAATTATGGAGCAAAATACCAGTGACGATAGCCTTTTCGCTGTTGATAACAGCTGGTTCAAGCCTACTAGCCGCAACAGCTGAAGAACTTATAGAGCGCCAGACTGGAAATAATCCTTTTTCGGGACAGTTCTGCGACTACACATCATTCCAGGCGAGCGTAGTCGGCGACCGGTTACTGATGTTTGGCGGTAACTTGACGATAAATAAGGGAGCAAATAGTAAAGAGAAGAGAGAGCTAGAGCCCGGTTAGTTTTCTTTAAATTCTTAACCCACATACACAAGCCCGTAGTATTATGGTGTGCATTTACCTACGTGCATACATGCATCCCACGGAGAGAAATGCCTAACGTTTAGCCTTCGTTTTAAATTTAGGGTTCCAGTTCTTTTCGATGCTCCTAAATGAAACATTTCAAGCGACTGCAAGCGTCAGCGAGTACCTTAGGAGGGAACCAGACCCTGCGGCGGAAAAGAGGATAGCGTCTATGCGCGATGGCGGAGCGTATAGCTACAATGGAGATATATACTTTTACGGTGGCCAACAGTTGTTCAATGCTGGAGACGATGATCTCATATATAAATGCACACCTACATCCCGGGATATCGTCTGGAACTCTGCAGCTATCAACGGGAACGTTAGAAGAACTATAACGAAGGGTGCCTCGGTTGATGCCTCCTCTGAAAATAAAGGGTTCTATTTCGGAGGACAAAGCATCATTGCAAAGGGCTCGGACGATGCACAGGCAGATCGGGTGCTCAATGGCACCTTGTCAAACAATCTTATCGTTGTGAGCTTCTCATCGGGGAAACAGGAGTTTGCGAATATAACGGCTTCCGCAAGCAGATCAAGGCCGCTGACCCAAAGTAACTTATTATTTGTGCCTGCGGGAAAAGAAGGCATCTTGGTTAACCTTGGCGGCGACGATGGGACTGGCGACGTACGTAGTTCCTTACACTGGAATCTAAGTTTCGAACATTTTGCTCGATTTACTGCCAATTTGAAATGTTAACTTCGGATTTTAGGGTGCGTGGGAGGACCTACAAGTCTTTGACATCGGATCCTCCACGTGGTTCAACCAGCGAACACGAGGGAATCTTACATCAGGCAACTCCAGATATCCTGGGCCTGGCACCTGCTCTGTTGTTCAGTCTGATGGCGATAACCACTTTATATACGTCTATGGTGGCAGTAACCGTGCGCCTGGTCAATCCCAACTCGCAATCCTGACAATCCCCACCTTCCAGTGGTTTACAGTCTCGAAACGAAGTTACCCTAGCAAAGTCAATGCGCAGTGTCAGCTCGTGGGAGAACGTCAAATGTTGATCCTCGGCGGTCGAAGTTCCAATGGACGTGGCGACTGTGGTGGGAATAGCTTTTTAGAAATATTGGATATCAGTTCCTTGGATATCGTTTCCATTTTCCCAAACAGCAATCCGTAAGTTGCTTTTGGTATCGATACCGCCAGAAGACACGACTAGTACCTAGTTCCCTGACATTTATCACAGGTTCACGCCACCGCCGCTCGTCAGAACTGCATCTAACTCATCCAACCCTTTAGATGGGTGGACCGACCCTGAACTCCAGGGACTATACGAAGTTCAATACCAAACGTTCGCACAGCGGAACCGAGAATCCAAGTCAGAAAAGGGTCCCATAATCGGGGGTGTAGTTGGTGGAGTTGCCGGAGTAATAATCCTTGGTATAATCGCTGTTTTTTTTATCATGAGAAGCCACCGAAAAAAGAGTACAAGAGACGTGAAGGAAGCCGTGGCAGAAGTTAAGAGGAACAGTGCAGCTCAACCATTCCTTGGACATCCATCTCCAGCCTTCACCTCAGGGGAATATCCAAACGCATACCCACACGGACATCCACCAAGCCAGTCGTATAAAGACGACTACATCGTAGAAGCACCCGCAAACCCGGCCCCTGTGGAACTGCCGCCCTCTACCCCGGCTATGCGGCCAATAGAACTTCCATCCTAGGGCTCATATCACATGATTCTTGGATTGCGTACCATTATGTAGTAGTCCCTAGGGATCATATCGTGGCTAGCTCCCTTATGTGCAAAATCGGGATAGTGCTTTTCAAGGGTGCAATACTAGGACGACGATCATCGACTCGTGGAGTCTGTTTTCGTATTGGCGGGACAGCATAGAATTGTCTTAAAATTAAACTAAATATGAAACACCAACACGCATATGATTGTCGTTTGGCTGGCCTTGAGGCCGGCTGGCTAGTTTGAAGGGGGATCTCGCTATTATATGGGGGATATATATGATACTGTTTCATAATAACATTTAAATACAATGCAATGAAGAAAGTTGAGGGAGTTCCAACTATCTACTTATATAAGATCGAACAAAGACTCAAACTAACACTATGGAAGTGTGACGGTGCTAGAATAACTTATAGAAAACTCGTAAGCCGTTTGTAATTTGCAGATGTGTGAAGATAAAATGATGATACAGGAAACTGGAATAAAATAGTATAAAAGTGGATGAGTGGAATATTGTCGGTGAAGATTTGATAGGTCATAGTGGTCTGGAGGCAAGACGGGTGCGAGTTCAAGGTCTTAGTAAGGTATACAAAACAAAAAAACGTTCAATCGGGGTGAATGTTTTTTTTGGGCATTCAAAGCTCTAATTCCGATTTCACATCTGAGACATCATGAAATCCCAGGATTTACCTTCCGTATCGATATCTTCCTCGTCCTTTGACTCTTCGACATCCCCGTCTTTCGAGGCCTTGTCACTAAACTCTCCAGTTGAGTTGACTTTCTTTGTCTCCTCCTGCAGATCCTTCTTCTCTTCTACTTTCGCTACCGGTGTTTGCCTTGCAACTGGTGGCCTGAGGGTGCTAGGGCAAGGTTCATCGAATATCGGGTTATGAAGGGGCCTTGGGGCCCGAGGATCTATAACATGATTCGCATTTTCGAGATCACCAGTGTTGCCGCCGTTGTGTCGACCACATGTACAAAGAAACAACTCTGCTGTAGAAAGAGCGTGGGGCGAGTTCCGGGCCGAAAGTACAGGGTGGAGGGAATTGTAAGTATCGTATGTCAGTCCAGGAGCATTTTGCCTGATTGGATTATCCCGAGGGAATATTCGAGATGAAAAATTTGGATTATAGAGGCCTTTTGAAACCTGTTTAGCTTGGCGACGAGCAGCTACTGCCTGGTACTGGCGAGATTGCTGGCCCCGCGAGCCAGGAGTGATAAAAGCAACTGGAGGAAGCCCCGATCTGCTTGGAGGAACAGGGGGTAGTCCACGCGACACAGTAGATGAACCAATGGAGCCAATGGGGGTTCTGCTCGAAGGTGTTTCCGGCAGCGAGCTTGAGCTGTTATACGATGGGAGACCTCCATCGGCAGTGTATGGAGGGGGGTCAATAGTCGACCGATAGGAAGGTGCGTTGGACCAGATGGAAGCAGTATCGTCGTCCCTCATGGCGCCGGTATACACGGTACATACTACTTACTCAAGTAGTATGCATGCGCCCTTGACTGCTAGTACGTACTTCTTGACGGTGCAAACCGTGTTGAACTGTTGCAGATTGAGCGGTCTTTTTATAAAGGCCATCGTTCGCCGCCAAGCAGGCCAAGTCCCCGTCAGCCTAGTAACGTTGCGACTACCTCGGAGCGCTGCGCCCGACATCATCAACTGGAGGTACAGAATACAAGGTGTTGCTGTGTTGCCGAGTTTCTGTGTTGCCGAGTTGCTGTTGTGTTTCTTTGTTTCTGTGTTGCGGTGTTGCATTGGGGTTGTGGCTGGCGTCTGTGGCGTCTGTGGCGGTTACGGCGTCTAGCAGTCAGGCGTTGCTTTGCTGTGGCCACGGTAGGCACACAACAGCTCCCGGTCGAGCCACGAAACGACCTCCATCCGACTTCTGACCCTTCCTCGTTCACGTCGCTTTCATCCAATCGCCAATTGTCGGACTCAAGGCTGTTGGCTTCAGCCTGGTTTTTCTATCAACGTTCATCCACGGCCCAGTGCTGTTCCCAAGCGACGATATTGGCCTCTCGTGAGCCTCCAAGCTTTACAGCTCGCCCACTATCCATATCTGGAGCTTCCAACGACCCCCTAGCTCTCCTCCTCAACAACCTGACATAGACCGTACACCGCTCCAAACATATCTAAGCTATTGGGACTCGCAATGAGGCTTGATGTAAAAGTATGGTCACCTCATTTCTCTGATAGGAAACTTTGATATCGTGCTAACCGTACCGCGCCCCGCTAATTAGAGACAACTTTTTGCCCGGTATACTTCAGTTCTCTCGTTTTCATTTTCATCCAAATAGATCACGATATTGACCCATTTCCAGATCTGATCGGGTAAAAGGAATCGATTTCCACCCTACAGAGCCCTGGGTAAGCTACCCTTGTAAGGTGGATCTCTCATACGCGACGACTAACTGACAGGCGTTTATAGATCCTCTGCTCCTTGTACAGCGGTATATGCCATTCACTGCGTCCCGGGGCCAGGCCCTATACAAACCGCACGGAACTGATTGTGTTTAAATAGGTCATGTCTATATCTGGTCATTCGAAACGCAGGCTGTCGTCAAGACTTTCGAGGCAACTGACGTCCCCGTCAGAGCTGGTCGTTTCATTGCGAGGAAGAACTGGATAGTCGTTGGTAGTGATGACTTTCAACTTCGAGTCTACAATTACAATACTTCCGAAAAGATTACCCAATTCGAAGCTCACCCAGATTACATCCGCGCAATCGTCGTCCATCCGACCCAACCTTTCGTACTTACTGCTTCAGATGATATGACAATTAAGCTATGGAATTGGGAAAAGGATTGGAAATGCGTGCAAATCTTCGAAGGTCACAGCCACTATGTTATGTCTCTTGCTATTAACCCGAAAGACACAAACACCTTTGCCTCGGCCTGCTTGGATAGGACAGTGAAGATATGGAGCTTGGGAAGCAGCACACCTAACTTTACCCTTGAAGCCCACGAAACGAAAGGTGTCAATCATGTCGACTACTATCCCGCGGCCGATAAGCCGTATATCCTTACAACCTCTGACGATAGGACGGTGAAAATTTGGGACTATACAACAAAGAGTAACATTGTTACTCTAGAAGGCCACTCCTCCAATGTTTCGTTTGCGTGTTACCACCCAGAGCTACCTGTTATTGTATCCGGATCTGAAGATGGTACCATAAAGATTTGGCACGCGAATACTTATCGGCTCGAGCAGACTCTGAATTATGGCCTCGAGCGCGCATGGTGTATTGCGTACCAGAGGGGCCGAAACGGCCTAGCTATGGGCTTTGATGAAGGCTGTGTCGTTATAAAAATGGGACGTGAAGAGCCTGCCGTCAGCATGGACTCAAGTGGCAAGATAGTATGGGCTAAACACAATGAAGTATTAAGTTCAATGATTAAAGCCAGTGGTATGATCCTTAGCACCGCATTTGAATACACTCATACTAACTTCTATTCAGATAGCGACACTAAAGACGGCGTGCCTCTTTTGCTTCCCGCGAAGGACCTAGGCTCCTGTGAAATATACCCCCAATCATTAATGCACAATCCCAATGGTCGTTTTGTCTCCGTGTGTGGTGATGGAGAATACATCATTTATACAGCCTTGGCATGGAGAAACAAAGCTTTTGGACAAGCCCTAGACTTTGCCTGGGGATCAAAGGACAATAGCAATGACTATGCTATTCGAGAGTCTGCTACGTCCGTCAAGGTCTTCAAGAATTTCAGAGAGAAGCCGGGTGGTATCGATGTCAACTTCGCGGCTGAAGGGCTTATAGGCGGTGTTCTCCTCGCGGTCCGTGGAAGCGGATTTGTTAGTTTTTACGATTGGGATAGCGGTGCACTTGTTCGAAGGATAGATGTTGTTCCAAACGCAGTATATTGGAGCGATGGAGGCGACTTAGTTGTTTTGGCCTGCGAGGAATCATACTATGTCCTAAGATTCTCTAGGGAGCAATATGTGACCGCAGTGGCAAACGGCGAGGTCGAGGATGATGGGGTTGAGTCTGCCTTCGAAGTTGTGACAGACATCAGCGAAACGATCAGAACTGGCGAATGGGTTGGAGACTGCTTCATCTACACGAACTCGGCAAATCGTTTGAACTACCTCGTCGGCGATCAGACCTACACCATTGCCCATTTTGATTCATCTATGTATCTGCTGGGATATATTCCTCGAGACTCAAGAGTTTATCTTGCCGACAAAGATGTCAAAGTGATCTCATATTCTTTATCCCTCAATGTCGTCGAATATCAGACCGTTGTCCTCCGAGGGGACATGGAAACTGCCGCCCAGCTCCTGGAGGAAATTCCGGCAGACCAAAAGAATAAGATTGCTCGCTTTTTGGAAGGTCAAGGATACAAAGAACTGGCCCTGGAGGTCGCAACGGACCCTGAGCATCGTTTTGAGCTCGCTCTTGCGCTGAACAGCCTTGATGTTGCGCTGGAAATTGCAAGAGAGGCGGATGTTGAGCACAAATGGAAGACTGTTGGAGACGCGGCCATCGCTGCCTGGGATATCACATTGGCGAAGGAGTGCTATAGTAATGCTAAGGATCTGTCTTCACTTTTGCTGCTCTACACTGCACTGGGAGATGTTGCTGGACTAAGACAAGTCGCAGAGCTGGCTGCAGAAAGCGGGTCCAACAATGTCGCATTCTCATGTTTATGGCAGATTGGTGACATAGATGGGTGCGTCGGCTTGTTGTCAAAGGCTGATAGATATCCGGAGGCCGCGCTCTTCTCTAAGACATATAAGCCTTCGATAGCAGCTGAAGCAGCAGAGCAATGGAAGCTGTCCCTACTGACAGCCGCCCAGAAAGATAAACAAAAAATTGATGTCGGGAAGAAGAAGATCGCTGAAGCCATTGGTATACCCGGGGTTGACGAGGATCTGTTCCCAGAGTGGGAGCAACAGTTACAACTGGAGGTTGACAGAGATCAAAATGGCGGTAGTGTGGGCTCGGACGGTGTGCTCGTAGATATCAAAGGCAACGCTGAAGAGGACGACGGCGAAGAAGAGGAAGACGACGAAGAGTAGACGTTATTCTGTAGCTTTATGTTTTTTTTTTTGTCTTCTTTCCCCTTTCTAGTCAATAGGACGACTAATTGTACTTATTCCCGGCCAAATAAGTTCCTTTCATGTTGATTTTCCAATATTATCTCGCCGCGATAATTATAATTATCAGCGTCGCGGCGTGCAGGTTGTGTCCTGCATGTTATGTCCATAAATGAAGTATACAAGAGAATGCAATGGTGGCAGTTTTAAACTTGTGTTGACCCTTAAGATCTTGCCAGCAATTTGTGAAGCTTCAACCGAGCTCGAACATTGACATGCTCCTTGGAAACCACAAACCTCCCTCTCAAGCTTTAACATCATCGAATATCATAGCTTGGATGGGACCAGGAACAGGTAAGTGTTACAATGTTTGTTGACACCTGTCATTTTACCTAGACCTATCACCTTGCTAACTCTATCCGTACACTTAACTAATAGGTGATGGATCATATCGGCCTATCAGACGGCCATCTAACTCCCGTCGCGTATCCCGTTCTCTGACATAGCCCGCCAGGCCATCGGGAGATCTCTTATGGCCCTCAGCCTGCCCTCTACAGACTCTCCCGTATCATCGGGATTCGACCGAAGTCAGCGACTTTCGATCTCGAGTTCTAAACCCCCCCCTTTATCTAACGGCATCAAATCGCCTGATGCCACTCGGAATGGCATATTACACCACCCAAAAAGCTTGAAGCAATATTCCTCAACGCTACTCGAAATACCGGCCGTACAAGCGGGTGCACCATCAGTGTCCAATCGCACTCCAAGCCGAAGCCCAAGCGAGAAGAATGAGTACAACTTACCGACCATCCTGACGGAAGGGCCGTCACCGACAAGTACGTTTAGCTACTCTGGGAGGGGAACCATCAAGGAAGCTAGAAACAAACGAAGGAAGCCCTGGAAGAAGTTGATGTGGGTAAAGCAAAATTGTATGTATTTACGCCTGATACTTTATCGTTTTGGGTAGTCTTGAGCTAATATGAATGATTAAGATCCGGACAATTACACCGATGCAACTTTCCTCGAGACTCTCCAACGGAATATCAACTTCCGCGCCTACGATTTCTGGCCTCTCGTATACGACACCACTGTAATCATACAACATATATCCACTGTCGTCATCTTTGTTTGCGCATTCGTTGCTATCTCCGTAGGGAAAGTCCAGCCTGGTTATGTGGCAGGTGCAAGTACCATTTTAACAATATCGGGCTGGCTAGTTTGGGATGATTGGAATGAAGAAGAGCAAAACTTTTTAACCAAGGCTCAAGAAGCTGTCTCCTCTATTTCTCGAAGAGAATCTTCGGGGGAGGAAGACTTGGCCAGATCCAGGAAGCTAAAACCACCAAACCTCGGAGAGGCAGAAGAAGCCCAGAACTTGCTAGACCCGAGGGCACAAGAAAGAAAAACATCAGCCGTCAGGTCGGCTTCGCTCTCTCCAAAAAAGTCTGATCGAGTATCCAACATCCGACCGGGTGTTAGCAGTACCTTGACTTTAACACCTTCGGCAACCAATCTAGACATCGTAAAGCCAAATAGCAAACCTGGAGAACCACTTGCAAGATCCTTAACAGCTCCAGCGTATTCTTTATCAACTCATACTCCTATACGCCCTCCCTCGCCTCCACCTCCACCTTCTCGGGCTAATAGGAGACTATCGACGCTAAAGAGCGCGCTACTCATCTACAGTACCCTCCTTGGTCTAAGTCCTATCCTCAAAAGCTTAACCCGGACTACTACCAGTGACAGTATATGGGCTTTAAGTAGTTGGCTATTTTTGGTAAATTTACTGTGCTTTGACTACGGACTGAGCGAAGGCGACACAGAAGTCAAGAGGGGCGTGGATGGAGGTGTCCAGCTACCTCATGGCGGCTTAGGCCCCCCAGGAGTCGGGAACTCCCTGAGGAGAAAGTATGCAAACTACACAACTATTAATCCTTACTTCGTTGGTGCTAATTTTTTTACACCCATAGACTTCCGACCTCTCTTTCAACAACCACCGCCCTTGCTGCATCCGTGGTTTTAGCATCTCGGCTTACCGAAACGGCGGATGTTTTTTCACTTTTACTTTTCTCGATTCAGATATTTGGCTTGTTTCCTTTATTTCGGCGTAGGCTTCGTCACCTTTCGTCGGTACTCCACGTATCACTAACCTCGGCCCTTGTTCTTTTCGCGGGCGGTAGTTTGCACTATGTAGTGAACTGGCAATGGTCCCTGATGTGGTTCGGTATGGTTCTCGGCGGTGGCGGCGGCGCAGCGTGGGTTCTTATGGGAATGCAACGGTATAAAAATGAAATTCGCGGCCCTTGGGATCCTGCAAGGCCAGTATTCTCGCGGAGGCAATGGGCGGATTAGTCCAAAGGCACCTTTAGACGGCGTTTGTGCACAATACAGTTTCACAATGTACGGATATACTTTTAATGTCGTTCAATAAGGCTTTGAGTCATGAATTCCGGGAGCAGCTGAAGTGTGTGGCTGACTTTAACGTGTACAAAGTTCGAAACCATAAAAGATTCCTCTAATCTCTATCAATTTATGTACATTTTATGAGCCTGCCTATGCTTCGGATAGAAGAGCAATATATACACGTTTTCGGCGTCACGACATTCGCCCGGTTTAACATTAAAGTATCCTCAAATCAACCTTCGAAGACCTTTGAATTAAGCTCGATCCCGAAGTCTTCCTTTGCCATAGCCCTCATCCTCATCTCTAATTCATCCTCAAAGCCTTCTCCGAGTCTTAGAATTTGTCTTAATCTCACTGTCAAGAAGATGACATCTGAGGATATAAGAATGAACCTAAATATGGCATAACGCCAATATGCCATCAACTTCTCACCCCAGGTGGCGTGTCGGGTTAGACTAGTTTGCGACATTAAAAGGCCTCTCGACGCGGCTAGTGCAGTTTCTTTTATGCGGTTCACCGGGGAGCCCATAAGTTGGTTATTCCCTTGTATAATTCTCATACTCCTCCCTAGAAAAACCAACTCTCGAGGAATCTTAGTAGTATCGTTTAAAAATGTTTTCATGCCTTCGCGCATCCGTTCGTTCATTTCGTAGGATCCACCGGGCCCGTTTGGATCATCTTCTCCAGTCAGGCTCTTTGTGAATGATTGGTCGCCGCCAGTGTATGGGCGTAGTAGAGTAGCTGAGGCAAACATGTCTGCGTTTCCTATGCCCCATTTTTCTGCGACTTTACCAATCTTCTCGTTATCGATAGTAAGGAGGGACATCCATAGTTCACCTAAAGGTTGTGTTAGTATCGTAACCCGAGTAGTGGCCTAATAGATTGAACTCACAGTAATCTTTCCGCATATCTTCACTCATATCAACATAGAGCCCATGGTCAATCAATACAACTTCAGGCTGACCGTTTGGCTTCCGTCGTACACTAGGTTGAAAGTTAGGGTTCCTATTCTAGTATATATATTAATTTGAACACTTACAATATGTTTCCTGGATGTGGATCACAATGCACGTGGCCCCATGAAAACATCTGGCGGGCGAAGAGGCGAACAACTACCCTTTGTCAGTACGCTTTACGACCCTAAAAACTGATATAAAACTCTTACTAATAGTCATAACATCCGTCAAGGACAGTCCTAACCCAGCCCTGCGGATGGTGGTATCATGACGAACATTTGGTGACGTTTCAAACAATGAAGTGAACTCCTGGGAGATATGTTGGTTCTGTTTCTGGGCCCTTCTGCGTCCAATCGGCTTCCCAACTTTATCATAACCTCTCCAAGGGCCGGTTATGACCTCGCGGTCCCACAGTTTCACGCCGTCGATCCATTCGGCGACAAGGATTCTTTCAGTTGAGTATTCACGGAAAATCTTGGGAACATAGACCTTGTTCCTCAAACTAGGGTCTGCCAAAACAAACTCCCTTGTCCTTTCCGAGTTATCAGCTTCATTGGTAAAATCGCATTCAGACTTTAGCCGCTCACGGATATAGGGTACGACAAAATAAAAGTTGACGTCGAAGAACTTTGATTCTAGCCACATCAAAATGCTGGGTATCAATGTTATCACCATGTTAGTTTTTCCTCCCTGGAACTATCTAGCATATGGTTTTTAGAAGGAAAATACTAACCTCCAACTTTGCAAATCCCAGCGGATCCAAGTTGCGATTTGGGGTTTTTGTATTTTGACGGCTACGGGCGTTCCATCCTTTAGGCGTGCCCGATGAACCTGCGCAATGCTTGCACTCGCAATGGCTTCCTTCTCAAACGAACCGGGCATGAAGATATCATCTGGAGTTTTTCCGCCAAAATCCCGCTTGAAAACCTTGAGTATTTCGTTATATGAAACCTGGGGAGCATTATCGAATAACTGTGCGAATTTTTGCTGAAAGGCAGGTGGGAGGACCGCAGCTTGCATAGCAATGGCTTGTCCGACTTTAAGATAGAGACCTCCATTCTTTGCCAATACGTCGAATACTCTCTCTGCGGATCTTAGATGGAGGCCATCGATTTTATCACCTTTTCGCTTTGTGAAATTGAGTTTGTAGTCGATAGTAATGACGAGTCCAGTGTAGAATGTCCGAGCGCTACGAATGAATGCAGAATAATTGAAGAATCTATCGACACAATACAAGGTACCCCCGAAGAAGAAGACATAAATAAATCTCCGCCCCCATTTGATAAGTCGAGGGTATTGCTTTGGTGGCCTAGGTGGCGGCAGCGACGACGGAGGCGGTGGGACGAAAGGTGAGAATTCGCGGGGCTGATCGAAGCCGTATCCTACGCCCACCTGGTGCCGCCTTTGGGGCTGATTGAGGTGTAAACGAGACCAGAGGCACGCATTTTGGGCTTCTTGCGGCCGGGAAATCTTGCGCAGATGTTGAAGGTACGGTCGAAGCGTGGGGCGCAGAGCCCGACATGGTGGCGACATCTGTTTTTTGCTCTAAGGGCGAGCAGCCGGATCCAAACAACGTTTTTGAAGCGACCGGTATTTCGAGAGCATCATCTAATCCAAGTAGATGAGCTTTGTAGAGCTGGAAGTCTGATGCCGAGTAACCTCATCGCAGGATTCTGGTGGAATGGAATGTTGATGTTGGGCATCTCACGACCTTTTTCTACTTCGGTTTTTGTACCGGCCGACGCCGTGACTGTAAGCGACTTGCCCACGTTAACCCCGGCGCCGACTAAGATTCTTCAGCCGAAAGCCGACTTTTGATTTAAGCTCCCCGGAGCCAATTGCAATTGCCTTGAATAAGCTAGATAATTTATATACATACTAATATACACTTGAAATTTGAGTATTTACAGATCATGGTCCAGGGTTGCAAATAATTGGCTCTATCAATGCAATGCATTAAGCATCAATTTTCACTGGGCCTTTCCAGTCTCCAATATGTGTGCTTATAATATCAGCCGCTTGGTGGGCGGTATGCTGACGACCAAGCGCCTCTACGAAATTACCATCTGGATCTATAGCCTTTGTTAGCAGCTGTCAAATATATATATCGTGGAGCATCATACCCATCAGATAAAAGTATATCGAGTGGTCCACAAGGTAGTCCATCCCCTCTTTCAGATCTCTCGGCGTAGAAAAGTAAACTCGGTACTTTTTGCAGACATCCTTGATCTCATCATAAGTGCCAGTAAGACCAACCAAGGCTGGATGAAATTCATTAAGATATTCTTTCATCTATACGCCCGGCTCTGGTTAGAAAGGGTCGTCAAACAAGATCTAGGTATATGCATCTAGGTAAGTTGATAGGTAGGGGAATGGCAGGCGTACCACTTTGGGTGTATCTCGAGCGGGGTCGCATGTTATAAATATCGGCTGAAGGCTCTTCCCGCGTTTTTCATAGACCTCTAGTACTGTTAGAACCGGGGCTGCTTAGTATATGACTTTTGGGGCTGCGTACTATCGATCATGACAGCCATTTTGTCGAGCTCTTCAGGACATATATCCGGACAGTGAGTGAAACCAAAGTAGACCTATATTCCCGAATAAATCAATGGTTGTCTTTAGAACGCCTGAACCCTGCGCGTATGGATCTCTGAGGGCCCGTACCAGACTGAACTTGCCATCTCTGGCTTCCTTGTCCGTGATCCTCTGCCCGTTCTGATCTGTCAGGGTGAATTCCCCTCCTATTCTCGCTTTACCCACACCTTTATGGCTCTCTGTGACACGCATTCTTTCCATACGGCCCTTCTCGTATGTGAAGTAGCTGTACAAACCGACACCAGTAAGAACAAAAAGTGCACCGGCGCGGAATGAGAACGGCTATGGTGAACGGGAACCTTTAGCACCAATCCCTAAACTTCCGACTGTAGACTGCAGGATAAAAAACTCACGCCTGATTTATGTCGCGCCTCGGCTTCTTGTACAGTCTTGAACATGCCCCATTTCTCCGATCGAGGGCTTGTTGAAAAGGTTCTCACGTTTGAGCGTGGGGAACATATCGCGGGACGGAGCGGCGAGGTTTGCGACCTGTGTATGGTGGAGATTCGCCGGCGTACTCCCGGGGCCAATACATTCTCACAGATGCTCGAAGCAGGCGTGGACAGTGCTAATCGTGCAGCCAGTGACGGCCTTGATACGGACCTTGCAAGAGTTGACATTTTACGGGTTCAATTGGTGTTGTTTGTTGAAGATTAGAAAGTTTTATAAACCTGGCAAAGTCATACGATTCTGGTGTTTATTACAAATGCAAATTCAATGAATATAAACGGGACCGAGGAATCCGAATCGTATTAAAAAGCCTATGTCATGACTGAATATGGACATTGAAGAAAGGGTAATTAAAGAAGTTAGGGCGAAAAGAGAAGACGAAGAAGAAACACGAAACAATCGAAGCATCAGGAAAAGCCGTTATACACTAAGAAATACCAGAAAGGAGAGGTCGGAACAATCATCAAACACCGGCAAATGCTAGCCTTCCAAACGCCTAATTTCAACTGAAAGATAACTCCAGGCTTTCAACATCTAGCTGACGAGAACCCACAACAGGAAAAAGATCATAAGGATTCCGAACATTTTGACGACAAGCCAGCGATTGCTGCTGACCCTACCCCAGTACTTCAGTAATTCACGCTGCGCTCCACTGACGTTAGACACAACATCCTCCGTATTTGCATCGATTCTTTGGATCATCTCTGTTTGTTGAGAGACCATTTCCGCCAACTGTGCGAATATACCACCTAATTCGTGAATAGTAGATTCAATAGCTGCAATGGCATCGGATCGGCTGTTCAGATAGGATTGGTCGGAGGGCTGTTCCTCTAACAGGAGAGCTTGTTGTTGCTGTTGTTCAATGCTTGGCTCTAAGCTGAGGAGGTCGGATTGCGGAAGCGGGGTACGAGATGGTGTCGCATAAAGCGGAGAATGGGATTTGGAAAGGCCTTGTGCTGTGAAAGGAGAGAATTATGTTAGCATTGCTTCGTGACGAAAAATGAAATATTCTATCGACCGTACATCGTTGTCGCATACCCTGATCGTTGAGGCCCCCCTTCACACTGCTAACGAAGTTCTCGGTCCTTTCCCTGCCCTTCTGGATGTTCTTCGTTCTGACCTCGAGAACTTCCCTGAAGCCGACTGAAACATCAGCCAGTTTCCCTTGCAACATAACAACCACATTCTTTGAATGTTCGCCAACTTGTTGTTGAGCCGGAGGGTTCGATCTGTTGAGGGTCTGAAGGGCAGAGATTGATTGATTGATCGCAGAGAGATCTTGTTTGATGATATAAGTCAACTCTGCGATTTCGACAGGCCTGTCGTCGAAGAGGGTCCTGCGTTTTGCCACTATTGATGTTCATATTAATACACGGATGGCCGATATATTCAGCTGATGCCATGTGATACTCACGCAAAGCCAGTCTCTCGAGTTTCCCAGTGGTAGCCGTGATCTTCTTCCCGATATCCGCAGCCTGTCGTGCAAATTCTCCTCTAGAAAGTCTCTTTTTCTCGCCATCGTTGGCAAGTAATGGGACAGAGGCGCCCGACAGGAGATTGTTGCGACTGGCAGAAGCGGTCGGCAGTCGGCGTGTAGCCGTTGTTACGCACGACCGGAACTCCTGTGTTCTATCCTGAACGGCCATGATGATAATGATATTATTATAGGAAGGATATGTATGGATTCTATTTAACTTCCTCGGGTTTCTTCCCGCCGTCGTGGTCTGGTGGAAAGTGGAGGGGTTTAAGGGGGGTTATCTAGAGTAGCCGGGCGGTCTTTCTATTTTTTGTTGGTCTGAGGTGGTGGCGATGAGGCCGAAAGAATGTTGAAGAGAACAAGTGTTGTTTTTGAACGCCTGCGTTAGGTTCCGCTTAAAATCAGATCTGATGCTGGATAATTAATAGGTTAATGATAGGTAGGTAAGTAAGTAAGTATACAGAAAGCCGATGCAATGTTAACAGGCTATTTGAAGTAGAAGAGTAGAAGAAAAAGGATAGATAACCCGACGGCGCCGATGTTGAAGATTTAGGAAACGAAAGCAAAGATGGAGAAAGGGAAGAGGGAAACTTAACTAAACTCCAACATAAGACGGCGGCAGTGCCCCCTGCGGATTAGGGGGCTGGCACACAAAACGAATTAAAATGCACAGCAGTTAAAGGTGTCGAATCCAAAACTTACTTCTTACCTTGTAGACATCTACCACTGCGAAGGCGGGTAATACTTTAGCCTCGGATGCAATCAGTACCTACTACTTACTATAGTACTAGTAGATATAGGTAAATCAGTAGGTGATTGGATTATAATAAACCCCCTGAGGTGTCTAAGTAAGTAAGTATTAGGTATTTGGGCTGAGGCTGGTGGGCGGAACACACATTCGGACAAAATCCAACACAGGTCGCTCAAGTCTCGCTTCCACCCGGGACATTTGCTCGATTCGAATTTTAGTTCTTGTGGATGGCCATATGGACGATCGAGCGATTGGATATTTACTTATGTAAGTAAGTACTTATCTATATATATGTGGGGTAGGTTTAATTAACCATCTCGATTTGGGGATTTTCAGCTAGATGGGGCAGATATGTACTATGTATGTATGTATGTATGTATGTAAATAGTATCTTCCCATCTACCGGGTTTAATGTCATTCGATCATACCTATAATGAATCCGGCTTTGTTTCAATCCCTCGAGGGCTCCCTAGAGCCCTGCATCAATATGCATTTAAAAAATAAAAAAAAATGATTTGACTGGTCGTGCCTCATCCAAGGGATGACGCACTCCCACCTCGCCATCCTGTAGTCAGATCGAGCTAAGAATGCAGGTGTACCCAGTGTTGAAGCTTTTTTATATCTATCTGCTGTAAACAAGGCATTTAGTCTTTGATATAAACACGCACTGTCCGTGTACCTTGCTTTACGCCTGTGTCGACGTCTGTCACTTAGTGCGACATTGCACCAATCACGACTGCTCCGTGGCCTGATACACACATCTCATGAGGCTGTATCACAAATTTACACCCGCGCATCGATCTCGCGTTGAAACGAAGCCCTTCGGTGCCAGGGGTCGGTAGGAAACCCGACATCGAGTTCCCTTTCGATTCGTTTTTGTGCTAATTATAACCTGATTCCGAAATCGAGTCGAGGGACCAGGCCCAACACATTCCCCCACAATCATCAACTGACCTTTTAAGCTTTTAGAATCGGCGGATTTGTTCGGAAATAGCGAAAGATTCATTGCTCTTCCCTTTTACCCGCCAATCGACCCGATGGGAGGCATGAGGAATGGTAAATGGATGTATGTATAAGCGGAAAGTAGCATACGGATAACAAACGGGATCACTGATCAGGAAACTGGTCTCGCTTATCCCATAAGATGAGCCACGGACGACCCGTTTTAATTCCAACCAAGTGAAATGTTGGTAACAAATATCCTTATCCCTATTACCGGGAAGTTCACCATGGGTCTAGCGAACCGGTGGCAGTCTTTTTAGCGATTAGCTACATATATTAGTAGTCGAAAGTGGCCAGTGGGGAAGAAGCTATCCACACTTTGGTGGGATCACGATAATTCCAGATGGATGGTCTAGAATTTGTCCTCAACCGAAGACTTGCATGGTGGCTGTTTTTGTGAGCCCTCGCTAATCGAACTGAAAGATATCTCAACTCGGATTTGTCTCTCTTCGCGAGCTTTATACTTGCACCCACAGATCAGCCAGTAAAACGCTCTGCTTTATCATGTAGCAATCCTCTTATGCTAAAGCTTCGAATCGAGTTGTGACAAAAAAGCACCTATTCGAGAGCACATGTTAGCTCGAAGGTTGATACATGATAGCGCATACTTACATGAGTGAATTTCCACAGATTCGAAAGGCTGGAGGTACATGTATGTAACCTTTTGGTTTTTGTTGTTCGAGTCTCGCCTCCTTGCATTCAAGTCTGGCTGCCCTTCCGTTGCGGAACCGGCTTGTATGCCGACCTGACGTGACTCGGGTACTCAAGTAAGAAGTAGTGTAGTCGACTATCTACTACCTACTAAGTAAGTAGGCAAGAGCAAGAGTAAGCAAAGGGTCTTCCAAAGGGTCCTTCGCTACGAAGGCTAAGGTCTGCGAGAAGAAGAGAAAGATAGGTATTGGATCTACCCAGCGTGTATGTGTATGTGCATGTACCTATTACATGTACTATACCACTCCACTGCATGCTTAGAAAGCACCTAAGTACCTTGTCTCGTCACCAGACTCCTCAATTGTCCAAGTATATACTTGAAGGAAATAAGTACAAGTACTGGTCATGACCTTCTAAGTCATCTGGGGATGTTGACAAACCGTGAAAAGGGCTGTTGCATTGCTTTGCAAGCAACACATCTTCGGCAAGGGCAGTTTAATCGATTCCAACATTGAATAGTCTTGTTTCTGATCCCATCAACTTGTACCCCTCGATTGCATGGGCCTTCACCTGCCCCCCCTCCAAATTTCATGGGTTTCTATTGCCGTTGCTTGATCTGCGGCTTGGTAATGCGGTAGAAGCTAGTGAAGCCGCCCGTTGGATGTTGTGTATGCATGTATGCAATGGCCATGGCAATCGATGCAATCCGCTCAATGGTACCGTGCCAGACAACAGTCTGAGTCTAGACGGTCGGTCCCTTCATCCGATTCAGACTTCCTATCGTATGAAAAAAGCAAAAGAATAATAATGTGACAGACGGTGGCTTCGAGTTAAGTTCTATTGCTGCAATGCATGCGTGATGGCGAGGAGGAGGCAGAGGAGGAAGAGAGGGACCCTAAACGAAAGCACAGGGGACTCCACGGCATCCACAAGACTCTTACTCGGGATCTGGCATGGGCACTAGATCGGTTTTTATATATACCAACTGGACTTCCCCCTTCCTATGCCTAATCAATTACCTGGAATCTCGATCTGATTCTTAGCTTCGTCCATACCTCTGATGGTTTCAATATAATATCTATCAGATATCTTCTACCCGTCCATCCATCCATCACCCATCTATCCAGTATACAAATACCTAAGTAGGTATCTAAGTAGTTAGTGATCCCAGGGTCGGACCGTTTCGAGCTGAGCATACATTTCTTTTCCACGGATTTCTGTGGGTCCGTTACATTCCTCGACCGTTCAAATCGCCTCGCTTTCCTCTTAAGCTTATCATTCCTGACGATTCGAATCCAAGTTCTCGTTTTCCCCCCCCCTCTTTCTTCTCTATGCCCGAACATATATTCAAGATGGCACCCAATCGCCAACCCCCTTATCAGCATTCCTATCATCTGGATACCGACAGCTGCAGATTGTTCTCAGAAGGTCACCCTCTTTGGATTCCTTCGTATGGAAGGAGTAATATAAACTTCGATGCTCGGATTCCAGACACGGAAGATTTCGAAATCGATTGGCCTATTCTAGATAAATACGCTGATGATCTTGATACCGAGATCTATCAAACCACTGTTCCCCAGGCGAGTTATAACAAGAGAACGGCGCACTACAATAAACCACATAGAGCTATTCATTCGGCCCAGAGAACCGAATCACGACCTTTCCTCAATACTACCTCTAAGCAAGCCTTACTTCCAAGACCAAATGCAAATGCAAGATCTTGTTCTACACCCGCACCTCTAGTATTGTCAATGAGTGCCTTCAAGCGAGTCAACCTCCAAGTCCCCCCAGCCCCCCCGCCATCTCCTACTTTAACTCCTCCACCATCCCCACCATTTTGCCCATTGTATGAGGAATATCAGACTTTGGGAGTTTTCGACATCCCAGCGATTAGTATCCCAAGACCAGCTATCAGGGCAGCTATTCCCAGATCTCCGGAGTTCGTAACCTACTGTTCTTCTGATTCAAACTCCACGGATGTTGAAGAAGACGAAAGAGATTTTGGGACAGACACATCTTCGTGCTATCTAGTAGAAACTTTGGACGACTATGATTCAGCTCCTCCACCACCTTCGATTCAATTATATCGAACAACAAGCCAACCGGGAAACTCGCTACAGATCCCGAGGCATATCATGAGTACGACTACCCTTTGTCCATCGAGATCTTCTCCATCTACACCAAGTGTAGAAAAATCCCTCGGAAAGAGCCTTCTAGCATCCTCTTTCTTCGAATGGGACCCCGAACCAGAGTTACCGGCTCCGACACAATGGGGCAGGTTCAAGAATTCGAGATATCGGAATTCTAGAAGAGGCTCCGATTCTGACGAGAGCCATTCCAGCAAAAGTAGCGTCAGAGAGAAAGCCGAGCGCCTTCGCAGGAAACTCGAAAGTGTATTTGGAAAAAGATAATCACCATAATAGACTGTCACTCCACGTCTACATCAATATGTTTTCCTTGTTTTTATTTTTTATTTCATCTAGCTTGTACACACGACTGCGGGTGTCTTTACTTTTTCTTGGATATGATTATTTTTCACGCATGATGGTTATAACTAATTATTTTCAGCCAGGGTATATGTAATTATGGCTATTGGTTCTTATCTTTTCGTTGGTTGGTTAACTGGCAATTTGAATATCGATAATTACTTAAGTACCTAACTTAAGTAGGTTGTGGGGATATCAAAAAGCCGAATACCTACTTGGTTAGGTAGTTGTACGGAGTTGGTACTGTGCGGGTGGTTAGGGTGGTGAACTGTATCTTTCTGACTCGCATTAGCGCCTCTGCATACTTGTTTTATTTCTCTAGCTCTCTTTTCTCAAAAGTGTATAAGGTCTGCATTCAGTATACGTAAATTAGATTAGTTGCTAGCATAATCAAATTAACTGCAATATATATAAGTATATACTTATCCCGATGACTTGGTTCTGGGTACCTATAGCTTATCTAGATATCTCGTCAATGAATTGTTATATTAAATCCATACCAAATTGTGTACCGTGATGTCGTCACCCTGGGATGATGCACATGCGCTATATCGCGATATCGCGATGTCAATGTTGGCAGTGGACCTCACGGGTTTTAACCAAAAACTTGTTGGTATAGGTATATCTACATACTGACTTATAAGCTTAGTATGCCCCTGTAAGCTAGAACGACTCGTAATTAATATATAACTATACTGTGCCACATGCACCAGTTAACTTTTGAAGGCCACGTCGAAATGCATATGGCGTGCACATGCATCACGATCGATGTATATGTAGCGCCATAGCATGTAGTATCGAGAGAGGAATACTACCCTCAAAAACAAAATTGCCGGCTACGACCGTGATCACCATGGTACCATATTATAATGACTACACTACCTTGTTCCGGCGCGAGCGTAAAGTTAAATACTACTACTGTTGTTAGAATCCATGTTTCTTTATCATCCCTGCCTCTAGAGGTTGAAATTGAGATAGTTAGCGAGGGGGATTTCTTTGACTCTACTAGCTTGCGGCGTAACACTGGAGAGTTTCTATTGATGTTGTTCAACGTACGTACATCGAAGTTTTATGTGCTTAGCCGGATCTATGCCAACAATTCGTGCATTGACCATAAGGCATTGAGACCGATCGTGCTGGATACAACCCTGGTCGGTATCCCGACTGGTATGTGATAGCCGGGTGGTTGCGATTTAAGTGGACACAAAGTTCAGCCTTACGCATATTTTTGACGCTGCACTGAAAATTTAATAGGCTGTAGCTACGCAAATTTATTTTAAAATCTATTGTTTACCATTAAGACGCTTGTGAACCCCGGATTCCAACGCTGTAAATCCTGTATTCGATCTATAAATTTTCTTCTGTATCGATTTTAATTGGCAAAAGGGCGCCGCGACATGGCATCAGCCGTGCCACGAAGTTTTCGGGACAGGGAGAACAAAGAAAGATCCATGTTTACCCATACCATTATTGTCATCCAAAGAGACAAAGAGAGCTAGAGGAGGAGGAGAAGGAGGAGAATGCTATAGGATATTTTTATGCGATATTGCGATCGAAGTGGTTGATTGTGATGGATACTAGTGCTCACGTAGCAGCATAAATAAAGACTGCCCACGGTGGACATGAGAAGATGTAGCTTGCACAATAAGTCCCCCAAAATCCAAGAATTTGTGAGTATCTGTCACCTCAAGCGTATAACTAGACTACAGCGGATCTAAGGTATAGTAGGAGACAGTCCGAATGTTAACATTTGTTCCATTTTTAGCTCGATTATTTTTTTGAGAAAAGACTCTCTTCGGAAACAAAACCACAGTCGAATCGATCACGCAAGGTCTCTTTATCTACACTTAATCTGACCAACCAACTCGAGAAGGAGATATATACATTTTGAAGACAAGGCCATCAAGATGTGCAATATTTCACTTCACTGCTACGAGTGTGGGGATTCTTATCTTCTTCCGACGCCGACCAGGTGCGATACAAACAAAAAGATGGGAAGTTGTGATTCCTTCGAAGTCGGACAGACGTTTCGTATGAATACGGATTGTCCTTATTGTCGTCGGAGTGCCAAACGAAGGAAGTTACCGGCAAAGGCAAGAGGGATCTATGCATTGAGCTAAGGAGTTATCATCATTATCACCATTATATTTATACATATTCTGAGACTGGTCAAGTTTGTGGTTATTGAGGTTGAGGAGGAGGAGTTGAAAGTGCGTTGTCAATGTCGCTTTTCCGTTTTGGGCAGGCCGTACTGTGTGACATTTCAGTACTCGAATTCAAATTAATTCGATCTCAGCTCCGGGGCCAATGCAATGCAAAAAAATTTTAAACACTTGACTGTACTTACATTGCTATTCTGAAATTAAGAACTCTCATGATTGTGGATCTAAGTGCTTAGATAAAATACAAAGGATTGGACCAATACTATATTATGTAATTGATGTATTTGAATAAACAACAGGCGCTATGACGGGATTATATTAGCGGGGCGCAGCGCATCCCACAAGATCCATACGATCCTTCTGATATTAATCACATCAACTTACTTAGCCAAGGCCATTGTGGGACCTGACCCGGCCATGGCAAAAACCCGTGTCAGATTTAAGCCTCCCTTTCATGTAATTACTATGTAAGTGTGCATGGACTAAATTACTGACTTCTTCAGATATACGGAGCAAGTTGACATTGCCTGTAAAACTTACTAAGTACCGAGCAGCCGTCGGGTCGCCACTATCATCATCATCATCATCATCATCATCATCGATCGCTTCTTTTTTTTTTCTGATATTCTACTTTTTTTATTATTCTATCTTATTCTATTCTATTTTATTTTAATCTTTTATTGTACTTCTTTTGTATCCTTTTTACAATACCCGTTTGGTTGGTCATTTCCCCTGTGTCCTTTCGCGTACTTACATACCTTCTGTTTGGTTGGTCTGCGACTTTATTGATTGGCTTCGACTCGACTCGACTCGACTCGACTCGACCCGGCTGGAGCCTGTCTGTTCTGGTCTGTTCCGTTCTGGTTTGGCTGCCTTGTTTTCCCTTCAGCCTCAGGGTGTTTCAGCTGCACCGGAAACTCTGGTTGCCCACGGGAAACGTTCGAAGCGGGCTGCTGCTGCTTCTGCTTCTGCTGCGAAATTCAATCTCGACTTCGTCCGATACCTCACGGAAGACAACTATCGTCTCATCCCAAGTGACCGTCAACCTCATTTTTTGCGCCGTCGTGGCCGCTGTCCTCAGGTCGTGGCGTCCATACTCTTTCGACATTGCTCCAACTTTCGCAGATTCGGAAGTCGCAAAGAGGCGGCTTGATGAACGACAGAAACACCAGCCGGCTTCAGAACTAGAAAACTACATCAATACGAACGAACAAACCAAAAAAAAAGAAAAAGAATAGGAATCGGCCGTCGAGTGATGCGCTGAAGTCTTTAAATCACTCGTAAAATGACCTATAATAATCGGTAGGTCTCTGTTCCTGGCGAACAACGGTGGGGCTCTTGCATTCCTGACCATTTAAACTAACTCCGTAATCTTGGAACCCGCGCATTAGATACAAAGAGGCCCCGTCGAACAATCTTGATCCTACTCGCTTTGCTCAGAACCCGACTCGAGCCAAATCAACGCGATGGACTGCCGCAAAGGCTCATAATTATGATGGAGACGATTGGGGAGACGAGTACGAGGATGAGTACAACAGCGACATATACAGTTCGCCATACCAATCGCAACAAAGATCGCACAGCAGTCAGTACGGGGGCGCATACGGAGCCGGTCAGTCGCAGTATGGGAGCCAGGACTTTTCTCTCTCCCGGAGTTCGACCCAACCTGTCTCGCAGGAATCGTATCCGAACCACGAAGCCCAGGAGGAAACCCCCAAACCGCTGATTCGGCAAGGAACTACGCCCGTCGCGTCGGCGAGTCAGCGATATAGCTCATCGGGTATCCAGCGCAAACCTAGCAAGATGGATAAAGATCGAGAGCCCTATAAACGGGTCCAGCATGAAAACGAATATGTAGAGCCTGCGGTGTCGAGTCCATCCGGTCCTGTTCAAATTGTGCAGTCTACGAGCCCATTCGAATATAATACCGCGCCCATTGTTTCCCACCCGGCTGCTATTGTGGATGATTCCAGAGCGAATAATATTGCTGCAAACGAGGGAAACAGTATAGCATCCACTAAGCAGCCGGAATCATTTGCGAGCGCTAGTCCGATCGGTGGTTCTCCAACTCTACGACGTCCTGCAGACATATATGCTGCTGCAAATCAGAATATTTCGAATACCCCAATACTCACTGTGGATACCGGTAGCTACGAGGTGTCAGAGCCGGTCATAATAGAGAAGCTAGTAGAACCGTCGCAACCAGCCCCGAGTATAGCGGAGACCGGTACCCCTCAGCCAAAGGAAGAGTCTCCACTACCACCACAGATCCATCGTGAGACCACACCAGTACCTCAGTTTGAGATTATCAGCCCACAGCCCGCTACAAGCCCCGAGGTGAACGTACAGGAAGGGAACGCTTACCCACCACCACCTCGAATTGAGGAACAGCCCCCCTCGCCGCTGAGTGATAGTCCCGAACGCAATGATATCTACAGTATATCACCCGGACATAGTAATATTCCCTTTGGTGCGCGTACAAACGACGATTTTGATAGGAACATCAATATCGTTACCCTGCCCCCGCCCCAACCAGGTCATTTCCTGACAATCCCAGAGCCAGTTCAAGAACCACCACGAGGATATGAGTCTGATTCCGATGAAGAAGGGGGGCTCTTCCATACAAGTACCCCGCCGCGAAGAGGGTCCTTGTCCCCAACCGCTGGCGGCGACTTTAATTTCGACGGTGTTACTTATCCTATCGGTTCTGATTCGCCTCTGGAATCCCACCCGGGCGACTATGAGGTTGGTATGCACAATGCGGGCGTTGTAGCCCCATCAAAGCCTGAGGCTGCGCCGCAATCAGAGAATGAAAACCAGCTGCTAGTATCTCCCACGTCGCCTACTGATGAGGCGGCGACACCACAGCCGCAACCGCAATCAATCGTGGAAAAAGTATCTGATGTGACTGGCTCTGTCGCAAATACATTCTCAAGTTTTGTAGCCAGCGCTCTGCACAGGGATCAGGGTCCTGAGACAAATCCAATCATCCGTACTGATTCCCCAGTGCTGCAACCCCGGGAGCAAACCACGTCACCCTCCCTTGCCATATCTTCTCGACCGGAAACCCCGGCTGAGGCAGCAGCACAAACACACCCCACGGCAATTGGAGATGTTCAGTCATCTCAAGCAACACAACCGGATAATGTCCCTCTGGAAACTGAAAACCACGTTCGATCGCGTGAAGGAACGCCCAGTAGATTCGAAGAAGACGAAGAGGAAGAGGTGATTATCGAGGAAGCTAGAAGGGGAGCATGGGGTATGGCGACGCCCGTGGCAATATCGCAGTCACCGTCGCAGTCACCATCGCAGGCGCAGTCTCCAACAAAGCCGCCCACACAGATGCCGCTTGCTGCTGAAGTATCTCAGCCCCTTATCACAAAGGTGACACAGCCGGTAATTCACACCCCGCAACCAACTTCGACTCAGATCGAGCAATCCGTTATAATCCAAGGACCTTCTTCTGAAAGGGCGATATCTCCCGCAAGCCATGTATCTTCGACCCACTCAAAAACTCCATCCTTTACAACCACGGCGTCGCCTATGCAGTCAACCGAAAGTCGAAACCCGCAACCGACTTCTTTTGCCGAGTTTCTGAAACGATCACCTCAGTCTACTCCGACTGGTCTCGCATCTAGTCCACCAGTAACATCTGGGTCACCAGCTCCAGTTGCCCCTGCAGTAGTGTCCGCACCTGTTTCATTTAAGGACTTTATGACTAGCCGTGGTAACCCAACAATCGAACCCGAAAGGTCGACCCCTCCACTCTCAAGCCATCCGGCTTCGACGCCGCCTGCGCCTAGCTTCAAAGATTTCTTACTACAGAAAACCCCAGTTAGTCAGCCGGTCGCGTCTACTCCGTATGAAGCCGGAACCCCATTATTGGAAGCGCAGGAAACACCAAAAAACCATACTCCGGTAAGGCAGCCTTCTCCAATACGCCATAGTTTAATCGAAACAGGCGCGGTTCCGCCTATCAAGCCGCCAACAAATGCTGCGCGTGAGGTACCTCCCTCAGAACCAAGCAGTACGGCGTCGCATTTGGATGAAGGCGAGGCTCTCCGTCGGGCTATTCTCAAAGGACTTGATGCGGAATCACAACCAGACACTCCGGATACGCCCAACGAATACATGAGAAACGTTGACGCTCATTTTGAGGGTTCTCATACGGTTTCAGGCCCCGATAGCCCCATAATCGGGCGTAGTGCAAGCTACAAAGGAAAGATGCCTCAGCGCACAGCCTCTCTCGCTGTTTCTGATGTCAGTGAAGAACATTATCGTCCGCAGCCATTCGAGAATTCCCAATACCAAAGGTTCCCAAAACAAGGTTAGTTCCCTCGCCCTCATCTACAGTTAAAAGACTCACCAAAGCTCACAGGTCCAACTAAAACCTACCCTGCTCCTCCAGCATCGGATATCAGTGCTCCATCCAAGTCTGGGGAGGATCCCGTTTTTACACCCCCAACCCGGAGTGTTGTTGGCGAACAGAATCACGAATATGAACCTTCCATCCAGGAAGAGCCCGAGTACCAACCGTCTATCGTTTCAGAACAATATGTTCCATCGCCTGTGGATACAGTTCACCCTGTTAAGCCGTTTTTGATGCAGAGGGATTTCAATGAAATCCCTACTTTGTTGAATCTTAGCGACATTCTAGCTCTGTCGGATTCTAAGGATCGTATAGCTGCTTCGGAGAAAGCTAGGAAGATCCATGCACAACAGAGCCAACAAGGAGCCCATGACCTTCAGGTTTGGCTTCACCATGTGCAACAGATCAATAACCAAAATGCCCAACTATGGACATACAATAGTACTAGGCCAGGAATGCATGATCTTCGGAACAATCCTTTAGTATCAGGCCGATTCGATCTATTCGTGCAACAAAGTAGCGATGAAAATGCTAAATGGAACTCTTGGGGTCGATTGGATGATGGTGTTCTTGGGAGTAGGCCTAGTACGGCTGCCTCCAACGACCCCATGGCTCCGAAAAAACCTAAGACGGCCCCTACGAACGCCGTCCCGTCACAAATGGGCCAGCGGCTACCTTCGCAAAGCCAAGACAACCGGAATCTTGGGGCACCAGCACAAAACGCAGCTGCTATAAACCTGCCATCCCAATCCCCGTCTCTAGGTCAGCAACATGGTCAAGTTTTCCAACCGAACAATAACAAAAGCGAACCAGCTCCATCAATTGCTACTACAGAGCCCTCAAAGGAGGATCACGCTGATGGGAAGAAGAAATCTGGCCTCAAGGGTAGGCTCAAGAATATCCTAGGCCGTAAAAAAGATAAAGTGGAATCACATGTTGCGGCGGAGCCTACGCCCCAAATCATTCTTCCCCAACATGTGCAGCAGCAGCAGCAGCAAGCTGCTATTCCTGCACCTCTCCCTCAGAATGAGAAGTACCCTCCTAATAACACCCAACAGGGCCCCCCTCCCCCCCCTCCTCCTCTTCAAGGTTCTTCCCTCAGTACTCCTCAGGGCCCCGTTAAAGTGCCGCCTCAAGGTCCCCAGGCCCCCCCTCAGGGCCATTTACAAGGTTCTCCGCACTTTCCTGCTAATGGTGCCAGCGCTCCTCATGACCACCAACCGCCGCCGAATAAACTCGTGATACCAAAACAGGATGAATTCTTGCCCCCTCTATCATTCCAGCAAGGGAACAAATCACCAAGCTTGGGGGAAGCAATCAATATACCAAGTTCGAATTCGGTGCCCGATCTAAGGGCGAGATCGCAAATTCAACAGCAAAAAGAAGATTCTACGAAGAGTTCTCAGACCAACTTGCAAGGGCCGGTGAGGCCGGTCCAAGTACCAAAACAGGGTGATCACCAGCCTCCAACAGGGCAAGGTGTACAGAGGCCAAATACTTCCGGCGGTACACAGGGTCCACCACCACTCCGCAACTTTGATGACGATGGCCCACCCCCTTTGAGAAGAATATCAAATTCGAAACCCCCTCCCCCGCGGAAACGCATTTCATCTATTCCCGCACCGGTTCCGGAGGGAAATTACCCACCGGGTGCCTTTCCTCCTCCCCAAGCGCGCCCACATGAACCTCAAGATGCCTCTTTCCGGCCAGGCACCGGTGAGGGCCATATCCACCATGGGGGAATGGGTGCTGGGCAACCCAATTTGAGGGTAGAAAACTCCGGTGGATACGAGCCATCAGTATCCTCAGCTTCTAGCGATCAGGCTAAGAAGTCTCGGCTAAGTGTTTTCGGTAAGCTTAAAGCAAGCCCTGGTGCGCCACATTCTCCATCAAATGTGCCTGGACCAAGCGAGACTGGTAGTCCTCGGCATAGTATTCATACTATTTCGTCTCAGCCTTCGGGGACAACAGAAAAGAGAAATTCCTCATTCTTCCAAAACCAACTCAAGAAGTTCGACCAGTTGGTTGTCGGCAAGGACCGAGCGAACGAATTCCACCACCAGCAGCAGGTTCAAGGGCCGCCACCGAATGGGCAGGCCGTTACACAGGGCGGCCCAGAACCAGGAATCAATAGACAACAAAGCTTCCCGGTTGATAGTTCAAGCTCTGTTCATACAGCTGCCGAACCAAAGAAGAAAAATCGCTTCGCTGCGTTGATCAGCGATATAAAGACGACTGTAAGCAGCCCGCTACCCTCTCTGCCTGCAGAAGCCCATGCTAACAATATATTAGGACTCGCATTCCCACGAGGAGAAGAAGGTCCGAAAGGGTTCGTTCTTTAGTAGGACCCACACGGAGAGTAGTCCAGTAGTTGCCACGCAGCCTGCGCAAGTTGCTGGACAACCTCAGATCTACCCACAACCAAACGGCCAGGCAGTCTTTAACCCAGGCCAAAACGTTGTAGTTCCCATTCCAGGACAATATCACTCTGTCAACCAATCATCGCAAGTTCAATCCGCGACACCCTATGTCAATGGGGCTGGCAGTTCCCTGAACCCTCAGCAGCAACAGCCAATCACTGTGCAAGCACCACAAGGTCAAATCAATTCTAGAATACCGCCGCCACAAGTTGCGCCGCTGCAGAATGTGGCAATAGCCAGGAAAGCTTCCAATCCTCCACCACCAACAGCTCGGTTTTTGGCTGTACCACCATCACCGCCACCCATTAGGCGAGCCGCTCCCGTCGAGGAAGAAAGCATATATACCCCACCAGTAAACCACAAATTAACACCCTCCCAACGTCAACAAACTAGCGATGATTCTCCGCCACCTCTAAGGCCTCACCTAACGTCGTCTCCATCACCGCCGCCCAGGGTCATATACGCACCACCCTCTACTGCACCGGTGGCACAGGCCCAACCCGTGCAACCGGAGCCTATGAGTGGTCACATGGAGCCACCAACAATTCAAACTTCGAGAATACCAGAGCAGGAAAGCAAGGTTATGTCCCCCATCAATACCAGGAGCAGGGAACCGGAACCTTCTTCGTTTTCTGTACACCCGACCAGCTTTGTTGTTGGCGATATAATCTCAGCTCCGCCAATCCAAGCGACTCCCCCACCGATGCAGGAAGTCCAGAAAGCTGAACCGCCCAGAGAGGGGCCACCCAGGGTGGAGATTACTCCTGCAACTGCTGTGGAATCAGAGCCACATAAACTAGAGCCTTTAGTTGTTCATGCCGCTGAAGCGACATCTAGTAAGCCGGAGGAGTCGAAGCCGGAGGAGCCGAAGCCGGAGGAGCATAAACCTAAGGTGGAAGGGCCTACGGTACCCAAAAAAGAAGAAGAAGTCATGCCACTAGCAGAAAGTTCGACGAAGGCCGTGAGCCCTGAACCCCCAAAGGCTTCCAACGAAGACTATGATAAAATTGCAGTAGACCCAGAAGGCCCGGTGCCAGAAGAAGAGGAGAGAATCGTGATGAGCGCCACCACATCGCCCGGTTTCAATGATTGGGAATATTTTTAAGTATTTCGAACACACAAAGCACAGTTTCCTTGAGTTTTACATCAATTCTATATAAAAGCGCTTGCTTACGCCAACCATTTTCTTCGCATCATCTTGATTCACACCAGTTCATAACTTTTTTAGGATAATTTCCTTTGTTAAGACCTTAATACCGTCGCCCACACCTTCGTTCAGTTTTAATCTCCTATGTATTACTAGTAATAATCAAATATTTCAAACCAGATTTCGGGTAACAACGTCCTTATCAGATAGCTTTGTGTCTTCAATGACCATTGATTTCATCCGTGGTAGGTCAAAGAAATAAAGCTCCTCAAAAACAGATTTCCTAAAATCAAATACTAGTCCTTCATTCTCCCCTTCTTCAGTCACTCCTTCGGATCCACCAGCCTTTCTCCATTGCCGAAGGTATTCTCTTTCCCTTCCCGACAGTCCGATGTGATCGATAACAACAGTCCTTGGGCACTCGTATGGAAACTCAACCCCTTGGTCGACTTCGCTCTGGTCAATACCTTCAAAGACTAATCGCACAGGTTTAATCAACTCTTTGAGGGATGTTTCATTATGTGGCTCTCTATAGCATGCCCTCCGGAGGACCTGTCGGTGTTCTAGAAGCTCTTTCCAATTTACAATTCCTGATAAAACGTACAAGCTCTGTGGGGGCGGTAGACGACTTTCGACGGCAAGAAGTTGGAGGTTGTGGCGGCGTCGACCTTTAGCATCCCTTGGAAACAATGCTGAAATGAGTTCTTGGTCAACCGCCATTTCTGGCTTGCCACCTATCGCCCACTTGAGAACTTCCAAGTTTGGGAGCCCAGGTCCGGTGAATAGTTTTACCAGATGAGAAACGTCGAAACTAGATTCCCTCATTATTGTCCTACAAATAGAACTCTGAATCTCAAGTGTTCGAAGTGTGTTTGTGCATTCACAGTTCATGAGTTTTGAGATATCGTAGGCGGATAAGAATGGTAGGAAGATATTCTCGAGTCTGGGATTGCAACTAGCAATAGTTTCTATCACCCCAGGTGGGAAAAACATCAATTTTTCATCGCACCTTGGCATTTCCGCATGAATCTTTCTTAAAGACTTCGTTGCTGTACCGGGAAGACGGGGTGTCTGTAGAGGATTGCCGTGATATCTTGGGAGCGTGTTTTGACGATTCAATGCGAAGAGAACTTCAAGGTGTGGAAGAGTCGTGATGAGCGGGAAGCAGTTGTGTGTTATTTGATCCGTCTCTCCAATATCGATGTACACTTCACGGACTGATCGAGGTAATGCCTTAAAATCCGGAGAGCATATCAATCGGATAACCCTCAAGTTTGGGAAATCGTCACAGAGGTGGTGTTCACCTATATCCTGGCTATTTGTGGCAGCCCAGGGACTCATTCTTTTGTATGCGAGGTGGGTTAAATTGGTGAATTGCTTGATATCCTCTTGCCATTTTTCAATCAAATGCCGGTGACTAAACGTAGCATCGATGTATAATGTGTCGAGAACCAATATTTCCGACTTGGAGGTTAACTCTAGGCATTGAATTGCGTCGGTGACCAGCTCGAACCGGACCTTTCGCGTCGTCAAATCCTCAAGCAGTTGAAATATGTGATCTATGCGCTCTTGGGTATCCTCGAAAATGGTTGGCATGTGGGGGCCTTCAAAGCATTCCGATATTCAGCTAAATGTCTAAGTTGGAAAGTAATGCAGGCAGGTGCTATGAAGACTCTCGGACGAACCTCGCAAAAGATAGAGGGACACGGACGCTAATCCTTTGAGCTTCCCTCCGAGTTGCTCGAGTAGTTTTATTATGGACGTATTAGTGCCTAGATAATCGATGTCCGAGTAAAGGCAGAGCTCCCTGACATGTTCAAGATCACTCGATTGTATCCAACCATTCTTGAGGGACCCGAGCAGGGAATGATTTGGATCAGAGTCATAATCAGTATCAATCGAGCGGTCAGGGAAACCGAAACCATGTAAGCCGAGTCTCAAGAGACTGTCGTTACGGTGGGATCGATGAAGATAACCATAAGATAGCTGGCGAAAGAGGAGGGGCCTTAAAGTTTGATGGAGATATTCGGACGTCAATATTAAGCGAAATATATCAGCCTTTGTCAAACCGTGGTCTCTGACGATGCAGAGCAGAATCTCTAGAGGAAGCTGGTCGAACGGCATATTGGGCAATTATCAACTCGAGCGCATAACAATGGTTGGAGGAAAGTCAGAACAGAAGCACTTGAGGCAGGAGCGCTGTGCTGAAGGTGGGAATATCAAAATGTGAGCTGAGGAGCTGCCGGCTGTGGGTTTTTGTAAGCTAGCATACCACTAAGAAGTGAGCGCCACACATCGCGCACGTCCCTCAAAGCTTCAATAGTACCTGGGTACTTCTCGAGCGGGGAGTCAGAGACGGGTTCTGAGGTGTCTCACCCAGGTAGGAGCCAAATCGATACCAGAATCTGGATAAGCTTTGGCCTAAGCAGAATAACTTCAGCCTTGCAAGCTTGTCCTGCTAGGAGTTTACTCAGTAGCCATTCGGAATTGCTAGACGTAGGGGGGGAAAGCTAAACAGGAACATCGAACTAACTAGCCTTCTCTAGGACGTACTTATACTCGGCTAATTGGGGCACTTGTCGCTAGCCTCGAGTCTGGGCGACCTGTTGTTAGGTTTGCTGCTCCGTCCGGATGCATGCGCACTGTAAATATATACTAGTATATATATTTCCTAGTACTTACATACGCAGTAGTAGTGCTTTAGCCTCGAATCCAGACGGTCATCAAATGGGTTAAAGCTGAATCAGCTCGCACTTGTCTTGCGCCACGGCTCGTATTCAAATGGACCTGGCTGCAGCGAGGGCTTCGCACGGATCCCTTTTTAAGTTAATTAACTTTCAAGATATCTCGATCCATTCAGGCCTTTAAAATTACTACGTTCCTTGACGGGCTAGTTGATTGCCGTCGGCCGACACATATTTTCACTTTTGGGTCCACGTAACAAAGAAGTACTTGCGTAGTACATACCTCTGACATGTTTGTCCTGAACAAAACGCACTATCACTGCCAAGAGCGATTGCGACCCGATATCAGATCCGTTTGTGGCATCCAGGAAAATGTGACCAATGAATGAAGAAAACACAAATGTGGGCTCACTTTGAGTCCTGATAAGCTGTGTCCTCGATTGTAGGAGGCATTTGAAAATTTCACATTCACAATTGTGTGTACTAGAGACTAGGACTAGCATACCATTTAATATTTTCTAATTCTCAGAGGAAATATAGTCGGTTTCAGCTAGTACTATGTAGTACATACCAGTACTTGTCTTAATTACGCCAATTTCGAACAGGCGAGAACATGTCAATTTCGGTGGTGAGAAGAAAGGACCGGCACACAAAGCGCTTCACGGCATGCATGGTCCAGGCCAGGAAAAAGGGGCTTGAATTCGGGGTATTCGTAGTTATGTGTTGATATGTTGTATTTTATTCCCACACGGTCAGCCATTAACATTAGAAGGATATCGATACCGCGTCGGAAGAACCAGCTAGCTACCTGTTAATGTTATAGAAGCATTTACTAGTTAGGTTCCTAAGCGGTTGATTTGATCAAATATGAAACAAGTCAATGAGGGTCGCTTCTTCCATATTGATGTTGTTTTTTATTAATCTTATGGAGCCCTCCCGCCCTGTGTCACTCTACGTGCACTGCGGGTCAGCATACTACTCTCCGGCAAGGCAAGGGTTCTAGCAATTAGCCTCGAATTGATTCCTCCCGGTATACATATACAAGTATACGTACTTAAGTATCTATCGTAAGTGACTATTTTCTTTGTTCGAATATTTCTTTTATTGCTTTATTCACTGTGAATTTATATATAATGATATGCATCTATGCAATGGCAGTGCATTCCAGGCTCCGGACCCCTTTTTATGCCTGGAAGCCGTTTGCGCATTTCGAGAAAAGACACCCTTCAATGAATTCAGGTACACTTTTGAATTTTAATTCAAGCTTCTTGCCCAAAATCCCCTGTCTGGAGCAGAATTCATCCAGCCAATCCAGCCAAGCCAAGCTGTGGGGCGATTGGTGTAACTTTTTGTGGTTCGCCGAATGCTGCCTTTTCTGGACTCCCCGTTCCAGAATGAAACCTCACCCTCAGCCTTCAGCCCTACAAGTACCGCACCGCGCTATCTATCTGCTGTGTACGGAGTATATCACACACAGACCTAGACTTGATGCTGCATAAGTAAATACATGCAAACGTAAATGATTCTTGCCGATGATACCGTCCGTGCTGTGGATTATTCTGCTGTAAATGGCTATCTAGATGTAGTCACAGTACTCCAACCAATAACCTCTCAGTTGGGGCCCAGATTCTAAAGATACATCGACGAGTTACTCGTGCCAATTGACCTTTATTGGGCACCCTCAAGAACATGCGTTAGCCGGGGGGTGTTTTTTTTTTAATTTCCCCTGGTGGCGTCTGTGATAATTTTCGACGTGTTATGGCAGCTGCCAATTCCATTTTGGCCCATAGCATGCAGTTAGCCTGGCGAATCCGACCAACGATGGGGACACGCCAGGTCAATTGTATTTGTGCGCGCGGTCTGTCCAGATGTGCATGCACAAGGGTCCTCTCTCCTGACCGTTCCCGCTCTCGTCTGGCCAGCTGAAGGGGATGGACGGATGATATAAGGTTACGGGGTCTCCTCAGGGTGATGGCTTTTGAACAGTTGCAACGCACGCTCGTTCAACGTTCTCTACCTGATTTTAGTATATCGACTTCCTTCACGGGAAACGATACCACGCTCATTTTACTTTCGTAGATAGTTCAATCTACTTACACTCTCTTTACTGTTTCTTTGCCCTTTCTTTCCCTATTCTAGTTTCTTATATACAATATTGAAACCATCTGGAAATACCTATAGCGTAATCAATACTAACACCACTTCGATAAAACCTATTTTGGCACAATGCGGCCGTCCAGTCCTTTTAGCTTGTTGGCCACAGGCCTAGTCACTTTGATTTCTTCATGGGCCGTTGATGCCTACGCTGCTACTGATATTGTTGTTTATTACGGCCAAGGGTATTTTTATATATCGATTTAGCAAGACTCATTATTCGTTGTTCGGTTTACTAACGTTAGCCTGAAACTCAGATCGAACCAAAATCGTTTGCGAGAGTTTTGTGATTCTACATCTATCCAGTACATTAGCATTGGCTTCGTCACAAAGTTCCGAAATACCGGTCTAGGAGGAGTTATCGAAACGAATTTCGGAAACCAAGGTATATTGATTAAACCATGCTTATATTTTAGCCTATATATATGATGTAAATGAAACTAACAGTTATGGTCGCTTTAAGGCTTCGCACCCGCTTCCCCAGGCACAAATTACGTCTACAACTGCCCATATCTCCAAGAAGACATCCCGTATTGTAAAACCAAAGGGAAAAAGATTCTTCTCAGTATCGGAGGAGGCGCTCCTGAGAACTCCTACTATCTCAGCACCGTGTCCGAGGCCCAGGATGCCGCCGATGATATCTGGAGCGCTTTTGGACCTAAAGATCCGAGCTGGTCCCTTCCTCGTCCGTTTGGCGATGCTGTAGTGGATGGTTTCGATCTTGACCTTGAGACAGGAGCAAGCAAAGGAAACAACGGCGCAATATACGCCATATTTGCTCAAATGCTCAGAGACAAATTCTCACAGTCCACCGATTCTTTCCTTTTGACGGCTGCTCCGCAATGCATATACCCTGATGCTACCCTTGGCAAGACGCTCGATACTGTGTCCATTGATTTGATCTTCGTCCAATTCTATAACAACCCAAGCTGCCGTCCTTCCAATCTTGTTAAGGGAGATGCAGATGCCCAAAAGGATAATTTCAATAAATGGAATTCGCTAGCCTCGAACAACCCGAACGGAAACTGCAAGTGGTTCCTCGGGTTGTTAGCATCACCCTCCAGCGCTGATTACACATCTCAGACGGATCTAGAAGCTATCCGGGAATATGTTCAACCCCAAAGTAATTTTGGCGGTATCATGCTTTGGTAAGCTCGTTCTTATCATTGATTTCATAATAAAAGTTATAGATTGACTAATTGAATAATACAGGGAGGCAACGTCGGCGTCGAGAGATGTTAACGAGAATGGCGTCGATTATATCGATAGATGTAAGAGTAACTTGGAGGGGACCGTCATTCCTGACCCGACTTCTACCGCTTCACCTAGTACAACTACGATGCCATTCGCTGTTACTTCAACCGCGCCCCCCGGAGAGACACATCTTGCAATCGTCCCCGAATGCAATCAATGGCATTTTATCAACGCAGGAGACAGCTGCGCTAAGATTGTTGAAGAATCACAAGGAACCGTAACACAGACACAATTAGAAGAATGGAACGAGGCAGCTCGCAATGGATGTTCGAATATCTGGGCCAATACATGGTTGTGTGTCGGTGTCGATTCAGGATCCGGGTCTTCTACCACCGCTCCTCCTTCAACCACCACAGCGCTGCCTTTTGGCACTACTTTCCCCGAACCCCCAGCCCAGACCCAGCCAGGCGTCGCGCCGGATTGTACTCTTTGGCATCTCGTTAAGGATAACGATAACTGTGAAATTCTTGCGGCCGGTGCCGGTAATGGAGTAACGTACCAGAATATCATCACCTGGAACCCTGCCGTGGGACAATCTTGTGCGAATCTTTGGCTGAATTACTACGCCTGTATTGGCGTCTCTGTAAGTTAATTCTCCTCCGCAAGACAACTTCGTGATTGTCATATAGCTAATTTGAAAAGGGATCCACGACGACCACCAGCTCAACGACGACCACCAGCACTTCTTCCACGACATCAAGCACTGGCCTCCCATCTCCTACTCAGGAAGGCTTCCCTGCTGATTGTGACTCTTGGGATATCGCAAAGACCGGTGAATACTGTTCAGTATTTGCAACAAATCACGGCATTACTCTGGAAGAACTTCTTGCACTCAACCCTGCCCTCGAAGAAAGCGATTGTTCGGCCTTCTGGTTAGGTAATTTATCTTTGTCGTTTCTGCACCTCAGCACTCATCTATATAAGTGCTGGAATACTTGGGTATCTATGAAAGCTAACAAAAAAAAAAAAAAAAAGGCTACTACTATTGCATTCACCGCCCATCCGGAACGACTACAACTTCGTCCTCTACGACCACAACCTCAACCTCCACTACGTCGTCTTCGACTTCATCACCCACGACGACAGATTCGTCTACTACAACTACATCTTCGACCACTTCTTCCACTACAACAGAGTCTTCCACAACCACAACGGAGTCCACGTCTTCTACGACCACAACGGAATCTACGTCTTCCACAACAACCACAGGATCTACAACCACAACCACGTCTTCCACGACCACGGATTCGACAATCACGACCTCGTCTTCAGAATCAACCACTACAACGGAGTTGACCACCACAGCAACAGACTCTACGACGACTACAACAGACTCTACGACGACTACAACGGACTCCACAACAACTACAACAGACTCTACAACGACTACGACGGGCTCCACGGCGACTACGACAGACTCCACAACAACTACGACAGACTCTACAACTACAGCCTCAGCTTCTACTACAACCGAGTCTCCGACTACGACTGGGCCTACGACGACAGAGTCACCTACGACAGAAAAACCATCTAGCACAGGATCTACAACGACAACAACATCCACCCTCTCGTCTAAGACGTCACATGGGTATGGCACTAGCACGACGCCGGTTTACTACACACCGTCAACTGTCAAGACGTCGACGGGAAAACCATACGGAACAAGTACCAGGACGACCACCAAGCAGTCTCAGACAACATCCAAGCCATGTACCCGAAGCAAGACTTCGAAATACCCCGCACCTACCACAACAAAGAAGACATCCGTCCAGGCATATGTGAAGACTACTACGACGAAGACCTTTGTCACAAGCACTAAAAAATGTACGAAGAGTACTTCTACTACCAAGACGACAACTTCGACAAAGGCACCAGTGTATACGTATAGGCCACGTCGCTAAAGCGTATCGTGCCACAAAACAGTTGCCGTGCTAATCCGAAATTACCGCCTTACTTTCCAGCAATCACAAAAATCTCAGCAGAGATTTTAGGTAACAACAAAATGCCGGAAACTTTGATATTCTAGAGGTGTTCGGATAGGCCGGTTTATATATGGCCAGGGTGTTTGGTCGATGTATTTTGTAATGGTAATCTTGTAATCTCTAGAGACCTAGTGTACGTTTATATCACAATAATATATTTATATTCATCTTAAAGTTGGATTTATCTATCCGGAATGACTACGATCGTATCATGTTTTTAAACTTTGGATTTATGGTTGCCCAGGATCTAGTTTTATACTTTCAGAGTTGACTTGTACGTGTTGCATTGACGTTTAAATACCCGTGTAACCTACGGATCTGTCGATCACACGTGTGAAAGATATCGCACGATCCGGATCCATTGCATTTACATTCGCTGCGAGCGAGCGAACGAAATGAGCATTCTGGCACGCACAGACCAGCCGTTTTAACGAGAAGCAATTTTGCGCTAACTTCCTTTGGTATTCCATATACCTGGCGTGGTGATATATTTGGTGGCTTCCCTCCTATCGAAGTTGACCATCGAAGGTTTGGTTGGTCTAGACAAAAGGATGTTGCATTTTTGAGACTATTATGTGTTGTATCTGACGCATCCAGGTACGTCCCTTACGAGATCCAGTCTCATAACCAAATTTTTCAAGATTACCCGGATGTGCTAGGGTTTTAGATGGCAACTGGGCGTGTTTTTCTGGTTTTAGTTCTTGCCAGCTGTTGATTCTTGAAAGATAGAACAAAACTTGCGGATATGATATGGTTAATTATCTATCATCATAGAAGTTATTTGATTAGATAATTAGAACTGGGAATAGTTGCTGGTGCCATTAAGACGAGAGGCTAGAATTATAATATTGTAACCCATAAAACAAGGTTCGGATGCCCACAGCCGGAGCTGTTACCTTGGTTCTACTCTTTCGCCTTTCATGCAGAAACTTGGGTTATAGCTCAGGACCCACAGATGTTCAAATGCCCTAGTCAAAATAACTCACGGCAACACAACTTATAGTTTCGGATCACATTGATACTCCGTACTCTACGATATTTTAGCTTAAGGTCTGGTTCTACGGAATACATGTTAGTCTGTTTCATGTTATCCAAAAGCATGAAAACCCATTTGTGAGGATATTACGCAGTTGACCAGCAGTGCAATTTCTAGAAGTTATTGAAAGTTACTGGTTTATGTGTTTTATAGTCCTCGCGGACAAATAATTTCCCGTAGGAACTTGAAGGGCCCTGAAAACGGAGTATCGCTCCGAACTTGCGCTAACGTTGTTACCGACTCAGGATCCCCAAGTTTTAGTTTTATGGATCTGGGGCAGCGAAACGAGCGGACCGAGGCTAATCAAACTACAATCACCACCGGGCTCTTTATATCCGGGCGGGACCCCGGGCCGTAAGATAGATATGAGTTTAGAAATTCTAGTGTCCCTTTTAGTATAAATGTTGAAGCATAAACCGTGAATATCATTACAGACTGAAGGTCTCAGATTTCATAATATTGTAGTTAAAATGTTGTTAAAAGTTGCGGTAACCTTTCTTGTCTCCTTCGCGGGGCTGGTCTCAGCAGCTTATGCCAACCCTGGGGCTTGTAGTGGTGACTGCGGAACTCACGACCCAGCAGTTATTCGTCGAACCTCAGACGGAAAGTTTTACAGGTTTTCTACAAATAACTTCATTTCGATTGCATCTGCCTCAAGCATTGCTGGCCCTTGGACATACCTAGGTCAAGCTTTACCTGGTGGGTCTAAAATTAGTGGATTTTCTGGAGTTGATCTCTGGGTGAGTGGGATTAAAGCACAAACTGACTGGCTAGGCGAGCTGCTGGGGACTTGGGAGAAATATGCTAATAACTAGTTCGAACATAGGCCCCAGATATCATTTATAACAATGGAGTTTATTATCTATACTATTCTGTCAGCTCTTTTGGCTCCCAGAACTCTGCAATCGGTGTCGCAACTTCTTCTACTATGGATCCGGGATCTTGGGTTGATCACGGAGCTACAGGTGTTTCTTCCAAGACTGGGAGTGCCTACAATGCGATTGACTCCAACATAGTCAAGGTCGGGAATGACTTTTACATGGCATTCGGCAGTTTCTGGGGTGATATATACTAAGTCAAAATGGACAGTGGTTTATTGAAAACAGCTGGAACGTCGTCATATCAGATTGCTTGGACTTCTTTCGGAAACGGCGCAATGGAAGGTGCTTTTATTTATTATAGGTCTGGGTATTACTATTTATTCACTTCCTGGGGAAATTGCTGCCAGTTGGTCCCAAGGCCCGCGGCAGGAACAGAATATCATATGAGAGTTTGTCGGTCCACATCTGCTACAGGTGGTTTTGTAAGTCTCCTTCGAATCCCGCCGCAGATTATTGCGATATGGATTCTCTCAATTGTCATTATATTTGCAATATATCTCCACCAGAATTCTCATTCAATCTTGCACTACAATATCCCTAACGATTGTCCGGCATGAATATATAGAAAGACAAAAACGGTGTAGATTGCAAATCCAGCGGTGGAACCACCATTCTCGAAAGCCACGACTATGTTTATGCACCAGGCCACGGGGGTGTCATAGATGTCCCTGGAGTCGGCTCCGTATTATACTACCATTACGGTAAGTCACCATATGTATGTCCTGTACATGAGCAATACTATCAGTCTCTAACACTTTGATTACGAACCTAGTAAATAACAACCAAGGAACAAATCAAGCGGCAACGTACTTTGGGTGGAATGTTTTGGATTGGCCTAGTGACTGGCCCGTTATCAGTACAGGAACTAGCACGCCAACTACCACAACTAAGACCACAACCTCGCGAGCGGCTCAAACTACTACAACGGCGGCCACGAGCGGAAATTGTGCGTCTCTATATGGGCAATGTGGGGGTCAAGGGTTTACAGGTGCAGCATGTTGCTCTTCAGGAACTTGTGAGTCTTACGCGCTGTTTGAAAGAGATTCGGTTAGGTCACCAAGGTGAAAATGTAACTGACGTTATTTTTAGGCAAATATAGCAACGATTGGTATTCGCAATGTCTCTAAGGAGCTAATACGGCTGTACAACCGTCGTCATGTAGTTATGGGATTTGTCGCACAATTGCTGCGTCTGTTGGTTTCTTGAATTCTAGAAATCTCTCAGTAATTGTGCGGTCAGACTGCCCAAGCTTTATAACCTCGACCTTGTTTTGTTAAATTCACATGGATCATCTAGCTTCTAGCCCTAAGGGCCTTTGATATTTATATAATATCCATTGACCTCAGATACGAGGCCCTTAGAGCTATATCTCTAGCCCGTAAATTTCAAAAATCATTGCTTTAGTGAGTCCTAGGAATCTGATACATAAACCCTTTCTGAGAAAGCTGTGACCTTAGTAAGCATACATGAACGCGAAATTCACGGGGGAAAAATGAAGATGGGCGTATGACTAGGATATTGCGAGGGACTAGAGAATAGTATAGAGTTTAGGTTAGATGCTGATATTCGATGATTAGGGTTGATAAATAATATAATGTAGGTAGTTATACCAGCATCGTTAGCTTGATCTACAGCTCTGGGCTATTTAGTATGCATTCTTCCTCCGAGACCAAGCCGGCGCGGGTGAGTTTTTAACCGGCCCAACACCCCCTTCGACTTTACCAAGAATTCGCAAGTCGAGCGAGTTGAGGTGGGCTCCTTCGTTTTGCATGGCCCATATAGAGATCGCTAAAGTATTCTTGCCGTTGTAGTTCAAAATTCCTTGGGCTATCAATCGATATCCGTCAGAAATATAGTTATTGACGACCTGATTTCTAAGGATTGAGATACACTTACGGATAAAGAAAGACTTCTGAGGACCAATAGAATTAACTAGTAGTGCTGTTAGATTGCGGGCTCATACCAGTTTAGAACATTCATATATTAATATTACTAACCATATTTTCCGAATTGGTATCCCTAAAGATAATTTTTGTTAGCGCCGGAAGGGTCTATTGGGTCAATGAACGGTCTGGGAAGCTTACATTAACATATATTTGGCTACGGTAATAAGACCCGGTGGAATTACTATATTCAATTGCCATTGGATAATCGAGCCCGGATGGAACCTCCAAGTCGAATGTTGTGCTAGTTTCTTTTTAGCCCTTTGTCTTATTGGGGGCAGCATAGCAAACCTACCGATAGAATGTAACTCCAGGTTCTTTCACACCATCAAGCGGGGACGCTGCTTTCCAATCGGAATCGTCGAAGCCAGGAAGGTGCCAACCTATATCAACGATTAGATCTGACGACTCACTACGGTCTCGCTTACTATTGAGGATTCGATATACCTTGGCGTTCGCCATATAGACCACCTTCATTTAATGGCCCTCTTTCAATATCAAGATACTAGACTCAAAGTTAGTGGCTAATATATTTTACTTGATATCTTCGAGTTTTACCTTCTCTCCACCCAGGTTTCCAGTTAACTTCCAATGAATCAGCTTAGGCTCTGCGCCTTTGAAACCGTAGTCGAAAATACCACGAGGGGCCTTGAAATGTTCGGTTGCCGCGGTCCTAATACACTGATAAGTGACTATGATTCGATATATGAGTATTTAAGAAATACCAATTCTCTTCAAGACCCATGTGGTCTTGCAGAAAGGTGATAATATGCTTGTCACCCTTCTTCCACGGCTTCGGCAATTTGAAGTTACAGCGATGGCGACCGGTAGTCACATCACCTTCCCAAAATCCCACGTAGGCACCGTTATCCCAGATGCTATACCCAAAGGCCTGACCGCTATTCACCTGTTAGAAACTTGACGAGAGTGTTACTGGGCGTTATAATAATTACCCTTGGACAACTGCCCAGAATTCTTCTTCTCCACCGCTAGCCGTAAAATGACCTCTCCACAGGATGTTGCCAGAGTGGAAACCATAGTCGGATGCATACAAGACTTCCTTTACGGCAGGTTTTTCACGATTTGGGGTATAGGTATTGCTCGCGGTAACCCAATTTGAATCATCGTATCCCTCATAGATTTCTGGTAAGCTGTTCGCGCGTTTCTAAAATATAATTAGTTCGCAATTTGGCTTTGCCTAAAGAGGACATCTTACCCAATCGAGCTTGGACAGTTCGGGAAGTTTGACGTCGGGAAGTTCGGGCGTATACATGACGTATAGCCAGCCATCAGTTGCTGGTTGTGTATCAACGGCTTTACCATTAAATGTCACTTGCTTAACAGTCTTTGTTGCAAGTATATGCAACCTTGTGGCCTGCGTCAAGTCACCTTTGAGGTGGAGTTTTGAACCTTCAACATTTGCGGACCGAATCAAATACCCACCTTTAACAATAGTAGGTGGTTTGGTATCCAAAATCCATGTTTTCGAGGCAACCTCGCGGCAAAAAATCAAGAGGACCGTATTTCCAAATTTAATTGTATGGGTATCCCCGTCCTCTAGGATCGAGAAATTGACCGTAAGAATCGCATCGTCAATTTGGTAACTCCAATCCTCTTCTTCGTCCGTGCTAAGGACCGAGAAATCTTTCGGTTCCGTGATTTTAAAGGCAGCCTCATGTTTCTCATTTGGATCGCCATAGAGGATAATGTAATTCACACCATCGATCTCTTTCCTATCAGGCTGTTAGCTACATTTTGGCAATTCGAAAATTGTACACTCACCAAGTATATAGCTCCGCAGTGGAGTAGATGATATGGGTTTCCCCAGCTTTGTAGTCGACGAGCAAGATATTTGAATCCCTTGCTTGTAACTCAAGCTTATGGTCCGCCTTTGGAACTGTGATAAGCCCAATACTTGTTTTTAGCTCAATCCGATAGCTGATTGGATCAAATTTCGAGAAATACTTGTGTCTGTACTATAATTGTAAGTTTTACCCTGCCAATTAGCCTCAACGAATGGGTAGACAGCTATAACTTGCCTCACGATGTAAAACTTAGTGTGTAAATCGAGAGTATCTTCTAAGACAGTCAGGACAATGTTTCTTGTCCCTTTCAAGATTTCGATTTGCTTTGATTCGGTCAATTGCCAGGGCGTGGAAGTCAAGTAAGCTGGGCTAACTGCTAGGAATTGTGTTTGTAGCTTCAATTCGTAGTATTTGTCTCTGAGGCGTCTATCCTCCCGGATTATTGAGCCGTAATCGTATCTGGGAAATAAGTTAGATTCTATCTGACCTATAACCTTAGCTGAGGGATCTTACGATGTATAGACACCAGGTTCAGCCAGCTGGCCTTGAGTTACAGATGTTAGTTTTCTTTTCATGATATTCCTGAAGCCGAATTTATGGCCATACCCCAATTGGTTCCTCCGAAAGCCATATACAAATTCATGATCTTGACTGCGGAACCGTACATTCCCTTGTAGAATACTATATGCTGTTAGAAGTTTCACCTCTTCGTAAAATAAACTAGGTTGGCATTACCTCGTTCAAATTCAGGACCGATCAGTTTTCCACAAGCGTCATACCCAGCGCCTCCCCTTTGAATCAAAGTAAGCTAATGCATGTGCACAATGAACTAAAGAGTAGTTGTGACAATACCATCCATCAAAACCACCAGCCTGGAGCTCGAGAATCGATTTTGGGCCATGCTTCCTGATCCTGCTATTGTACAGATTGTAGAAGTAATCCGGAGGGGCGCTGTGCCAGATCTCCGGGTGGGAGCAATCAAAACCTATACTCCTATTAGTAGGCGAACCCTAAGGGAAAACCATGACACCAATCTTACCCAATGGATAGCTATTCCATCCATAGATATCAACGGATTGGAAATGGCCGCCTACCAACGTATCTTAGCTTGTTGCACATCCATCTTGGAAATATCTTGGCCCATTAATTTTGAACATACCTAACCATGCATCGTCGCAAATCGTGGGAACAGTTATTCCAGCATCCTTAAAGTCTTGCAAGAGTTCCCACTCATACTCAAAATCTTCAACTCCGTCGCCGAACCCCGAGTATTCGTTCTCAACTTGGGTGAGGATGATTGGTCCACCTTTTGTAATCTCATTTTTGGCAATCAATGCGCCGAATTCTTTGACGAATGGCTTATAGGCTTCGGTGTAGTTTCTGTTTGATTTTCTCCACAGGCCTTCAACTCTCGTCCCCCATCCTGGAAATCCGCCTCTAGTAATATTGTTCATTAGAAGAAACATTTTACATTATGATAAAAAACAGGATACAGTCCTACCCGGTAGTTTCTGCGTTAACCTAAAAATATGATTAGAAGTCAGTATACCAAGTTTACCCCGATTCCATACAAGGTAAATGTTCTTACATAGGGGCCAGGTCGAGCGATAACGTATAATCCAGCTTCTTTTGCAGCATCTAGGAAGGGTTGGAGATCAAATATCTCATTCCAACGAAACACCCCTCTCTCGTACTCAACTACTCCCCAATGAAAATATATTGACACAGCATTGAACCCAGCGGCTTTGAGTTTCTGTAGAACATCTAAGTGCAGGGATTGAACGGGATTTCTGTTAAAATTTCCCGAGGCGGTTGGTCAGTTGGATGATTGAATCATCGACAAGGCCTGACGGAACACCCGGGCCCCCATGTAACATGGGATTGCTAAATTATCGGGTGCTTGCATAGAAAACGGCTAGTCGACATACCTCCAAGGATGCACTTCACCACTGAATACAAAGAGCCTTTTACCGTCAATGAATAAAGAATGCTCGTCCCATGTCACCTAGATCAGGGCAATCCAACGATATTAGTGTCTGAAGTCTAGCATCTTCACCATGAGATATAATTACAACATACCCGTTTTTGCGTTGCAGTGTGGTCGACTCCAAGGGGCTGCTGATGCTCCCTAGATGCAACCGTAAATGCGGGGGAAAGAACCGCCAAAGCTAGCTGGAGAGCGGTAAAAACTTTGGCAGATAAAGTTGCTACCATCCTCGATAATGAAAAGTGTTTCCGGTTTGGAGATATTTACTTCTTCGTGAAACTTCAGGCATCAAAATATCGATGGCTGATTGTGGTCGCTGTATAGCTCCAAACAACTGCCTTGCTGGGGATTGAGATGCCTGAAGTTTGGGGGAATCCAGCCATTCGGCAAAGGACCCCTGCAGCCTTAAACCATTTCAAGCAGGGCATGCGCGCCTGGAGCTGGAATCTGCAACAATTGTCAACAACTTTACGAGGTTGACCACGGTGCTGGTGGACCGGTATCGATACCCACCTTGTTCATCATGCTTTGAGTAAGCTTTCAAATCACAGACCGCTGGCCATGCACGAAACCGGCTTTTAGTTAGAGTTCGTTAACGTATATAACTTTTCAATTCTTTGGCAATATCTTGCCTGTTATAACCATGGGCCGTGCTGATCATGAAGTCTATATAAACACCCCAAGCTTCTCTTTAACATCCTCTTGTAACCTTTATCTCAATCCTCCATAAGCATCCTGCCTTCTACAACCCTTTCTTTTAATTTAGGAGAAATATTCTAGTATCAGACCACTTTTTGTCCAATCTAAAGCAAATTACTCAAAATGCCTACCGACAATCAAGGAAACTCCTATCAACATACCGGCTCCGGCACCAATAGCCAGTGAGTTAACGCTTTAAACTAAAATTCTCACCGTTTTAGAATACTAAGCGCACACTGCGCGTGTAGGGGAAACCACTGGTGTAGCCGTGATTTTGGTAGCAGTGCCCCAAATTCGAACTCCTATCACTACTCGAACAGTAATGGTAGTTACTACTATAGTAACCCAAGTGTAAGTCTAACTGGATTGCGGAGTGGATCATATCAGAGGGGCAGCCTAGATCTAACGTCGAATTTAAATTTATGTCAGGGTTCAACTTATCACAACAATGGGCAAGGCGGGTCGACCTACACGCCATCCTCCGGCAATAGTGGAAAGAAATAAATACGAGTTGATAACGGGGGGTTAGTAAAATGGCTTTCTTGTTCTTCTTGTTCTTCTTGTTCTCCTTCTTCTCCCCTCCCCTTTACGGAGACTTAGAGGGTATCGGGATCTAGAGTAGAAAGAAATATAGGCGGAATCTTGTTCTTGTTAAGCCTCTGTGGCCAAATTTCCCTTTATACCGAGTAGTACAATATGTTTATTTATAAGCCCCGATTATCATCTGCTGTCGTAGGACGTTTGAACTGGCTTGACAATGGAAGTTTTCTTCTCCCAATTGCCAAGTCTTCCAAGCTTCTTCATATCGCGTATAAAAACATCGGTTGGTAACAGGACCGTCGAAAATTGGATTAAAGTAATATATGCCGCCAGAGCCTCGCGCTCGTCCGTAAGCCAGAAAATGAAAGAGAAAAAAAAAGAAACCCTTTATAACCCATATAGCGAGAGAATGTCCGGTTCCGGGGTAATTAGATGGAAAATTATTTACAGAGTAAAAGATAATTATATACTTAAGTATGTATAGAAAATTTCAGATGCCCACTTGAGAACGACCGACGCTAAAATGCTATAAATTAGTCCAGAATACTGAAAGCATCGTACAAAAACCCCCTACCCTAAACCAATCATGGTTTCTCAAAATTGAGGGTAAACTCCAGAGCAGAAGATAACGGGACTTTCTCGGTGTCCATCTTATCCTCCCATTTGCTAAATTCACAGGCTTCCCGTGGCCACCTCATTAAATGGGAATAAGCGTCACCGATCTCTCGACAAATAGCGCGGCACATGGCGTTCGGTCGACCCTGCAGCCACCAACATTGATCCAAGTCCAGGTGACACATAGCGGCATAATAATGCGCAAGAATTATAAGGGCCTTGGGGTCTTTTCTTTGAACTAGCTCAATATAGCGATCAGGTTGCATTGCCGGCCATGCCACAAGAGCGCAGGAAATGTTGGATGTCATGTCCATATGAATTGAATCCGGGGCGGTTCTGACGGCCTCTAATAGTGGCAATAGCGAAAGCAATACCTTCTGGTATATGATTGAACCGTGACACTCCCAATCAAAATTTTGTATATTGTCGGCTGCCACAAGGTCGAGACCGGATTGCCAGGGTCCGGATTCCGACTGCCATTTCTTCCGCAAGATTTCCATGATAAGATCTTTATCTTCATCGCTACAGTCCGTAGGAGGCTCCGAAATGAGATTTGTTCGATCAACTTCTGCGCCTTCTTCCTCTTGCAACATCTCGATAATCTCGAGACCGTCCAGCTCCACGTCTCGCGAGTCCATTGTTAAGGGCATGGATAGTAGTCCGCCGAATATACTGTCCGATTTCTTTCCCCACATTTCCTTCACGATATTCTTAACCCCGTTCATAAGAGGTAGGTACTCGTCCGTGGCAGCATCAATATCATGGTGGTCGTAAGCCGCACAAGAATGGAAAGCAAGCAGTGTGTTGGCCGCTATCAGGGCGTCGTAGTTCGCTGCCGTAACTCCCACGTCGGAGAGAGTAAGCCTCAGTGTACCGAGGGCATGCTGACGATGCTGAAGCTCGTGGATTCGGTGTTCTTTCTCGTTAGGTTCAAGAACAGCTAAATGGCGTGCCGAGAACATGAGAAGGGCGTGCATCAGGAAATTATGCTATCACCCGTTTTTGTTAGCAGAAGTCCAACGTCAGAAAACCAATACTGCCCACCCCTAAACCCACCTTGAAAGCAAGCTCGGCAGCATCTCTTCGCCAGAGAGTCGTATTAGGTCCCAATATTAACGTCTGGCTGGCATTCATCGTAAAGTTTTGCATCAGACGAAGATCCGGCATGCCCACTTGAACCGGTATCTGGTTGTACTTTGACATCCGGAATTCTAACGCCTTAGGAATGAATTTATAACCAAGGTCTATTGGCTTTAACGACTTCTCGAGCTTCTTTATGGCGACAGGAATAACGCCCCCATTCTTGCCTTTCCCATCTGAAACTACAAAAGGTTGTGCAAAGACGATCTCCGGCGCCGACGGTGGGGGAGGGTACTCGCATCGTAAGGAGCGTTTGAGACAGTTCTGGCATTCGGGCTTGTCTTCGTCACACTGGAAAATGAAAACAGCAACAGGATTAGCATTTCTCGAAGCACTCCCGAAAGCTTTGGTATTTGCGCAACTACACGAATGAATACAACGGCCTTATAGGGCTGACAGGTAGGGGGGCACCACGTCAAAATGGGGACGTGGCTAACCAATGCGAAATTCGCAAGCTTGGAGGGGTACATAGGTAAACGAGGGTATGCAGTTTACCTTGACGCGCCGCTCCTTGCAGCTGAAGCAGCCATTCTTCGATTTAATATGAGATTTACGGTGGCGGAATGCCTGCTTGCCTCGACCCTTCCTGATGCTTCCCGACGTGCCACCGCCCGAACTCTTCTCCGAACCGGTTGACTGCTTGCGAGCCGTGGTAGGCGTGGTGGATTCAACGTCGGGTTCTGGGCTATCTGAACTGGTGCTCTCGGCGACCTCCACAACGCGGGACGGCCCCGCGGAGGTGCTCGAGGAAGCTGGTGATTTCTGCCAGCTATATGGTGGTTGGGACTCGTCGTTCGGGGTAATGATGAAGTCTAACTGGATCCGATCCCGCGCCATGAGTGGATACCATTCGCATATACGAGGGCCACTCCCCTCTCAATCAAACAAAGACACAATCAACTAAGGGCGGTTATGCAAGATAGGCAAGCGATTTAAGGCCCTGCAGCAAAGGTCAGCGGGCCTGAGGGATGGGTGAGTGCCGTTGTTCCCAAGCGAAGCTTCTTCCGAGGAGTCTGGATCTGCACGAAGCGCGGTTGGGATCCTAGGCCCTGTAATGATTCCTTTTCGGTATACGCAATACGAAAGGGATAAAGGGGAAAAATACAAAATGTGGGAGAATTGCCTAGATGGTGGGTAGGTATGTATGTGCTTGGGGGAGTCAGGTGTACCAGTGTGGTGGAAACATGCGACAAGAAAGAGCTATGGAAAGATGATTCGTATTGGGGTTACGCTTCTGGTTATAACCTTTCGTTTAGCTCTCCTCTGCAGAGCTTGATGCAGGCCCTTAAAAGAAAGAGAGAGAAAAAACGGATACTCAAGGCAGAAGGATCGAGAGAAACACCGCTTAGGCCCGTGTCGTAAGGGGTGCAGCTAGGTATGTATGAGCTAACGGACGACGATATGTAAGTACCGACGAGGGGGTCCCCGATCTAGATAGATTCTGATTATATAATATGTCTAAGCTCTCGAGGAACTGGATGTAAGATGAAGGCATCAGACCCATGAAAAATGGAAGAAGAATAAGAAAATGAATAAAAAAGGAAAATTAAAAGATCTCGAAGAGGAAGAAGAAGCGAAAAGACAATGCAAAGAGGACCTGGCGGGAGGATAAATATAATATAGAATTGAGTAAGTACTTAGTTAGCCTCAACGTTATCCCCCCCAAATCCGGCTTTTAGAAGGAACCGTGAATGCGGCGAGCAAAAATTTAATACTGTTCACATTCGTTTCTTCGACGTGGTCTTATTGGGGCCTCGTCATCGAGATATTGTCCGAAAGACGCTTGTGAAAGAAGGACCCATTCCCAGGGGTGGAATTGTAAAAGAAGACGAGGGTTCCCCTCAAAACCGATTCGCTCGCGGAAATCCAGCCCGCTAATGTGCTGAACGCATGTGCCCGCTGCCTTCCCTCGTACTTGAATTCGAATTCGTTGCGTACGCAAGAAGGGCGAAGTATTTGCAGTCAGGCCTGCCAAGATGTTTCTCTTTCGTTAACCGTCGCCGGCTCCCTGGTTGTTCTTATTTTTGTTTCCCTGATTGTTAGGATCAGGCTAGTAGCGGCGCCGGGTAAAATATCAAGAGCCGGACCACCGAATGGGGTCAATATATTCCTGTGGGTTCCGGAATGTCGGGGTTTACAGACGCCTATCTGTAGGTACATGTGCATGTATGCTCAGTAAGGGTGGAGTCCCAAGTCCCGAGCGGCTGCTACCGAATCCAAGAAAGGGAAAGCGAGCGACTGTTGGTTGCTTTCTGGGATTCCATATTGATTGTATGTTAGTCGCAAATCAGTAGCTTCGAAATTAATTCCTAATCAAAAGTACCAGAAAGTTAACACACCGACCTCAGGAATAGCATGAACGGGTATATTGTAGTGTTATAGTATAGTATGTGGTATGATAGTACTATAGGTCTGGTTAATTGTAATTCGTTCTCACAGATCTGCAGAGTCAAGCCGCCCCCAATGCAATGCTGAAATGCGAAATCGCGATCCCCGTGCGCCTGCGGAGCCCACGGATCCGATTCCAGAATTTTTGCATGAAATGCACAGACGAATACACGGGTATCGCGCTGACAAAGATAAAATTACCAAGACAAGATTGGTGTTCCTAATTATAATCCCTTCCTTTTCCCCGCTGCATGCGGGTCTCGGTACATACGCAGAAAAGGAGACAACAGTCTCAGCTCGAAAAGTTTGTATTTTCAATTTATCTAGACACGGCCTCTATATTTCGAATTCCTTATACCCCACTCCTGAAAGAAATAGATACATACGTACAAACAAGCAAATATACAAATACACAATACTACCAAAGAACAATCCGAAAAGCAATCGCACCTTCTAGGAATGAACGTCCAGGGCTTCGGTTCACCTAAAAAGCATGTTGTCTCTCGCTGGGCCGACCCCCACGCTGCCTATCCGAGCCCCTATGAATTTCTCGATATATTCAATGTAGTCCTTCGCTTCCTTTGGAAGATCGTCGTAAGAAGTCAAATTGGCAATGCTCGAGGACCAGCCCGGTAATGTCTCGTAAACCGGCTCAATCTTCTTAAGGATTGACAGGTCAGGGGGGAATGCATCAATTTCAGTGCCATCTGGCAGTCGGTAGGCCACGGCAACCTTGATCTCTGGTAGATTGTCTAGAATGTCGAGTTTCGTGAGATTGATGCTGGTGTAGTGGTTCACCATCATGGAGTGTTTGAGAACTACGAGATCCAACCATCCACATCTTCTCTTTCTACCCGTTGTCACCCCAACCTCCCGGCCAACGTTTTGAAGGTGTTCGCCGATTTCCTTGAAAAGGTTTATTAGTTAACGACTTCAATGGGAGCTGTTCTTTCGCCATGACTTACGTTGAGCTGCTCTGTAGGGAACGGACCACCCCCCACCCTAGTGGTATAGGCCTTCACGACACCGGTGATTTCTCGGATCTTAAATGGCGAAATGGCCAATCCGGTGAAGACACCACCAATACCGGTGTTAGAGCTTGTGACGTATGGGTATGTGCCATAGTCGAGATCCAACATCAGGGCATTTGCACCCTCGACGAGAATTCGCTTGTTCTCCAGTTGTCGCTCGTTCATCCAGGGGATCGCATTGACAACGTAGGGTTTTACGACGGGAGCAATATCCTACGGCCGGCGATTGACTTGTTAGTTTAGCATCCCCGGATCTCATGCGACAATCATATCTACCTTGAAATAAGCAAGTTCTTTCTCCTCGTCATAGCTATCCAACAGCGCCCCAAATCTTTGTTTCAGGCCGGCAACAAGCGCTCGGAATCGCTTTTCGAACTGGTCCCATTTGTCCAAGTCCAGCTCTTCAATTCTCAATCCGCTCCTGGAAGCCTTGGAGGAGTAGGTTGGGCCGATACCCTTCCTTGTGGTGCCGACATTAGATTTACCTAGAGCAACTTCCTCGAGACCATCGACGGTTTGATGAAGGTCCAACACGATATGAGCACGGCTGGAGATGAAAATTCGGCCAGTGGTATCGAGGCCCTTGTTTTGAGCAGCAGCTAGCTCCGAGAAAAAGGACGGAATGTGAATGACGACACCAGAACCAATGAGGTTTTCGCACTTGGGATTTACGAGACCTAAATGATCCGATCAGTCCTCGTTACCTTTGAGACCCAATTGATTTTATTCCCAAGGGGAGGGAGGGAGGGAGTTACCTGACGGCAAAATGTGGAAGTCATATGCAACGCCGTTGGCCACGATGGTATGGCCCGCATTATTTCCTCCCTGACATCGAGCAACGACATCAGCCTTGTCGCAGAGAATGTCGACAAGCTTTCCTTTGCCCTCGTCGCCCCATTGAGCACCGAGGACAACGGTAACACCTTGTTCGGCCATGTTTGTGTTTTTGCTTTGAGAACCAGCTGCAGAAAGAACTTCAGTAGATCGGTTGTACAGCGATGGAGGGCAGCGATTGAGTTATAAAAGGTCGGCAGGCGCCCGTTACGGTAATAAAAAAATACCTGCCAGCCCCTCCAACATGCAACATAAATAACCCCGCTACACTATTAGCAACAATTGCTATACTCCGGTTAACTACTTCAGTACTCAAGTAAGTACTTAGGTAAATACTTACCTAAGTACCTGTATGGTATATGCAAACCAATAAATTGCTCACCGGAAATGATCCAATCGAGAGGATTCCGATGCAATGAGCTGCGTGTTCGCACCTCGCCGATATCGCATGGTTAAAATTTTTTTATGCAACACGGCGTAAGCTGGAATTCAGGGTGTTCCCGCTGGTCTGTTTAACTTCGCTGCGGGTTCACGTCATGGTGTTTCTGATGCAGATGCCGTACGCCCGGTACTGACTTACCTACTATTCCGCCGGATCCAGTCAGGATCCAGTCAGTCTAGCCAGTGCCGGTGTGCCACCGCCGTGGCATCTGCTGACATCTGCTGTGCATTGGCACCGTTGGTTACAACATCCAACACAACACGCCACACACGACGGACTTGGCCTTGGTGATATATATTAGTTGATGTGATATCCTTATAACAAATACACCTGCTGCGCTGGGTACTAAGGACCTATCTAATAAGAAGAAATACATTATGCCTGATGAAATAATACGTAATTAAAATTTCTGTCTGAAACAGCCGGCAAAACCAAGGAAGACCAGCTAGTCATCCTCATCTCTTTCGAAATTGGAACCAGATTCAGGGAGCTGAGGAGCTGGCTTCTTGGCCAACATATCTTCCAACGACAATTTATCGAAAGTAACCATAGGAGGAAGCCCTGCTCCCCAAGAATTCCCTTCCGTATCCTCTATCTCATTTTTTTGTTCCTCCTTAGCCTTCCCTTCGTTGTTATCCCTTTTATCTTTCACTATTACCCGATTGGTACCCTTTCGTTTCTCCCCCCCATTGGCTTTTGGCTTCCCAGAACCCTGAGGCCCTCCCCAGAACCTCCTTCTGTACGGTAAAGCATGTTCAGGTCTTGGCTCTTTACAAAAGCCTGTGTCTGGATCCCTTATGAAGACGCCTTGACTCATTGCGATCTTCCCCAGGAGCTCGTCATGAACCCACGGAAAAGATATTAGAGGCATTGGCTCTCCATTCTCCACCGCCCGAGTATATTCTTCGTTGGTGATTTGATAAATAGCGGCCACGAAGCGGCCCAACGTATATTCGTCCTCAGTTCGAATTTCCACCCTTATTTCCTGATCAAAGCGGTCCATCAGCCCGTCTCGCATCTCTTTCATATCCTCATGAAACTTGTAATCACTCCCTATTAATGCATGGCTAAGGGCAAAGGTCGACCAGATCTCAAATTCAGTCTTAATATCATTCTGTGCCATGAGTCTTCGGATCGCTGCGTCATATTTGGCCTTCAGGTCTCGGGCCATATTGAGGTGTTTTTCATTGATGTCGTTGAACGCCGTAAGGATACGACCATCAAATTTGAGGTCCTTAGCACATTCTTCCGGACGAAATGCGACCTTCTCGACAGCATCGTAAAGTTGCCCGAGGATCTCTGAGGAAACATAAAACCTTTTCTTCGTCCCTATGTGCTTTTCGAAGAAATGGGGCCAGTCCCTGATTCGTAGCTCCTTTCGCATTTTCGCATCAACCCCAGTCTTTGGAAAATCCACCGCAAGGGAATGCAACCCCGCCAACTCTACGCCTTAAAACAGGAAAATGTTCGATTAGGACAAAGCTTCGATCATTTGAGGTTAATTTTTCGAAATGGGGGATCTTACATTCTTGCGAAAAGACTCCGGCTGGCAATCGATCGGCGGTTGCTAGGTGAGCATTCGCAATGGTTCCTAGAGTGTCGTTTTTCATATACCTTACAAAAAACTTTCTGATATCTTCGAGTGTGACATTTCCACTTTTCGCTTCCACAGGCTTTGGAGGCGTGTAGTCCATAGGCGATTCATTCACTTTGGGAGGAATAAAAGTCCCATCCCAAATAACGATGTAGTCGTCACCGTCAAGGTCGCCACCGGAGCACATGTTTGCAATTGGCTTATCGCCGGTTTGTGGAAACACAACCACGTTTCTAAGATGCCTAAGGTCTGGGCAGTCAACAGCGTTGACAACTCGAAGATCTCCAGGGTGTAGTGATGGATTTCTGGCGAGGAGACAAGGCCCCTGGATGATTTTATAGTGGCCCTTGTTTTCATAGTCCGGAATTTGTACGAATATTTCAGGAAGTAGATCACATCGCAATGCTTCTCCATTGGCCCGTGACTTTTTTAGTTCCTCATGTTCTTTGTCGAAATGCCCTTTCAAAATTCCTGTCTCATCAACCACCCCTAATAAGAAACAACCATTCTCAATAGTGATGCGGGCTTTTTCTTTTAACATCTTGATGGACCATGCCCTCCAGAGGTGGAGGAGGCATTGAACGAAGGGCTCTTGTGAAGTCATAAATCCATCACTAAGTAATCCGGCGATCTGGATGGTTCCTCCGTTGGCGTCAACGTTTTTCATTAATATTTTGCGAGCCGCCTCCTTATCTTCCATTGCAAGGTTGAGATCTCTCAACTGGCTGTGGAGTTTGTCGAGGAATACCGTGTCTTCCAATCCCAGGTCTGAAAGAACTTGGATGAGCTGCCGATTCAATGTAGCAACTGAAAAATCTGAATATCTGATAATCTCAAGGGAATTGTGGTCCGCGTCGAATTTACGTTGACTTGGTCTGATACAAACCTGAAATCCGGCTTCACCCGTCTCGACCTTCTTGATATTGGGGTCTACTACAAGGACCCCTTTGCAACCGCCAAGTCGAAATTGAAAAGCACAAGGTAATGGTGATTCTCGAGGGATCCGATATTCGGCGGCAATTAGCTGTGCGGCTGACGAGGAAATCGTTCCGCAGCCATCTGTAAAACAGAATCCATTCCTCTCTACATCGGGGATTGTGATGTCCTTAACCTTGAAGCCATTCATCGCACGAGTAGTTGCTAACATCTTGACGTTAATATAGAAAAAACCAAGAGCCTTCAGAAAGAGCGGCAACTAACAGAAACACTGTCCATAACGAGCTGAGAACTTTGCAACCACCTTGATCTTCTCAAATTTCCCCATCCATTTCCTGATATCATCACATGTCAAATCAGGACCATCAGCAAAGAAGTAGGCGCCATGTTGGCGTAGTTGTGAATTTCCAAAGGCAAGGAACTGGAAGTGGCGATCGCCAATCTTGATGCCATTATTCAATGCCTTCGAAACGCGAGTAAAAAGTTCGTGCGAGGTATCGAGCTCGGTAGCGGATATCTTGCCGTGAAGTTTTTCATCTGTGAACTGGACCCTGAGAAATCGATCTTTGTGGTTGAAAAAGTGTCGTATTACCCTGTAGGAGGTTTCGACGACGGGGTTCGCGTAGTAAATCATGGTTGGGGTGATAGTAGCCTTCCTTGTTTCAACACAATACTTCGGAATCTGGGCTGTGGATCTCCTCTCCGGCTTTATATCCAAAATCTCCATTGGGTCGTAATAACGTTTACCAGAATCAACGACGGTTTCGAGTATTCTAACCGCCAGGTTCGGCTCACGCTCCTCAATTGCAATAAGCTCGTCGATGAACTCCTTCGAAACGTTGTATTCCGAAACGCAACCTTGAGAAATGCATGCTTCCAGCTGGTATCGCAAAGGGTATGTAAGAGATGCCCAGTTGTAATCGTCCAACATGTGCCCAAGATAGCTTCCCTCCGAGAGGGGCGTAGGACGATCAATTACATCCCAAACTGGCAGATTTTTATCCTCGCTCAGTTTAAAATCTGACATATGCTTCATGGGGATGTTGAAGTCCTTGAGCGCCCGGATCATATGATTGAAGTCATCGGCTAGGGAACTCCCTTGTCCAAATGTCAATCTGTATGTTGTCCAACGTCCGATGTCAATAGTGGGTTTCTTTTTGCGTATGGCCAAAGGCTCCATTCTGAATTCCTCGCTGTTTTCGACAATATCCGTTTGACGAAACCAGGTATTCCATTCTGACCAGTGAGGGTTGTCGGTCTTGTGCGAGAGGCTAAAGTCGAATAGTTGTCGCCAAACGTGGGGAGGGTACTGTAATGGGATCAGAATTGAACGAGAACCCCCATTTTGGTTGTCGGGCGTAGCTTCATATAGACTCTGCAATGCGACGAATGGAATTCTCATTCGGTATTTCGGTTGGCGTTTTTTGCCTCCACCGGAAGCATCGAATCTCAAACCAAACCGAATGTCGAGCTGTTTTCTTGAGAGGTCGACTTGGAAGAGGATATCAAGCGGCTTTCTCCAAACTCCCCTTTCAGATGCTTCTACAGCATACATTGACATCATGGTCGTTTCCTGGATCATGAAGCCGAAGTCCAACCTTTGGACAGGGAGTTCCTATATACAATTGTTAAACCACACTCACGTAACTAAAATATACTCAAAATGAAATGGTATCGTACAAATGATTCAGGGAACCGAAGAGCTCTGTTGACGGGGCTTTCGATTGTTAGGGTGTCCCGAGGATGTTCTAAGTGAAGCCTCACAAGATGTGGTTCTCCTCCTTTTATTGTTATTTCGGACCTTCCAGTAGGAAGACTCCCTTTAGGAGGGGGACTTGTACAGAACTCGTTAGTACCTGCCCAACATATACATATTTCTAGGAGAACGGTGTGTAAACCCGGGGGAAAATCCCTAGTTCATCTCAAATGCTTACCGAAATCTGATGGTTGCACCCTTAAGAGGAGGCTCGTCAAACCACTTAGGCCCTCTTCTACCTTTCTGTTTATCGTCTTCCCAAATTTCCACATCTTCGATGTTCCCATAGCGGGAGAAGCAAGAATAGAGTTCAAGTGTGGTAATATTGGACGGAAGATCATATATTTTGAGCTTTTGATCCGGTTTGGTTCTCCTTTCGGCGAATAGTAGATATGATTCATCATCTTCATCAGCTGGACTGGTTAACGGGATACTTGGATGTCCTGGAGCGTCGGAAATGCTCTTATCTAGAGCTTGGTAGGGAGAATCTCCAAGCTCGGATTCTCGTTCCTGAAAGACCACACTAGGCATGTTTTCGGACAGGCGAGTGTCTGGCTGTTCCAAGTTGGGATTGGAAGGGCGTGCACCCTTTAGCCGAGCTCTGCGTATTACCTTGAATCTACCGGCAGCAGGTGGTCTTTCTTGTGGACGTCGTGAATACGAATGGATGGAGGATGAAGACGAAGACGAAGAAGAAAACGAAGAGGTTGAAGAGGTTGAAGCAGTAGTGCAGATGGAAGGGGCGGGTGATGGAGATAAAGATGGGATTTGAGAAGGTGGAAAGCTAGCTTCATCTATAGGAGGGGAGCTAAAAAGGGAAGAAAAAGAAGTGGGGGGAGTTGGAGGGGAAGAAGAAGAGGAAGAAAAATAAGGAGGGGGCGGCGCCATTGTTGCTGGAGTTTTTGGGTGGCACTGAGCGCGTAGCCCGCGGCCATCACAAAAGGCACCCACTCCACTAGCCTAGTTAGACTTCAAAGAAAATAACAGGCAGCTGCAGCACCTTCAAGTATCCGGGCACTCGATAAGGACACAAAGACCGATTCTTGATTACTACAGAATAATGAGCCTGTAGAAGTATAGGATCCGCAGAAGGGACTTTTATTGATGCCTGAACGACAGTGTCTCGAGAGGTTACGACTGGGACAAGTTACTGCCGCCTGTGTCTGCATGAACTGTTCAGACCTCGCGTCTCCTTACAAAAACTCTGACTCCTTGATACTCCTCGATACTCCTTGATACTCCTTTTATTGTTTTGATGCGACTTGAGGTGCCTTCAGGCGTTTTGTTGGACCGTTGTGTTGTTTATGTTGGATTTGATTTTCGAATGTTGCCCTGACCAACAGCAAATTAAAGCTGCCTGGACTACTTTATACAGGAAGCACCTACTGTGTACGATACTGTACATGTCAGCTGATAGACGGGACGTTGTATATACCAAAACGTACCTATCGTGCTGGAGAGTGTTTTCAGCGCAGGGCGAAATCCAGCGATGCTCCGTTGGGGTTGTGTAGTAATGCCTCAGTACGTCCTTTTAAGTACTATGTAAAGTATGTATGTGTGCGATGCGTCACGTTCCGAATTCTCGACTGCAGTGATATTCGATTCGATTCCGGCGAGACTTAGCCCTGACACCGAAACTTCCAAGAAATCTCCAAACTGGCATGTACGTATGTGATTGAAGGCTTAATAGTGCCAACTGCTTTGGCTAATTATAACCAGAGACGATATTTGGTCAGGACCAAGTCAGTACTTACGGACTAACCACAAGTGTCCACACTAGCTTGATGATTCCAGGCACCTTTTAATAAACCTCGAGAACGTTCGACGCCTATATCTATATCTACATCCCCTCTTAACACTACTAAGTAATACACTAAATACTTGGCTAAGCATTGAAAAAAAACCATTAGACTGTCGATTCTTAAAGCTAGTTCCGTGATTGTCCTCGAAGAAAGTATCCGAGTTATACAATATACGATGCATGTGTAGAACCTGATGCGGACAACGCACTCTGGTGTGACCCCATGGCATGCCATGGTACCGTCATGTCCTCGCGATTCAGCATCGGAGACTTACACCCGTCCAACCTGCCTTGCAATATATTGAAGTTTGCTCGTATAAACTGGTTTGCTATAATTAGTAATTTAGCCTACTGGTTTATGGCGTTGACATAGTACTATAGTACTTAAAGCACGGCTCCGAGACTACTACCACCACCGGACCACCATTGAATTTCTTCTCTAACCACTGTTCCACAGCATATTGCTCGTACATCATGGCCAGTGCATACAGCGTACAAAGTTAGCGTTATAGCTATCTAGGTCCCAGTTAATTAATATGGGCTACAGCCGCCGTGCGCTATCCCAATCCACAACTTGGTCTTAGTTGCAACCTTGAATCTAGATCGGATTATCTGTGTTCCGGGACCCCCCCCCCCCCCTAAATACTGTATATGTGAAGTATGCAAGGTCGATATTGATGCAGATATACGTGTCGTGCATTCACATTAAGTACTTGGGTACATAATAGATCTCACGGAGGCTATAGCTCGTCACGTCAACCAGGAGGTAATATGGACAAGGGACAGAATCGTACGATCTTATCAAAGGCAATAGTCATCGGCAACTTTGTTCGCCCTTCACGTACATACGTGCACACATCCCACGGTTTCATGAATTCAAAGTTGGTCACATATGCAAGTAATATACCACCTCTGTATATTTATATTAGTTTCTAGTTTGTGCATAGCTGGTGCCTGAAGCCCCCAAATTGCAAATCCCAGCGATTCAATTGTCATCCGGATTTTATGCTTCTGCCTATATATTTTATATACTAGACTATAAAGTTAATCTGACAAAGAGATTAAAGAATGCTCAGGTTGGTCCCAAGTTCTTCTCGATCGGTATTAACGACCGAGATGCAATGCAATGCAATGCACGCTGTTCACAAGCGAGCAAGAATTGCAATTCAGTAGCAAGATTCAATACATGCATGAGTAAGTACCCAAATACTTGCTCGAGAAGTATGTACTTCGTATGTAAGTATATATATATTGTCCAATCGATTCCCAAGATCTTAAGACCGCCACAATTTGAAGTCGTCCCCAGTCACGTCTGAGAAATTTGAATTTTTATGGAGAGGGTTGGAGGCTCACTGGGGCCTAGGGGTATGTATGTGACGGTACCGCATGTACACAGTATACACGGTATGTGTGTAAGTAAGTACTTGAGTACTTGCACTCTGCCCCTGCGTCTTGCAGACTGTGACTGGCAACCTTTACCAAATGATATCACCAAGTCTTGGATGCAAGGCAAGCCCCGGCCGAAAATCAACCATTTTATACAAACCGCCCTTTGGACAATTCCGTAACCGTGCGGGAAACCAACACAGCAGAAATTTATACATGAATCCACCCCACGATGTGGAGAAAAGTGCCCGACTTGTTGAAAATCTTGAAACAATTGGTAGGTCACGCGTGGGATGCCTCGTCAAATCTTGGGGGCAGAACGGAGCAGTGTCTCCGGGGAGGCAAACCCGCATGATTCCTTTCAATTACATGAACATGTACTCCGTACTTACATACCTACATATATACTCACTACGGAGTAGTTCTGCCATATTATTTCGGCGATCTGTGCATAATAGTAATATGTCCAACGAACGAATGTTCGGGATTTGCTGGGGTGGAAGATCCTAGGACCGACCGAACACCCGTTTGACGGCGGGATATGGAATTCGAATTCGGGTTTTCAACATAGGATTCCTCACATCGATTCAAGACCGCCGTCATAGACCCGGTCAAGCCTTCTTCTTCGCCTTCTTCTTTGTCATAGATATTGTACCGCGTAACGATATACCGATTGATAAGACATCGTCTCATCTACTAGCTTGCAAGCTAGCAGTTTCGTCTCGATGTCGAAGAACGTCTCTAGCTCCCGCTACGCCCAGAAATCAAACCAGGGGGTGTGCGGCAAATCCTAACACCTATTAGTCGACGTAGGTACAAATACCCCGCAATTGCTGAACGGGTGTAACGGGTTTCGAGACGATGTAAGGGACCTCGTCCGTGGCCATGGTTTCAAACCAATGAATGGAGAATCAACATAATCTTGTCGAAAACAAAAAGGCCTGCCGAAACCGATCAAAACATTTCGGCAACTGCTCGCGAGATCAGTGCCAGGCTGCTGGCTGGCGCGGGAATATTTTATAAAAAAATGATGCGATGCAGAATCAGAAGCGAGTACTTGGATATCTGAATTGAGAATTTTACAGGACAGGCTGCATCCTCGCTCGTGACTAGTTGACTAAGACAGACGTAACATTGTGTTCTGTATGACTATGACAGGCTGAGGGGTTTCTCGAATATTCACCATCCAGAGCAGAGTTCCGAGTCTCAAATCAGATTTCCTTTTTGCAGTTTGCTGTCAAGAGAGGGAGAAGAAAAAAGTGCAAATTGGAGCCGACACATTGGATCATATTTTTTCCCGAAACTTCATCGATTCATGGCAGGCAAGGCAAGCTAGGATTCTACATAGCTCTGGGATGTTCGCTGTTGTCGCTTATATCACTTAACATCCTTTTTTCTTTCTTTTTCTTTTTTCTTCTTTCTTCTTTCTTTATTTCCCTTCCCGCCTGTCCTATGTATTATGCCTTGCATTGTTATGTTCCTCAAGAGGCTTTCTTTTTCTCCAAAGCACTAGTTAGCACTAGCCGTGGCCATGCCGTCCATGCTTGACCTTAACCTAACAAAAAAAAAAAAAAATAATAATAATAATAATAATAAGAATAAGAAGAAGGAAAGGAAGCGTTGAGGGTAATTCTAGAGGAAAAGGGGGAAGTGAAAATGCGGAAATCTGATACACATCCAGGCCAGGCCGCTGATATGACATCGTATCTTCGTACGATTTCGAGCCAAAAAAAGGAAGTAGCAGCTTGTCTTGAGCCTGTCCCGAGAGATTATTGCCATTCGTCTGCGATAGTTTCCTACCTATCTTCGGCTGCAACCCAGCAGGATTGGTTTAGAACGTTAACCTGGGTATTCCGTACATAGAGCCCGGGCTGTTCGAGTGCGTATATATAATTGCGACAACTCCAGCAGCCTTTTCTAGAAATTTAAACCCTTCTCGAGATCTCTTGCAGTAACTACTACTCCTACTTGGCTACTATGTATGGTGATTGGTTGCGTTTCGTCTATTGTAACTATTAACGGGTATCATATCACACCTGCTTCTCAGTGCACATACCCAAGTAGGTAGTCAAGTACTTACATATATGCACTGGCTACGTAAATAGCCGTCTCGACACCCGAGGATATAATATCGAACTTTTGCGACAAAATCCCGGGGTCCCAGGCCAGGAAGCGCTCCCGCTTTAGTCTAGTGGCGATATTCGGCTCGATATCACAGATTAGCTTTGGCAGGCCCCATCGCCTTATACTCCGTTTGCCTTAGGCTTGGGGACGTTAACAATTTATATCACAAGCGGCCTAAAAAAACGACGAACAGGCGGGCCCCGTCCTGCGCACCCACCAATCGATTCTCGACGTGGACTCGCACCGACAAAACCCCACAAAGCTCTACATACATACATACATTACACGAGTCTGCATTTTTTTTTCTTCTTCTTTTCCCTTTCCTGTTCCCTTTTTTTTTTTTTTTTTTTTTTTTTAAATAAAAAGCCCCTCTCAAGTTGTGGACCCGGATGGAATGCTAGTAGACGATTAAAGTACTTAAATACTTAACTTACTTACTTACTAACTTACTAGTACTCAAGTACTTGCATATCTTCTCTAATTCGTCAGCTAATCACAGCGGGGCGGGTTACAACAGAACTAGTTAGTTAAGAGAGCTCTTGTGACCTGGGTATGGAGAACGAGCTTCGACCATTGCAAAGATAGCTTCTGGCATACTTGAAGGAGATCCACTCGACAAGTACATCCTCAACCAAGAACCAAAGTACTCAAAGTACTTAAACCGAGTACCTTGCCTTGATATACTGGCACAATGTAAGCAAAGTCCCATATATATTTATTTTTTTCCCCTATCAATTCCCTCACTCTTCTTCCAAGTAGACACATAAGGAAGGAAAATTCCCCAATTTTTCTATCCGTCATTCACTAACGACCCGAATTCGAGGATAAACTCAGACGCTATAGTCCGAATATATAATCTTGGCTCTGGTATTCCGCTATACCGCCTCGCATATTCGAACTAAGAAGTACTCAGCCCGCAGCTGTGTTCGGTACTATACCGCGGGGTCGTTCGCTCCTATAAGACTTTAATTCGAGCTTAGGAAGCGATATCTTCGCAAACATTGCAGCATTTGCCGCTCAACGCAGCACATACAAGCATGGCTTCCAACAGAGCTATGCTCAACGCCTTTATGGCAAGAGATTTCCTATCAGTCCCTTCAAAACTCGGAGTTCTCACAAGGAGGCCATTAAGAACAAGTAATCTTCCTGGGCGCTCTCGATCCTATGCATCGACCTCCAAGTCGAAAACAAACTCGAATTATCGCCAAAACCCAAATCCGGGTTCTTATGGGCCTGGAAAGGCAGGTCCTTGGTCCATGCCCAGAGCATTGGCTCTTTCCGCTTTCACTGGATTTGGAACATATTTCTGGGGGATCAAGGGGACTGAGAGAAACCCTGCCTTGGAGGCATCTACTGTCCATAATCTACGAGATATCCCGGTTTATGGGTCCGCTAAGGATATGCAAAATGTAAGTCGCAGACCGGTGCCCAACCGCATTGCAACAGCCATTGAATATATGTATATGATTGCAAATATTATAGGCACAACTAACGTAGATATATATATTTACTAGGCCATTCATGAGATTCGTGATTTGCTTGGTGATGATGCTATCAGCACCGACGATGAAGATCTCCTTCTTCATGGTTATTCCGAATGGTCTACAACGAATGTCGAAAGACTACCAGTCGCCGTTGTATATCCTAAAAACACTCAAGAAGTTTCGGTTATTGCCAAAACATGTCATAAATACCGGGTCCCGATGAGTACGTTTTTCTTCTTCTCCCAAGTGACACCGTCTCTAATATCAGAGCTTAATTGTTAACGATCGAGATGATAGTTCCATTTTCCGGTGGATCAAGTCTTGAGGGAAATTTCTCTGCCCCATACGGTGGCATGAGTGTAGACTTTTCCAACATGGACCAGATAGTAGCTATGCATGAAGACGAGTAAGTGCACGCAAATATACCTTTTTCCTAGAGGCTAAGAAGCTGAATAACTCCCAGTATGGATGTCGTAGTTCAGCCAGCAGTATCTTGGATGTCGCTTAATGAAAGCATACAAAACACAGGCTTATTCTTTCCTGTGGACCCGGGCCCAACGGTATGCTTATTGTAAATTTCACCTTGTCGATATCTTAACTAATTTTTGCTTACAAGGCTAAAATTGGAGGAATGGTGGGCACAAATTGCAGGTAAGCCTTTTAATCATCACAGAAAAACGCCTGCATTGCAATATTAAGCTATCTCTAGTGGAACTAATGCCGTTCGATACGGAACGATGAAAGACTGGGTCATCAACCTTACGGTTGTACTCGCGGATGGAACAATTATCAAAACTCGAAAGCGTCCGAGGTTAGTCCAAAAGCAAGGCCTTGAAACACCGAGAGTTGATATTTATTTCATTAAATCAATTACAGGAAGTCTTCAGCGGGATACAATCTTAACAGCCTATTCATTGGGTCTGAAGGAACTCTCGGATTGGTTACTGAAATCACCCTAAAGCTCGCAGTTATACCCCCGGAAACTAGCGTTGCAGTCGTAACCTTCCCCTCAATAAGAGAAGCAGCTGCAGCCGCTTCAAAAGTCATCAGATCCGGAGTCCAAGTAGCTGCTGTCGAAATAATGGACGAGGTGCAAATGATGGTTATCAACAAGTCTAAGTCGACTAAGAAGGTGTGGAAAGAAGAGCCCACTCTCTTCTTTAAGTGAGTCTGACACCCCACCGAAATGAGCCACGAGCTCACTCTGAACTTGTTTCCGCCGCATTTACCGCTGACCATTGCCAATGATCACGAGTCCAGATTCTCAGGAACTCAGTCAGGGGTACGTATACCAGTCAAACTATGCATCATATCCTTATATCCTCGTAATAATTGGGCATTTCGACACCCTGATTGGACCCTACTTGACGGCGCCCGGCAAAATTTCTATGATAAGCTGCATATATACACCAAGTACGTACCGTTCGGCTAATTAATCTTTCCTGGGGGTAGATTCAAGCAGATATCGACACCGTCAGGGCGATTGCGAAGGACTTTAACGGTGGAGAGTTCGAATTTGCACGAACAATCGAGGAGCAAAAGACGCTGTGGTCTGCAAGAAAGGAGGCGTTATGGAGCATGCTTGCATTACGTGAAAAGAGTGGCGATGTCTGGTCAACAGATGTTGCAGTGCCTCTTTCAAGGCTCGCTGATATCATCGGTAATATACCCCCAACTTGTTGCATTTAGATCCCGTCAACGCATGCTGGCACCCCCTGCGTTTTGAAAGAAGTGGGAAAAGCTGACACGCATAACTCCCTGATAGAGCTTTCGAAGAAGGAGCTTGACGACTTAGGAATGTTTGCAAGTGTCCTCGGCCATATCGGCGATGGCAATTTCCATGAGAGTATCATGTATGACAAAAGCAACCCGAAGGAACGGGCCGCTGTCGAGCAGTGTGTCCACACTATGGTCGACCGTGCTCTTGAAATGGAGGGTACATGCACCGTAAGTTCCAAAGACTAGTTACCCAGATCACGAGACATTCTCTAAGATACCTCTATAGGGTGAACATGGCGTGGGCCTCGGTAAAAAGGTCAGTACACTTATCCCTGGATGATATGCATTGCGTATCCCTTAACCTCAACCACACTGCCGCTCAGGCCGCTAACTTTCAACAGGAGTATCTCTTAAAAGAATTGGGGGTCGATACTATCGGTGTTATGCGGAAAGTGAAACTCGCTTTGGATCCTCTGTAAGCTTATCCCAGTCGTACATATATCTGGCGGCTTTATTATTATTGTGGACATGCGCTAATGTATGGAACTGCTCATAACAGCTGGCTCCTGAATCCAGGAAAGATAGTCGACGTGATCTCGCCTGAGATCCACTAAATTGACCCAAGTCAATCTTCTGTGATGACTGCTTGGCCCTGCGTCATCGACAGAGCTCCTTTTCGCCAAAGACTGTATTTTAGTTTTATTTGGGCTTTTCTTCTTTTTCTTTTTCTTTCAGAAAGCACTTAGGTAATTTTGGCTTCCGTTCTTGTTTCTACTGTTACCGCTACTATCACTGGATCCAATTGGAGGGCGTCTTCATGGTTCGGGAAGCATATTATGTTACTACAGCACCTTATAGACGTAACCATTGTATAAATGCGTTTTAATATATCACTTTTCCCGTTAAACCCCACTTATTATGCGTATACTTCAGCGCTGTGAGATTGTATCTACCCAAATACTTGCTTGTTTAAACTCGCATTTGAATACACGGCACTTTTCACCTAATTATAACCATAGAAATCCTAAGAACCTAAACAATATCGAGGGACATTGCATTGCAGCTATAGCACTATATAAAATAATAATAAAGATTGGATATCATTTAGCTTTTATGCATAATGAGCACATCCCGCGGTGCGTACTCCATGATGCCCGCCTAGAAGCCGTAGATTCTATTTACAAGCTCAAGACCCCAAGTATAGGCCCTACAGTAAGCCTTTGATAACAGCTACCTCTGCATTGAGAATGGATGAACCAGCAGCACCGAGAACAGCTAAGTGTAAAAAAAAGGGGGGGAATTAAGGTCAGTATCAGATCTTACTTGGTTGTAACAGTTAGGCGCCATGGATAAAATCGAAGACTTACTATTATGCGATAACGCCACGAATTTAATGTCGAAGACATTGTCCGGACGAACCCTACCAACACTCACTGCATATCCGCCCTCAGTTTCTCTATCTAGTCTTGGCTGCGGTCTATCATCCTCCTCCCTGACCACAATAGCCTCCTTTGGTGCACTCGGGCAACCCAACTCCTGCGGCTCGCATCTGTATTTCCGCAAAGCATCTTTAATTTCATCGATACTTGGTGGTGGCTGCCTCTCAAACTTTACATTGACACAGGCGGTATGGCCATCCATCACTGCAACCCGATTGCACTGGGCAGACACAGCGACTTGAAGCATCTCGAAAGCAGTACCTTCGGAATTGACACCACCGAGAATCTTGCCGGTTTCCCATTCAATCTTTTCTTCTTCACCAGAGATATATGGGACTACATTATCTAGGATGTCCATTGATGGGACACCGGGGTATCCTCCACCGGATATAGCCTGCAAAGTGGTCACGGCTACAGCCGAGAGGGGTCCGAAGGCTTGGACCAATGCCGCCAATGGGACGACTAAGCCAGTAGTCGAGCAGTTTGCGTTAGTAACCAAAAATCCCTTTGATAGGCCGTGAGTCTTCATCTGGTGGGGTATGATTGAGAAGTGGGATGTGTTTACGAGGGGTACGATGAGTGGTGTAAGAGGGTCTCGTCGATAATTCTTCGCATTAGAAAAAGTCGGGATATTAGCCTTGAGGAAGGCCATTTCTAGTGATTTTTTACAATTAATATTAGCAGGAACAACTACGAATTGATTATACTGCCCATTGGTTAGAGAGGGTCATACCGATATCTCCAGCTACATCAGCGTCTAACCCGGAGAACACAATGTCACAGTCTGTGAACCCTTCGGGCGTGCATTCTTTCACAACCATATCCTTCACTGTCTGTGGCATCAAAGAGGCCTGTTTCCATCTTGTAGCATCTTTGTAGGCCTTTCCGGCGGACCTGCTGGAAGCGCCAACGGCGATGAGATCGAAGTATGGATGCTGGGATAGTAGCAAAATGAACCGCTGACCGACGCTGCCCGTGCAGCCCAGGACACCTGTTATGCGGGGAAATTAATCAGGGTTTTTAAAAGGTTAACGTATTTTGTTCATCGTTAATAGTGCATACCGCAAGTTTTTCTTGTTTGTGTCATCGTGGAAGTATAGCCTAGCTTAGGCGACGACGGTAGTGAGGTATAATTGACCGGTATTAACTGGAGAGTAGTTATACAATGCAATCTGAGTAAATGCTAACAAGTATTCGACAAAATGTTTAAAACTCGGAGTCTTTAAATGAAGCGTTGATAGTTAGAACCTTTTTAGCCGCCAATGAAGCTAAGGGGAACGATTGAGTCAAATAAGTCAGGTTGTAGTCTCGATAGAGCTCCCTTCCCGACATCGGGTTGAGTTTTGGCCACCGATCCGGCTTGCGCTCGCTTGTGAATTAGACCAGCCCAGACCGTCAGTTTCACGAGCGGATGACTAAAATATGCAATTGCTACAATTCTATTGAATGATACTGTTTATCTAGGAGATTCTGCCGCAGTTATGCACGTGATTGATTCATGAGCACGGATAATATCTAGTATTATTGCCAGAGCTTTTATTCCCATTCACACGACCGAACACCCATGAAGATGGTATAATAATATATAACAAGGAGAAGGTCGTAGACGGAAGTCTGAGGATTGTGGAAAAGTCGTCATCGGAGTATGAGTAGAAGAAGAAGGAAGAAGAGGTAATGGAGGAATCATCCAGGTGACATGCCTGCATGAGATGAGGTAGGGCTCTTAAAAGGATTTGACATGATGGAGCGGCTTCGTGAGTAAAACGTCCCGAGCAAGAGAAAACAGCGGAGGAAAAATGTACAGCCCAACAATGGAGGAATAAGCGTAGGAAAATGAACAGAGTCAAAAAACACCGTATATTAAATAAGAAAAGTAACGAATTTAGGCGCTTTAGGCAGCAGCACGACGACGATCTCTCTCCTCGGCGATGGTAAGCTGTAGAATATAATGTCAGTATGTACAATTTGGTATCAAGTCCGGACGGAACACCACCAACCTTGACACCCTTGCCCTTGGGTAGGGAGATCCAGGGCTTGTCGGTTCCAATGATGAAAACGTTGCTCAATCGGGTAGCGAAGGAGTTGTCGATGGCGTCCTTGATGTGAACAATATCGAAACCACCGTCGTGGCGTTCACGGTGAGTAATGACACCGACACGACCCATGTTACGACCACCAGTGACCATGACAATGGCACCGGTATCGAAAGGAACGAAATCATTAATCTTGCCAGTCTCCAAGTCAACCTGGACGGTGTCGTTGACCTTGATAGATGGGTCTGGGTAACGGATTCTATATCATTCCCACGCAAGTTAACCTTCTGGTACTTATCACACTGATATTCATGGACCAGCTAAATATGAAAACTTACGTTCGGGCATCGTGTGTAACGAGGTATGGGATTCCCTTTTGTCCAAGCTGAACTCTTCGGACCTTGCACAGCTTGTACTTGGCCTCCTCTGGGGTGATTCTGTGGATGGTGAAACGACCCTTGGTGTCGTAGATGAGACGGAAGTGCTCGCCAGTCTTCTCAATGGTGATAACATCCATGAAACCGGCTGGGAAGGTGGCATCAGTTCGGACCTTTCCGTCGACCTGGATAAGGCGCTGCATGACGATGGCATTGGTTTCCCTGCCATTCAAAGCATACTTGAGACGGTTTCGGAGGAAGACTCTAATTCAGACGAAAAAACCACCATTAGACGCACAAATTCCAGACAGTAAATTCACTCGTAAGTCGGATATTTGACATACATCAGAGGAAGGCAGTCCCTGAGCTTGTGAGGACCAGGGGACGGTCGTGGAGCGTAGGTGCCGGAGAGTTTGTCGAGCAGCCAGTGGGATGGCGCCGATAGGCGTTTCATGTGCTTCTTTCTACATTGCCAATTAGCATCAAATACGCAGGCAAAAGCAACGATTCCATAGATCTAATCCTCTTCGCTACCAATGGTCGTTCTTCATCCATATACATTCGAATTCGTCTTCCCACAAGCTATCCCACAAAAGAACGCCACTGGCAACGAAGTTGATGGTATCGCGGGATCTTAAACGAAAGGAAATGGTTTCGGAGGGTACTAACGGTCCACGAGCCATATTTGCGGAGTGTTAGGGGTCGAGAGGGTGTGTCGTGTAGGATATGGAAGTGTCGACAACGGCGATGATGACCTTGAAGTATGGGTAGGTTTGACGAGACCTTGAATGGGGATGTTAGACCAAAATTTCGACATGCACTGTGCCAAGCCCGCATCTAATCTGGAAATCCGCGTTGGGAGCTAAATAGGGCTTGCCCTAAGCTAGTGAAGCAAACAGTATACAGATCACATGATCAAATGGTAACTGATCACGTGTTATGTTGGTTATTGCAACAGCTCAACGCAAAACTGCGAAACAATGGGATTGGAGGCTCTTCTCTTCAACACATTCCTCGCCATGCGATATCCAACCGGGCTGTGTTATAGCACGTACATGTGCAGTTAGACCCCGGGATCTCCATTCTTAACCAGCCACAAAAGGCATGGTATTGGCTTAGTAAGGGTACCTGCTTTCTTGCGAAAGACACTTTGATTGCGGCATCAAAACGTGACATGCATCCGTTGATTGGATTGACAATGTTGCAACCCGGACCTTGGGCCTGATATAGGTAATGTTTAGTCAAAACTCCTCCAACTGAATTCACAAAGCAGGGGTACTTCTGTTAGCTCTGCAAGTTCGATGCAGCATGCTAATAGTTAAATCCCGGGAAAAAAATAATTGCAGCTGAACAGGCGTAATATCGGATACGCCCGTCCACTGGGAGGCTACACAGGCAGAGGGTGATCCATGAAGAGGCAGGAATCCTGATCTATGGATCATATATGGCTTCAGGCAAAAACAGGGCAGTATGGATTTACAGTCCGCGGTCGGTTCTTCCTACCCAATCAACAATTCAATCTATTCTGCAACCTCAAACCTGCATAAATACATCCTGACCGGCCGCTCTTAACGGGCCCCATCCACATTCACCCTTGTCGTTTCGTTCCGTGCTACTATTGGATGGCGAGAGCATCTCATCAGTTAGGTCATTCTGGACTCATCAAACATGCACTTCAAATTTCTCACCCTTGTCAGCTCCTTTAGCTCGATTCATCTGAAAATGTCTATTGGCCTGTTTCCCCCTCTATTCATGGAGTGGCGGGCCTTCCTGCTCAAAAAACCTGCTTGCTGTAACACATCTACTGCATATGCATAACTGCATCAGTTGTCTCGTTGCATATAGTTAGAGGGAATATCACGCAAGGGAGGGGTCTCTTAATAGAACCATATGATACTCGTAGGTACATACGTACATACTCTCGAAAAGCTGAAGTTACTCATGTACTCTGCCACATATGCGGACGTGCCTTTAGTGATTGGATAAGACTTCTGAGGGTGCATAGGAGGTATTTTATCTTTTACCGCCGGGAAGCGCCCTTGTGGTCTAAAATTTTTCTTTCAGCGAGCCATCGTCGGCCCCCAGTTTTGTACAGTGAATGTAGAGATAAAGTAGGCTTTATGCGAACCCGTACTTCCACAAAGGAATCCTATTATTCTGCTCACCGAAGTAGAGGGTATTGGATTTGATTCCCATGATCGGTGCTGCTATATACTAAGCTTGGTAGTGATATAGGTCTCCTTGATAGCGCCTGTTCTAGTCCCGGAGCCAGACGATCACCCACCGATTAGGTACTTAATAAAATTTATAGGACTAGGAGTATCTAGTATGTGGGTAGGTACTCTTGGACTCAAAACTTAGAGATAGTTACAAAAGTCGAGCAGGACTTATATGTTTTGCAATTATTACTACCCGGTCGGCTCTCGCCGTTTCCATAATAGCTTACCTATGACGTCTAGATACCCGTACACCCATTATTTCGTTGTGTGATGAAAATTATGACCATGATGGTGAGGTTAGATATTAATATTATATGCACGTAGATGGTCATTTGATCGCTGAGATAGTAGGTCCACAGACCCTCTACGAGTATCCCATCGAACGAAACCTTAAGTATAAAACGTTCGGCGCAACGATGATGAAATAAACCTAGATATCCCGATTAATCGGTGGTTTGTAATAGACAGCTTAAGTAATTTTGGATAGATACCTAAGTACCTAGTAAACATGCGTTTATATGTAAAAAACCAAGGGGAAGGCGAAATTTAACCAAGTCCGGCTAGCTACTCATAAAGGATATTCCCCAAGAAGATACCACAAGACGAGTTTAAATTTGCTAGAGATGGATTTGAATTTTTCTATAATATAGCGAAATGTCATGTTGATTTTCCAAGGTAATCTATCGATCCAGACTAATCCTATAGACGTGTGGGAAACAGACAACGTGAAAAACAAAAACTAGAAACCGAGAAAATCTTGGGAAAGGTACACTTAGAATTTAAATCCGAGAAACGTTGAAACCACAATAATTACGGGCCTCGTTAACTTCATAAGTACTTAAGTAGGCAGATAAAGATAGGTATATACGTATATCCCACAAAAGGTAACTGGAACCAAGAGCAAAAAACCAAGAGACCGCCACCAAGAACCGCCCAAACAATAAATAGAAAAAATAACGAGCCCAGCAATATATAACTCCGTATTACAATCTGAAGGGAACCAAGAGCAAACCACCACGCCAGCGGTAACATGCTTGTCGGAGTGTGAGAAATAATACCAGAGTTGGCTCCTTGTACTCTGATCAGACTGATCAGCTGATAATTCTATGACATGATATTATACTCCTGATCCCAGATAAACCCCATATATGGATCATATTGATTAGCGTAGCTCCATTGGTTTGATAAATCCGGTTGGACAGGCTGCTCTACGTTAACGATATTTGTGTACTGGACTTGTTCCATGCTATCCCAGGAGTTAGCAAGTGGCTGAAGTTGCTCCGAAGAGCGTGACGAGAAATCTTGAGGGGTGGAATACATTTCCACAGGTGGGCCGTGATAGTACATGGCGACACTACAATCGCAGCTCGGGGGCAAGACCGAACTCTCTTCGACAGACTTATCTGTGTACGTCTCAGTATGAACCACTTCTTGCATGTGTACCGAGTCGGAGCCCCCGCTTTCGATGTCTTCAGTTACTGTCGGTGGCGAGGAAGAGGGAGCTGTCTCTATCTCTTCGAATACGGTCGCTAACTTGGCGTGGGTGACCCCGAACCTTGTCCGGAAATACGTAGAGTAGCCCTCCCGGGCGGCGGCAATGTTGTAATCGAGTTTGTCCCGAGCTCTGATAACTGAGAAGGGCTGCTGGAACCAACTAAGGTAAGTTCCAATAGGATCGCCTTCGATTTTTGAATCTGTAATTGGGCCGATCCAATCGCCAAAGCCGTATATCTAGTAGAATATATTAGAATTGAGATGTAATTGATGACAGGCTATACCTAAACAGTGTTATCAATATGTATCCATACCTTCAATACAAACACAGATGCTTCATTCAAAGCATTAATATAGATATCTGCTACTGGGTGTTTTCGAAGAAAGTCCTCCTCCAAGCACTCCAGTATTTCAATGGCGACTTTGACGTGATGACAAGTATATTCCACATTTTGATCCAACAGATCAAGCGTCCCATCCATCTCAAGCTCTTCGATGTCCTCGGCGTCTAGGTTCAAACCCAGTGCCTTCTGGTAGTCCCGAACAGCGACAAACATCAAAGCAATATAACACTCATACCATCTAAATGAATAGATTACCGGGTCCTTCATTTCCGGATCGTCAACACTTATGTCCTGGCCGCATCTCTGTAAAATCGACCTGATTTGATTTATTTTCCTCCTGTGTAGTCGCAACCAGGGTTCTAAACTTGTTGTGAACCAAAAATCCAAGTCTACAGGTTTCCTTTGAGCATATATGTTCCATAGCCATTCTACAATCGAGGAGACACCCCTTTCCTTGTGTGGCTTGCGTCGGGGAGGTCGTGGAGGATGTCCTGCTGCCCATCTTGGGTAATCCGGTTGCCGATATCCGTTGCACTCTGCCATTTTATAAATTTTTTAAAATTGTATCGAGTCGATATCCTATATATATCGATATAGTATATACCTATACCTAGTATACCTAAGTAGTAGATATAGATATAGTATAATAATATAGCCGATAGAATAAGAAATAAGAAAAGCAGTTGGTGTTCGTGTAACCTCGAAGAGACCCAAGCCAGGTGAATGACAAGCTTGTGTAACTCTGAAGTTATCTCGAAGAAGAAAAGTCTAACGCTCTTGGTCCGGTTTAGGCAAGATGGATACTGCTCCCCTGAAATCTGTGTAACGTAGCCAAAGCTAAATACTGATATTCTAGGTTATAAGAAAGCTTCAAGCGAGATAGTTGGATGTTTAAGTAGATATGGTGGATATGGCTCTGATCAAAAGTGGTATATAAAATTTTTTCTTTCTATATAAAAATAGGATATACCTAGGATGAATAGGAAGGGGAAAAAAAGCACTAGCTCTTGATGGGAAAAGGCAGGAATGAAGGGGTTGTCGAAATGAATGCTTGGTTTTCAAGAATAACGCTTCAGCCATGCAGCTTATGTCGACCTCTTTAAGTAACCAGATAGACCGTAGCGAATACTATCCTCGTAGCTGCACAACCTGGACGGAGAGTGGTTTTAAAATTTGCGGGAAATGGCTATCACATTTTGGCTTGTTCGGTACAGCGGGTGTAGTATAGATCGGTACACATGCGTACCTGGGCTGAAGCTCCTCAGCCAAGGCCACTGCAAGTATGTACGGTGTACATATGTACTACAGTTGCAGGATTAGCATATTTTCTTGTTTTCTTACTTACTTTTTCCATTCCATTTTTTTTTTGTTTTTTCATTCTTCTGTCGGAATACAATTTGTCGTATTTTCTTATTCGGTCGTAGGGATTTGGAATGGAAATTTATGGGCTTCTTTCTAAGTTGTCAAGCACGTTGTTTTCTCATACAAAGCCAGGGAGACGGCCATCGGCCATTTTGGACGTATCAGACGTCCTTGACGCTGCAGGAAAACTGCAAAAACCCCAAAACCAGGTCAAGTCTCCGATCTCTGGACATGTTCGGCACACATACCTTTAATTTGACACCAGGGGGGGTCGAATCGCGATCTGCCGCACCGTTCTTTCAGTACTTTGTATGGATGTACCTCTACGTTGACGACCTGATACTCTGGAAAGACACTAGCGAGGGGTACTAATATTCGGGACAGAAACCAATTGGCTGCTCGGAATCATTGCATCTTGCATGTTTGCAATAGCAAACCCATCGATTGTGGGGACTCACGATCGGACCCGGGAAACAGACGGATTAAGCGCAACATCTTCTCCTTTTAATTAATAACTTTGCAATAGGATCTCAAGTCCAATGTTAACGTTGCAGAGATTCGCCGTTCGACCCGGGATCATGAACACTGAATGGCTCAAGGGAAAACTCCGCTTGGCATACTGTGCCTATTGAGAGGGTCACCAGAGCTAGATCGAGCGATGTGGCTTTCAGGCCGCCAAATTTGGAAACCAAGGTGGACGAACACCAACCATTTCGGTGGTTGATTGTGTCAATGGCGTCGTGCCCTGGTCAAAACTTGGGCCTAGAACAGGCGGCTGCTCAGATAAGCGGGACGTTTTGTGGATATTGGGCGGGGCCTTGCCCTGTTCACCCTGATCTACGGGGACGCCTCGGATGGTAAATTAGGGAATGAGGTGCACTCAGGATTCTCGCCGTCGACATCATGTGGCGGTTGCCTGTAAACAGTATCCCGTATAATCACAAACCCAACTCCTTGGAATTGGCACTGGTTGATCATCCAGGGCTCTGGTGTATCCGATTGTCAAAGAAAGGTTAGTACCCATGGTACTGGCGGCCGATTCAGATTACCAGATACCTTGTACACATTTCGTCGAGGTAAATTCTAAAAACCTATTCACGATAGAGTAATATTGGCGATAGTTAAACCCATAAATGCTTTGGTACATATACTTAAGTACGTATATATAACCCGCTCGTAAGACTCTTAAACCGGACTAGTCAGACTGTAAGCTAGGATCGACGACTCGACCGAGAATGCTCTGGGCTGTACCTCTGAACATGTTGCGAGAACTTGTCAGATGAAACTAGACACTGCCTAGCCGCCCTATATGCCAGCGGCCATAGATCCTTGCAGATAAATAGTCTTTAATCAGGTTGATAGGACTTGATTGCCTACTAACGTTAGGGCGCGGGTTCGGAGAAGTTTCCCTAGCGATATCGCTAGAGGTGGAGGCGAACTTTTTGATTTAACTTGATTAAGTTATTTCGATACGATCAAGCCATGAAATGAGGCGATATTGGCTTGAGATCGGCAATCAAAGGGAGGGACGTTCCGCCGGGACGAAATTTAAGAGCGTCTGAACTTAGCCTCAAGTTAAACATTTCCGCTACACTCAGTCGTGCCTTGTATGAGACCCACAATTTTTATTGTTTTGGGTACCGGGCTCGGATTTAGATATACAAGGATGTTGATTATATCAATCAACCCATGAGGGTTAGAGTGTGGGGATGTATACAGTGACTGAGCCGGGTAGGCATGTGCTCTGTTGCACAGTGTATTGGCGTCTCGTAATTCTGGTTTGAAGTCGTGAGGGGATCTCGCAGCAATGCAACATGCGGCGTGGAGGTGCATTCCGGTTTCACTTACCACGAGGTTGAAGGCTGCCCAATAAAATATGTCGGGCATCCTCGGACAAGCTCAAGAATCTTCTCTTGTCCGATCTATCGTAAAAGATAGGTATCCGCATATTTGGATACCTTCATTTCTCGAGACGATAGCTATGCAAGGCCAGGAATCCTGGAAGACGCCGATCAAAAGAGAGAAAGTGACCCTTTACTCTTCGGTCTCCTTTGGGTGCCTTTGCATTCTGGTGCATATGCGCATGACTGAGAATCTGTACGTGAACAGGAAACCCGAAGTGGAAGAAGAAATTTAAATAAGCGGTTCTCGAGGTTAGTTGAAACCCTGACAGATGAGTATTTTTTTTTGTATTCCAGTTCGACTAAAGTTTCTATATCCAGATCGATCATCATGCAACAAAAGCATTCAAACTGACGGGTTTCTGAAAGTACTTTGAATATCGGCTGAAGCCCTGACAGAGCGAGGCATTTCGCACAGACATGTTATTGAACTTAACACTTAAGTCCGGGAAATGGCGATTTTCGCAGGTCATCAACACTGAAGGTGGGGAAAAGATCAGAATGATCGGCTCGGGAAATACCATTGACAGATCCCATGGTCATTGCATTTTTCCTCGACTTTCTTAAAGTTCCTTTTTTTTCTTTCCTCCCTTCTTTCTTTCTTTTAGTTAGGTTCGGTGGCGTCAATGATACGGAAGAAGGAAATATGTACAGGATGTATGTGTGTATGTACGTACTTTGTATGTATGTCATGTAGATGCTAAGCCTAGTGTGCTTTGGCCCGGGCCCCCAAACGGTGATAGCAGGAGAGTTCCACCGCGAAGACCCACAAACTTAACAAAACTTCACGGGAATTCTCCGTAGATGTCTTATAAGTTCCAAACGAAACTGAATCAGAGTGTGATCAACAAAATATTTGAAATCGTGTTGCGTCGAAGATCGGATGTTGCATTTAAATTCTGGTAACCTTGTACTGGCTTAAGCCCGTGGCTGGAGATGGCCCCGATGGCGTCCCTGATGGGAGGCGATTGAGTTCGAGGCGTCGACTACCGAAGGGCCAACGGGTGCGGTGGTTGCACCACATCCACCGACCCATCTTGCGCTTTCGCTTGAGGTCTCACCTCATTTACATTCTATCGGATCTGATCTGTGTGAGTCTGAGGCTAGCTCGTTCCCAGCCTTAGTCTGGGGGCCTGTTAGCTGCTGTGTATCGGGACTAGGGTGGTGAAGTGAACGTACTATGCCCGCATGGGTAAGGAGTACTAAGTAGGAGGTATGTACATGTATACGTGCCATACAAGGGCGAACAACGTCGTCGGCAACACACCAACCTACTTGGGGAAAACACCTAACCTGAGTTAAGTAAGGACCGGCTACACTAGTTCGCCACGAACCCTTGCAGACGCCATCGAGATCCCCTTCTTTGCCCGTTCAGTCACATGGCGAGGAGCTTCAAGGCCCCGTTCGTCTCATCAGTATTGATTCAGAGCTGAACCCATCCATCCATCCGTCTTCATCCAAAAAGTATCACGGCGAGTCGCGAGGCTTCGTCCGAGTCACAACACTACATACCTAATCACTCTGCATCAACTAAAGTAGCTCCCGGCCGTTGACACCACGTTCTGATTTCCTCTTCAACAGATTGCACGCAGGCATATCGATATGATCAGTTTGATCTAGCGGTGGGCTCTAAAGCCTACATAGAAAGCGAGAGAGGGATACATATACATATATATATGTATAGAGAGAGAGAGAGAGAGAGACGAGGCACAGAGCTCTGCATACCTACCTTCGTTCTAGCAGTTGGCCAGGTTCCGCGTCCGAATCTTCCTCCAAAAGTTGATTTGACTGCTATCTCGAAGTGCTTTGAGGCCTGCCCGGAAGATAGTGAGCATCGCATCACATCACACCTCTCTCGGCGGGCCACTTAGATTAGTGCGTGTCAGTGCCGGGTGGACAATGCCAACTCGAAATATGTCACGACAGCCATTTCAGACAGCTGGTTTTGTGGAATTCCCGCCTCCACCTCTACCACCTGTCCCTTCAACTCCCACCATTGCGTCCAACCGCCAATTCACTGGCCTCACGATGCCGTCTGGTCTTCATCCCACAGCTCGCAGAGGCACACCTTCTGCAGGGGCACCTTCCGACCAACCCTCAGATGTTAGATACACCGTGTACCTGAGATTACCATTTCCAAGAAATGGATTTGTCGACCCCCCACCAGTAAGCTAACCCTCAACGATGCATGATAGCCTATCTTTGTACCCACGCCATGCCATTTCTCCCATTTTTGGGACAAAAGTCCCTCGTGGACAAATTCCAAGGGATGTCTACTTGTACATCTGGCTTTATGGGCTTATATTGTTATCCCTCTTTTTCTTTTTCTTTTTTCCGCTCTCTTCCTTTCTAACCCTCTGGCTCTGCAGGTAGACTGGGATGCTTCTAAAGAGCGCAGCTTGTGGAAAGTTATTTCGAAACATAGAAATAGCGAATTAGATTGTAAGACTCTACCCTGTTTTTTCCTTCATATATGCGAGGATCTGAGGGGATGCTAACTGCATTCGCAAATGCAAGGGAATCTATTGTAAGAAGCCATATTCCGTTTCCCGTGCCTTCAATATACTTCGCATATGGAGGCAATATCAAAAACATATTTTTTGAGTGCCAACCAATTGTTGGCTTGACTAATGCCATTTTCTGTCTTCTAAGAGCGGAGCATTTCAATGTATCCGCACCATTCCTTCTACAACAAGTTGCATGGCTGTATGAAAGAGAGCTTTCCCAGGTGAGGGCTCAGCTACGGCGGGTTGGGACTGTGGGGACTCCTCTGAACACACCAGGAACCCCACAGCCCGGGCCTACTGGGCAGAGAATCATTTCTGGAAGTGGTATGTTAACTTTCAAAGTTCTACAATGTTTGGGATACGTCTAAAATGCGAGTGTATGGCTAGAATTATCAAGGCCAAACTCTGCAATTGCTAGTCGGCCGCTGGGTACACCGATGAGTCGTACATCGTCACGGAATGTCTTGCAGCCGCCTGTGTCTCCAAATTCTCAAGGTAAGGGCAACATCAGACAAAAAGTCGCCACTTCCCGACTGCTCACGAGATGACTATAGACAAGGCAGCAACAGCCCCTCCCCCTCTATCTACCACTACCGCAACCCCCATGTCTCGGACTGCATCGGCCTCTACCACTCGTGCCCCTCTGGGTCAATCCTCTCAGTATCTCCCGGCCACTCCCACAATAGGAAACATAGACACTCTATCACAGCAATCTCGTAGGGGTCCACAAACGAGCGCAGGAAATGCTACGGCAACCTCGCCGACCACCTTGCGTCGTTCTCCTTCCGCTTCATCGACATCATCATCATCCGGGTCTTCTGACAATTCATCCTCTGCAGATCACGATGGATTGTTGGGCAAGAGACGGAATTTCCGAAAATTTGGCACTGCCAGTAGAATTGCTCGGCCTCCTCAAGATGAGGCGGAAGAAGAAGAAAGCCCTGCATTCCTGCCATGGACCGAGGGTGCAGGCGATGGTGCCAACTCTGCACCTGCAGAAGGGGCCCAAACGACAGTAACCGGTCCACCCACGAGTAAACAGCGTAGGCCTCGCGCCCCCGCTGGGGGATACGAGCCGGATCGCGGCCAGAACACATCTGGTGGAACCATCCGACGGGGTTTGCAGCAAATTAACATACAACCGTACAGCAACGTCTCAGATAGTGGAGCTTCGACCCCAGCGAGCCAATCCAGCCCTCGTCGCCAGGTATCTAATAGACATCACGGCGCTCAGAGTAGCCCGAGTATGGGAAGCTCCTTCAGTGACCTTAGTGGTGAGTCTCCATCCAAATTTTTTTATAGTAGTATGTCTTGTGTTCGTCTGTCCTTTTTTTTCCCGCATGATGCTTTCAAGTGAATTTCCATGATACAACATCGTGGAAGTGAACTTCATATCAGAAGCTCTCTAAGACCTTTGCTTGTCTTCTTCTTCTCCTTCTCATTCTCATTCTTCATTCTCGCATCCCGTTTCTACCTTTAAACCGACCCTCCGCTAAGAGAAATACCCTGCGTGCGCTTAAAAAAAATCCGAAGACTTTTACTAAACCAAATACCCTCAACCTTACTCTCTTTTTCTACGACAGACGCCAGTGTGACACAATCTGCTCTGGAAGACCAGTTCTTGTCCGCGGTAGGCGCCGGAGGTAGCATTGTGAGTAGGATGTCCAGCATCAGCCAGGCGTTCCGTGGACGGCAGCAGCAGCATTGAATACTTGCGTTCGTATGTGAGTGCATTCCTTATTCAGGATTTCTTGTTTGGGAGCAGGGCAGCGGAGGAATCGGAGTGTTAGGATATTCGGAGTTTCCGGCATGGGTGCCTTTCATAAGCTTTTTTTTTTTTTTTGGATGGGACACTGGTGTTTTCCACGGCTTTCCTTTTGGAATACTCCCGTTTCGTACTTTATCATAGGACAAATTGAAGGTCTGGCCATCGACGTCGACTCCACGAACATTCTCCCTGTGCCTCAAACGGGGCCTATGATTTATTTAACAATTGGTGAAAAGAAAGTCACACAGCAGCATGTTAGTAAATTGTAAAATAATATAATACATATATACATAGCTTCAATATCATGGGTACCTAGATGTCGATAGCCTTTTGGATAATACCCTTCCCTGCTTCTCATTAGCTTCAATCTATTTTTCACAATAGATTCAAACGATCCGGGGCCTTCTCCAATCCGTGAACCCGGTCAATATATAATATCCCGAACGAAAAGGAAAGGATATCATCTCCCAGCGGCAGCGGCAGCAGCAGTAGCAGCCCTATCCGCTTCCTTCCTATCCTTCCTAGCCAGCACACTAGCAATCCATTCCTCCATCTCCTCCTCAACGTCCATTTCACTCATCCTACCTTCGGTACCATATTTACTCCTCAACAGCCTCCTCATCTCATCCACATTGACCACATCGGCGACATACATCCCCGCACCCACGGTCATCATTCCGACGCTAAAGACGCCCAAAGAAGCGATGTTCAATGCTTCGAATGCATCTATACCGGTATTGAAGTTCAATTCTGAAGCACGGGTGTTGGGTGTATAGTACTTTGGAACGGTAGCGAGGTATCTACGACGGGTTGAACGGCGGGCGACGGCCATGGAGAGGAGGAGGAAACCGGCGCCACCGAAGTAGAGGGTTAGTTGTTTTCGGGCTCGTTGGAAAGGTGTGAAGGTTGGGTCTCTGTGGTCGGTTGGGAGGGGTTGTGATTGGGACTGTGATTGTGATTGTGATTGTGATTGTGATTCTGGTTCAGATTTTGTGATTCGAAGGGCTTCTGTTGGTAGGGATTGAGATTGTGGTTGAATTGGTGGAGAGGTCGGTTTTGAAGACCAGAAAGACCAGCTTGATGGCCAGAGACCCATCTTTGCGGTGTCTTGTTTTTCTTCTTCTTCTTTTTATTCCTTTTAAGAAGAGAGGGGAGCCACTGCTGGTGTGCAGGGCAGAAGAGTTCCTTGAAGGGTTTTGAGGGTTTTGAAGATGGAAGTTTTGGTTCAATTAGTTACTTAAGCTACTAATGGAAGAGAAACTCCAACGAAACAACAAATTCGGATTTCAACATCTCTTTTATCAATGCAAAGCTAGCTCATCTCATCTCATCCCACGTACCAGAACCACCTACTAGCTAAGATTTATACTATACAGCTCCAAAAAAGAATCATCATCACATCAAAACCTATAGAAACATTCTCTCAAAGCACAGGGAAAAGAAGAATGGCCATCCACCCATCATCCGTTCAAAACCCTGCCTACGATGGCGATTACTACGACACCTCCACCCCACATCCCTCAAGCACTCTCCATCTAGCCTCAAAACACACAACAGAAGGCTACCGCGACGGTATCACCGCTTCAAAACAGCAATTCATCCAAGAAGGTTTCGACGAGGGGTACATTCTCGGAGCAGCTCTAGGTCTCAAAGTCGGTGAATTACTCGGTACTCTCGAGGGGATCGTGGGGACTATATATGGACTACTCAACTCGTTGGATAAGAATCAGAAGAAAGATGTTGATTCAAAGAGCAGCGAGGATAGAGAGGTACTCAAAGAACAGCTGAGGAGACAGAAGAAGGTCAGGGAGACTGCAAAGCAAGAGTTGGCTTTGGAAAAGGTGTTTGGGAAGGATTATTTCGGTGAAGATGGGGTTTGGAAGTGGACTGCTGAAGAGGAGGATGGGGAGATGACGTTTGATGATATTGTACTACAACATCCCTTGATAGTAAAGTGGAGAGATATCGCGAAGAAGCAGGCTGAGGAGCTTGGATTGGATATCAAGGATGATGTTGAAGCTCAGGAGGAAGGGAGCGCCGACGACGATAGCTGAGGTTATCAATATCTTTTTTGAATATCCCACAGACCCGAATAGAGGCAGCTGGCCGGTATGCTCGAATTGTTCGAGTGACCTATACTATAAATCGATTAATCTTTCTACGGGTAAGTTTCTCTGATCCACCCACCCACACTTTACAATACCGGGGGGGCTATAGCTTACGATTCATGAGTCCAACAGTTAACTAGACGTATACTTTACGTTTTCTGAGATATCAAATTAATTTGCCATAGCAAAGAGCCATAAATGAGAACAAGATGCAACATCCAAAGTCATATTCCGATCATGCATATGGAAGAAATGAAAAAAAAAACCCCCTATCATTTCTCGTCTCTTATATATATACGAATCATACATACTTATACATTAATTGAAAATAAAGTCGAACCTTCGTAAGAAAAGGAAATTGTAAATAAAAAGGCATCCATAGCATACAATCTATGAAGGAGAAATAGGAAGAGGGAGAAGAATAGGGAAAAAATCACTCGCAGCCGGCCAAAGAGATTTCGAAGAGAGAGAGAGAGAGAAAGGAAAAGAGAGAAAACGAGACGAGACACTCTATCCATGCACCGTTGGTTAGACACTTAAGAGAAGCCAAAGAAACAAAAACATGAAATGCCAAAAAGTTGTTCCCAACCCAACCTGAAGCTCGAATTTTGTTTGTAACTTTGTTAGATTTTTAGTTCGCCTAGTTTATGAATAGATGGCTTCCAACATGTAAATGAACCCGAAGACCAAGAATGCAATGGCGCCTCCAAGGGTGACTATAGCACACACAAAATACCTCATGTTAGATATACCACTGTCAAGCAACGAGGAAGTGGTGGGGGAAAGGGAACTTACCGTTGCGAACGCTGATTTTCTCAGCCAAAAACTTTCCTCCAATAACCGCGCCAGCCGTGCAGCATCCGTGGCCAACAATAGCACCAAGGACAACAAACCAATAATCCTGACCGGCAGCCATAGCAATCGTAGCGATCTGGCTGCGGTCTCCCCACTCGCCCAAGAAAGTCATGACGAAAGTCTGAACCCAAGCGGGACTCAGAAGCAAAGCTGCGAGGTTCTGGACACCGTCGGCAACAACTTTGATATTGTTTCCGGATCCATTTCGCTTATCATAACTTTCGTCATCGCTGTCGTCAGAGATTGTGGGGGAGTTAGACCTCCTCAGAGGATTTCTCTTCTGGGATCTGGGCGGGACGATGCCCTCTTCCATCATGGAAGCGTTGGAACCGGTTCTACCCCTTGCCTCCTGTTCTTTCTCCTGTAGTTCCTGCTCAACCTCCCTCATCTCCTCCTGCACCCCTGCAGTCCCCTTCTCCATCTTCAGCCCGTCTATCAGCATCCTGACTCCAAAAATAAAGAACAGCCCGGAGGCGAGCCAGTTCGTGAATCTTTTAGGCAGCAGTGTCGGTACCGCGTGGCCTAAGACGGCGGAAAGTACCGTCATGACGACAAGGGAGCTAAATGCTGCACTGAAAACCAAGGTCCTGGAGTGCTTCATCGCCATAAGGGCGGCGATGAGAAAAGTTTTGTCACCAATCTCGGAAAAGATGATCATTAGGAAGGAGAGCGTGAAGGAGTGGGTCGGGGAGATGAGGGTTTCCTTGTCGTCGATGAGATTGCCGATGTGGTCGGAGTTGAGTGGTAGTTCAGATTCATCGAGGCGACCGTTGGCTTCCTCAGAGGAAGTCGTGGGACCTGTGTCTACGGAGGAGCTCGAATGCTGTACCTTATAATAAAATAGTAAAGAAGTAAAGAGTTAGCACCACATCATTGTTGAAGTCTTGCGGGTCTCGTGCCCATTGTACCTTTCCATCAGAAGGGGTCTCATCGACCACGGTTTTGATGGTCTTCCGTGTGATGGGGATATCATCGTCATCTCCAATCTCAGAACGGGTGACTTTGGGAACAAGGCTGATTGGAGGAGGCCGTGGAGGTAACGGATCCGGTTCCTTGATTTCCTTGTCGCCTTTGATGGTCGCGAAGACGAGATTGTGGGATGCGAGGGCGGACAGCAACACCAACGACAAGCCGAGTCGCGGGAATAACTGCCGTAGAATCATGATCGGCCGATATGTGAAGTTTGGGTATCTACGGTCAATAACAGGAATAAAGGCACCTGACGGGGAGACAGGCTGGAAGTTTTGAAGTTCGAAGTTCGAAAAAAGTATTCTGGATTTAGCTGGAGTGAGCTGGTTTGAAAAGGAGAGGAGCTGGATCGAGCAACCGAACAGAAAAGCCAACAAAGCCGTTCGCTCGACTACAACGGTTCTAAACTCTTGAAAGGAGCAGGAACACCCAGTTCGAGGCAGGGACAGCAGTAGTGGCCAGAATTAAACACCAGAACACGCAAGGATTGCTCGATAACTATAGGAATCCAAATTAATGTTGAGAAATCCAAATTGCTATTTTTGTGAGGCTTGAAACGGCCTGGTTTCCAAATTGTTTCCGCACCGCGATATGATACCGGGTATACTACCGATACCACCCAACGGGCCCATGCAATTACATGCATGGCGATTGGTCCATGCATCGGCGGCATTTAACGTTATATAGACAAGTGAGAAGTGATATGAAAGTATGTACAACGAAAGAAGAGAAAAGAACATCAATAGATGACAATTTGATTAGAAAGCAGTATCGTTAAGTCGAGGGTATAATAGTGGCCTGGCAATAAAAGGATACGGGTTTTTTTTTGTAACGTCGAAATAAAATATATAAAAAAAAACCTCGAAAACGCCTGGTCCACCTATCAACAGTAAAACGCCAAAAACCAGTAACGTCCAAGGCTAAATAACGAATGAAAGGGAGAAATAAAAAATGGGAAAGCGGGGAGTGGATATGTTATCTTCGCCTCGCAAGATAAGCAAGTGTAGTTTATGAATTTAGGGTTGTGATAGAAGCCAATGGCGAAGAGCACGAATGGCTGATTGTAAGGGTGAGCGATGCTTATCTCGACCGATGTAGACGGGTCGCTCGAAGTTTGCCTTTCTTATACTGTAGACCGGCTTTCTCAAGCTTGCCCATCATTTTTTGATCGAAAGTGACATGCTCAAAATTGAGTGGTAGTGTTTTCCCTAGCCTTGAAAACGCCATCACATGTTAGCAATTTCCCGTGAAATGAATTGTAGTACTACCTCAATACTTACTTCAGATACTCGTACTTCAGATTGCGGGCCTTGTCTTTGAGTTGTCCACCATCGCGAGATCCGGCGAAATAACTCTAGATAATGTGCTAGTCAGTTGAAATTCATTGGTTATAATAGTGCAGGAAAGAAGCTTACAGCTCCAATCGTAGCCCAGGAAATCCCAATCTCTCCAATAGCCTTTATTAAAGTTTCGACTTCATCGTCTGTCCAGCGGTTCCGGGGTTTGGGGGGGACAAAATGTACAAGAGGCCTTCCATGGTCTTCCGGGGTTTCACTTCTTTTCCTTCGAGGAGGATCTAATGGGTTTTCCCGAGAGGAACGACGTGGAGATGGTGGTGGAGAACGCCGTCGTTCAGGACGAGAAGCTCCTTTCTCGGGTTCAAATCTTCTTGCCCTGTGTTTGATTACTATATCTCCATAGCGTACTTTCTTTCGCATCCCGGCATTCTTGCTGTTAGTAGTATATTCATCCGACGACTGGTATTCATCATCTGATGGAGAACGGGCGCGCTTTTTCGTCTTCGAGGGACCAGGAGGATGAGGGACAGTGAGGCCGACGCTGTCTTCTTCTTCTTCTTCTTCTACCGGTTCTTCTTCCGGTTCTTCTTCCGGTTCTTCTTCCGGTTCTTCTTCCGGTTCTCCTACTAGTTCTTCTTGTTCTTCTTCTGCTCCTCCTCTTCCCTCTTCCCCCGAAAGATACGGATCTTGTTCCCCTTCTTCATTGACAGAAGCGGTTTCAACTACAGGTCGCGAAGGGCCTGGACTGATTGAAGCATCATTATCATCGCTGAAGTTGACGGCTGTCCTGGTCTCTTGGCTTTGGTTGAAGCGCCCCTTCTTGATCTCTTCACGAGGAGGTGGCTTGGTATTTTCCTTCTCCTCTTGTCGCGCGGCTTTGGCTAGAGACTTGTTAATATCAAACCCTAGACCGGATCCCCCACCAAAAGTTGATGGCGCGCTACGTCGAACTCTGCTTTTGTCTTGGGACGCTGACGGTTGTGGTTGGGATGATGTTGGCAATGTTAACCCCGTAGAAGAACGAAAAGTCGGTTTCCCGGCTGCTCTCGTGGACTCCTTCACTTTGATCAATCTACTTCTAGTAGCCGAATCACTAATAGAACACATCGTTAGGCTCATCTCTTTTGTCAAAAATATTACCAGGGAGTGTTCGGGTTGGTCCATACAGGAGTTTTGAGCTCGACGTAGCTCGCAGCCCGGTTTGGGAAGGCTCTTCTAATATTTCCTTTTCTACAACTGATGTACCTGTCGTTCGTCGTGATGGATGGATCATGGATGGTGATCGTGACCCCGGATTATCTTCAGGTTGTGGCTCCATCATGCAATGCTCAAAGTTATCATGGAAGTTTTCGAAATCCTGAGCGAGTTGCTTTGAAGCCTCTCGGACCAAACCAATCGAAGGCCTCGACTGAGAAATATGGTCACACGCCTGCTCGAGCCATTCCAAATATTTGTGCTGAAAGTCTTCGTAGGGGTACCTCTTAGTTAACCCGTCGAAGTCTGCAGTAGGAACGCCTTCCACGTTCTCGGTGTAAGTTCTAAGCAGAGTGATATGATCCATAAGATCCTTCCGGAAAGTTTCTTTAAGCCCCTCCGCACTACCATCTTCTGAACTCCACCCTGTAAGCTTTTCTTCCTTTAGTTTCTGCTTGAAGACGGAGGTCCGCTCGAAGGGCAGGTTTTCTGGCGGCATATTGACGCAGAAGACACCTAAAAGAATTTGGTCGGGCCAATTGGTGGTTCCTTCTTCACGAACCTCGTGCTGCATGCCTATACCGCGGATGTATAGTTGTGTGCGTAGCTCTTTCACGAGCTCAAAGTTTGCAGCATCGTGAACACCGTCAAAACAGTCAGCGAGAACAAGGGCCCTACTCCAAGATCCGAGAGAAAAATAGGTCGGAGGATTGGGGTGTAAAGCCATAACAGAAAAAGCGGCCAAGTTGGCCTTTCGAAGGATTGGATCAAAGATTTTATCGAGACCATTTTCGTACTTGTCAATCTCAAATATAGAGGCGATTCTGCGAGGATTGATAAGGCGATCCTCGGAGGGAACATAGAAGGCCATAACCTCTCCCAGGGTTTCCGAGTCCAAACGGCTCCCATCGGTATTGTTGAGGAAGTAGTTGAGGACATTGGTAGCAGCATCATCCAGGTATTCGATATTGGCCAATAGCAAGGAGGGATCAGGGCGACACTGAGAGGATTTACCATCATCATAAGTCGACGTCCCATCATCGCCATTTTCCTTAAAGTGGCCAGCATCGTTGCTTCCTTCCTCTTCTTGACTACCACTTCCCTGACTGCCTTCTTGGGTATTGTAGTCGGCTTGAAGATTTATATCTATTGATATCCACAGATAAGCTTCAGAAACGTGGTAACTTGTCATTTAAGTAGCCATACCTTCTCCCTTCCCTTCCCTAGCCTCTTCATTTTCTTCATCTTCACCTTCACCTTCACCTTCATCTTCACCTTCACCTTCACCTTCACCTTCACCTTCACCTTCACCTTCACCTTCACCTTCACCTTCACCTTCATCTTCACCTTCACCTTCATCTTCATCTTCTTCGGCTCCGTTTTCTAATTGTTGTAAACGCGCCTCGACTTCTCCATCGACTTCTCCATCGACTTCTCCATCGACTTCTCCATCGACTTCTCCATCGACCTCTCCCTCGACCTCCTCCTCCTCCTCCTTTCCCTCCTCATTCTCCTGCTCTTCTTCTTCCTCAGTATCGTCGATGACAAGCAATTCCTTAGGAGGTGGTGGAGGCGGACTTCGTTGAAGTCTAGTTCTGGTAGCAGTAGGAGAACCTCTGGGAATCTCAGGCGATGGCAGCTTCTGGTAACCAGCTTTTCGAGCCATCGTCAAAGCATCGGTAGATAAGTTCTAATTTTAATTTTATTCCGTATATAGAAGGAGGAATGCGGTATGCAGGGGGGGGTGTAGTGTATTAGTGGTGACGGTAGTGGCGGTGGAAAGCAACTGTTGATTTGATGTGATCTGATTGATATTGTTGATGATTTGATCGAAATCAGGTGGGATGAAATGATGGCGGAAAGAGGGTTAGGTTTTTGGGGTCTGGCAGAAGTAGGTTTAGTTAGGGTGGGAAATAAACAAAAAACAACGCGCTTTCATCCAGTTTCGGTTGCTGCGACCGACCGACCGAGCTGGAGCTTCAGTGTTCAGTAACCGGATGCATCATCAATTATGACGCCAAACAGGGATATGATCATCGTGATAAGATAATCATCAAAACCACCATCTCGCTCAATTGCAAGGCTACCCTCTACGTGCCAGTAGCTACGATGTCCTGTTAACGTAATTAGCTTACCCTCTGCCTGCACCTGTTTTAATAATTAAGTACATATCATATCCAGCTAAGATAAAAGATATAACTACTAGTATAACTGACTGCTCCAAGACAATCAAACTGGTACAAACAGACGCCAAGCCATCGGTCGGATTCGAGAACCCTGACCCTGCATGGCCTTGCATCTCTGCACAGCTACACCCTGACAATCCACAGCACTAGTCTAGCTGCTCTGACCGTTGGTCCAAAATTTAAAAAAAACAACTCCAACATGCCATGCCGTACTTCCTTCTCTTCCTTCTAGACTCTCTATCAAAGGCTGGGGTAAATTCATAAAATCCATTCTAGTCGGGAAGCTCATACATGTGTGTATGTACTTACTACTTAGTTACATACATGTACACTTAGGTTTGCCTTCCCTCTCCTTCTTTCACCTCCTTCCCCCATGATCACTTCCATATTTCTTCTTCTTCTTCTTCTTCTTCTTTTTTCTAAAACAAAATAGTCTTTGACTCTTAACCTTCTTACTAACACCTTCGATAGAATAACTCGGTTACCACTTCAACATAATCGAATCCAATTAGAAATAATCTCAAACCACAATGACCGTCTCCGACGACGACACCGACCATGACCTCCTCGACTTTATGCGCAAAGCCATGGGTCTAACCGCCAACCCCACCACTTCCAAACCCGAACCGGACACGGGCGTCCTCAAAAGTGCCGAATACATCTACGACAACGCCATAGATGTTGCTCTGGACATGCGATCCTGCAAAGAAGCCGCCGAAACAATAATAAAATGCATGGAAGCAGAAAACTTTGGAACCCAAACGTGGGATTCTCATATCCTTCACCCTCACACTAAGGATGAAGAACAAGTGGACTTTATATTTGTTATGGATTTGCTCAATTTCTCGTTTTGGGCCGATGATCCGAAGAAACCGTTTGTGGTGGAGTATAATGGAAGGAATGAGGATGGGTATTGGAGTTTGGTGGCTTCGTTGAGGAGAGCTTTGGATGAGGGGATACCGATTACTAGTCCTTATTTCTGGGTGGATAGGACGGTCTGTACGGATGCACTCCTCGAACGTTTATTCAGACCGTCAACGGGGACACAGATCCCGATGTTGGCGGAAAGGATAGAATGTCTCCGTGAAGCGGGAGAGATACTATGCGAGCAATTCAACGGTTCGTTCGTCAATTGCATCAAAGAAGCAGACGGATCCGCAGCCGCTCTCGTCAACCTCGTAGTCGACGAATTCCCCTGCTTCAGAGACGAAACGACCTTCCAAGGCCGTCAAGTAAACTTCTACAAGCGAGCTCAAATCCTCGTAGCCGGTAAAGCTTTAACTCAACTTCCCCCTCCACATTTATAGAACTAGTACTAATTAATGTCAAAAAAAAAAAAATAGACATCTGGGCCTCCTTCAACGGTACCTCCCACGGCACCTTCCACGACATCAACAAAATCACCATGTTCGCCGACTACCGTATCCCCCAAATCCTACATACCCTGGGCTGTCTAATGTACTCCCCACCTCTCGAACACACCATCAAAGACCGAAAACCCATTGCCTCGGGTTCTAGATACGAAACCGAAATAAGAGGATGTACGATCCATTGCGTCGAGTTGATACGTAGGGAGATTGTGAAGAAACATCCGGAGGCGAAAGTTAATGCCATTCTTATTGATTTCTTCTTGTATGATACGGCGAAGGAGTGGGAGGTTCAGGGGAAGGAAATGATTCCTACGCATAGGACGAGGAGTATTTGGTATTAATGGTTTTTTTCTTTTATGAATTTTATGAGATAGACCTTGTTGGGCCTTTAGATTTGATGATCGATTGCTATTTTTATTTTTATTTTTTAGCATGTAATGATATCCAATGCGAATGAAATATCCTTCTTCTCCTTTTAGCAAAGTATTCTTTATTCATTCGACCCCGCTGGCTTAAGAAGTACAGTACTTAGGCATAAGACCTGCCAAAGGTTACATGATAATAGAAAACTGCTTTCCTCCCACCGGTGTTGTAGTATATTGTATAAAAAGTTCCGAAAAGAAAAGACCCCCAAAAAAGATTTAAGAAGAAACAGCTCTCCAGATGCACCGTACTACCAATGTATGCAGGGATACTGTACAAAAAAAAGAGAAGAAGAGAATATGTATAGTCTAATGAGGACAAAAGCTTCCTCCCCCATTCCTGTAGGTAAAAAAATAAAATAAAAATGGTGCATAAACTTTTTTTGTTTTTGACCAAGTCCAAGTCCAGTTCAAGTATTTTTGTTATTTTGTACAGATAGAAGATAAAAAGGAGAAAGATTTATTCAATCATACTCATTTTCTTCGTCGAGTTGTGTTTTCGTCGTGGTATCATGATCACGACTGGCCGGCTAATCTCCACGCTCTCAGTGGTAATGCTACGCCGAAAGTCAGCTCCGTTTCCTCTAACAAAGAAAGGAATATACGAATAAAAGAAAGGATCTTACATTGCAACTTCCCAACCGCTCCTCTGATGAATCCCCAAAACGTAACAGCGCCAAAGATAACACACAGTATATTCGTAATATAGTACCCATCCTTTGCAATCGAACATTTACCACCCATCTCGATACAATGCTTCTTCGCATCCTGTGCGACACACGAGAATGCCTGGGTCAAGACACCGGTGGGATCTTTAAACCCTTCACAATTGGCGACGGTGAATGCATCGACCAATTTTAACACAAACACTCTCGGGAATGTACCACCCAGGTTGGAGACGGTAGCTAATAATGTCATATAGGTACCACCGATCAATGGATCTGAAATCTTTGCGTGGAAGGCGGATACGGCGACAAACATAACTGTGCTGCTGAAGGTTGAAAAGATGTGTTCGGCGATGACGACGAGGAGGTACCAAGTATCTACTACTCCGCTGGGTGGGAAGATAGCAACGGTGATGTGTGCGACAACGGCGGCTAACAGACGGCCGACGAAGGCGTAGCACCAGAGTGTCATGGGTTGGAAGTCGGCACACCATTTACCAGCATAATAACCCAGACCGATTTCGAAAGGGAAGTCGATAAGGACGGTGAGGGCGAGGTCTTCCTGGGAGAAACCAAGATCGAGGAGTTTTAGGTTTGTGACGGCATCGTTGACTTGGAAGCCGATTTTGCAGATTAGGTGGATGATGATGAAGACCTGGATGTCTAGTAACAGGAAAGGATTGTTAATGAGGGGGGTAGTTTCGAAAAAAGGGTTGACAATTGGATCATACTCTTAAGCTTCATGATACCCCACATAGTCTTGTAGACGGATACAAGGCCCTCACGAGTTCTGGTCCGTTCTTCCTTCTTGAGGACGGCAAGTCCGATTGTGACGAGCAGGTAAGACCAACCCCAGAAAGTAAGATAGCTGCTCAAGGTCATCAAACCAACATCCTTAGGTACACTTCGGAACCATCGGTTGGCAAAATCGGCCGAGTTGAAAGCTAGGAAGACGGTGAAGGATAAAAATTGACCGGCTGTTAGTCCGACAGTTTGCGCCGTCGAAGCATAGGAAATGTTTTCCGGTGATATTAAGGTCAGCGCCCAACCTAAACCATAATGTCAGCTTTTTTTTCCCTTTCCATCTATAGTATAGCTAGCACTAACCGTCAACAGCGATGTCTTGAGTCGCAGATAAAAACACCAATCCGAAGAAAGTGGCGGTGAAAGTTCCAATGTTATTTTCGGCATGTTCCATCAAGTTATCGATACGACTACCCAACCACAGCATCATCAAACCGCTACAAGCTTGAATAGGTACAATCCAGCTCTTTCTCCTTCCGAACCTAGTGCTCCAGATAGCGTCGACTATAGGACTCCAAGCGAGCTTCATGGAATAAGGATAGGCGGCCAAGGAGAAGGTACCGATTTGGGCATAGGAGAGTTTCGATTTTAGCAGGAAAGGTACGGAACCGCTGGCGAGACCCATGGGAACACCTTGCAGGAAGTAGAGGAGGACCAGTAGAGCAAAGTTTCTTTGGTCCTGGGGCGACAATCCTGATAAGGATTGAGAAGGTGTATTCGGCGCATGATCGTGGTCCAAGGTGAATTCCTCGCGATCCATGAGATGTTGGGCTTGGGAGGCGCTGCTGGAGCCGTTTTCAAAGGAAGTGGAGTGTTTTTTTCTCAGTTCGACATTGCCGTTGGAGTTCATGGCAGGCGGGGAGGAAGAAAAGGAAGAAGAGTTCGGAGAGAGGGCGGCAGTGGCGCCGAGTTCTATGGAGGTTGCGATGGAGGGGGGTTGCCTGTCCCGGGAGGATTTGGGATTTCGGGCGGTTTTCCGTAGAGAACCAGTCTTGCTCATAGTATTTGGGAGGACTGAAGTATCAGAATCTTGAGGAGCGATATCGTTTGAGGATGATGATGATGAAAAGGTAGGAGAAGGGATGGAATCGGATGAAGTTCTAAAATATTCCGAGTCGCATAAATATTAGTATCACTAAGCTGTAATCTATTATATAATCTATTATATAAGAGCAAAGAATCGAAAGTACTTAAGCACTGACCTATGAATGAGAAGGGGCTGTGTGTCTTCAAGTGTACCAGGAGTCTTAGAAGAAGAAGAAGCAGATGATGATGAAAAGATGGGATTCAGAGGAATCGACATGCAAGATGTAGGTAATAAAAAAAAAGAGATGAAGTTGAGGTTGCAGTTGTGGACGAGTGGCGCTTTGAGTGTCTTTGTGGGTGTGTGGAGGCCAGATTGACAGAAGTGTCTTTGAAGGTGGGATGGTTTGGAGCTAAACAGATGGGCGACCGACGCGAATTTACCACCTTTTCTTTCTTTCTATCGATTAGTCAAATTAAATCAATTGATGGTTATGATATGATATGGATAATAAAATAGAATAGAATAGGATAGAATACTTAAGTAATGAATATCATATTATACAGAGGAGGTTGTCCCATTCCAGAGGTCGAGATCGATCTCGAGAATGAAACCCGGCCAAGACTGGAGGCAGCCCACGCGAGAGTTAGTTTACTCCTGACAGCTTTGCTTTGAACCATGTTCACTTCATGTACGCGACTTGCTATTGCTTTTGACATTCGCGAGATTATGGAAGCTAAGCGTATTGGCGATAAGATACAGATACCCACTGCGATCTAATCTAATCACTTCCCCATCCCCTCTAAACCATAACTATTACCTAGTTAACTACCTACCTCCTACTGCCTAGACTTAGAGGTACTTTAGTATCCATCTCCCATCTGCATCTCTCATCTCTCTCATCTCTCTGAATTCTGCAAAAGTGTTGACCATCAACAACACAACACAGCACAACACAACACAACACAACACACTCCAAAATACAACATCTCCAACACATCTTTCTCATCCATCCATCCATCTTAACTATCTCCAACTTCAACTTCAACTTCAACTTCAACTTCAACTTCAACTTCAACTTCAGCTTCATCACCATCATCACCACTATCACAATGTCGTCCCCTCCACCACTACCTCACAAATTCAATCTATCAGAAGAACCAGATCTCCCCGAACTCCAACAGCAAAGTATATCTCCTTCAATACCAAAATATACATACCACATATTACATTACTAACACAAGCCATAACTATATAACAGTCCACGACCTCACTCAACTCCGAAACTCCTACCAAGCATCCCTCCTCTCCCTCCGCTCCACAAAAACTCTCAAAGACCATCTCTCATCATCATCATCATCCTCTTCTACAACTCCTTCCTCACAAACAAAACCCCCCATCTCCATCTCTCCTTCCCTCCAAATCTCTGATAAAAACCTAAACGACATCCTCCTAGCCCGTTCCGCCGAACTCTCAGCCGACCATCAAGAATGGACTCAAGAAGCCCTCTACCGCATGGCCGGCCTCACCAAATTTACCGTCACAGACCCTTCTGCTTCCTCCTCTTCTCCCTTCAACAACATAACCGGAATCCGTATCGAAGTCATGGCCGACGGTAAATTCGGTACTCCCTACTATTTGTTTTTAAAACCACACGATGACACTCCAAAACCCACATCCGAAAACCCTTCACCCACCGAAACCCCCTCGGAAACCCATCTGATCTTGCACAGACACACCATACCCGCATATTTCATCCAACCTCTAAACGATCTAGCCGAAAAATACCTCCCTCCCCCGCCCCGTATCCAAAACCTAGACCGTTTCGTCAGAGACGTCAGACATTTCCTCGTCCTGCATTATTTTCGCAGAGCCAGTCTATCTCACATCAAAAACGAAGTCTACCAGAATATTCCCCAACTCGATCCAGATAATAATAATGATGATAATGATAATGATAATGATAACAACGATAATATCCCAAACATTTATGTCTCCGAATTCATCATAGATCCCGAAGCAAGACTCGTCGAAATCCATTGGCTCCAGACCAATAACCCTTCAACGAAAAGACTCGCCTATATAGCCCTCACAGAAGAAGGCGGTATCGAGGGCCTCGTCGTCAAACAAGACAACCAAAGAATCCTCCACATGGAAATGCAAATAAAGGGACCCAATTGGCTCAGAGGTGCTACCGACTCCATGGATTGGATTCCGGGTCTCTTCCAAAGACTCCAATGGTCTTCTGCTCCTCCCTCTTCCTCATTCTGAACGAGTACCTAATCACGAAAAAATCATGTATAATATAATCTGTTACATCACCATCACCATCACCATCATCTTACGAACTAGATTCATATCTCCCCAAGTATGGCCATAAGGCCCATCCCATTCTATTTGTATTTGCATCTGTGATTGTGATTTTGATTGTATTTGTATTTGATATTCGCATGCAAGCTACCTAGGTTTTGCTCACGTGTTTTGAGGAGCCTCTAGGGGGGAAGAAGGGGAGATATGAATCTGAGGAGGAATCTGAGGAGGGGGGGGGTACTATTTAGTATTAATCCCCTGCCGCCGCCCCCTCTCTCCCTTCTTGATTTTTACCTTCTTTCCCCTTCGTTCCTTCCCCCCCTAGAGGATCCTAATTATGAATAAGGGCACCAACCTTCAAATAAAGCATACCCTCCCTCGTGATTAAATTTAAATCGAGGAAGGGCTGCTCAATCTGAAGGCTACCCAGGCTAGCATTAGTATTATATGTGAGCATGCTAAATACATGCCTTTTTTAAACAGAAAGGTTAGCTAGCTAGCTAGCATCCCTATAGAACGCCCCGTAAAAGTATGCCAGAGAATAAACCAGCCCAGATAAAAATAAAAAAAGTTTAACAAAGAATTTCCTTTCGAGTTTCCCTCCCTCCCTCCCTCCACTTTTTGTTCGTTTGATTTTGTTTGAAGTCGTAGTTGGTGGAGGGAGGGAAGTTATGAAAAGAAAAGGAAATTCATATGGATACATGAAAAGAAAAAAAGAAAAAGAAGATGAAAGGTGTGGTGATCTGGAAAATGCCGAAGAGTAAAAAAAAATGAAATACCCGTAGACAGTTACCAACCACCAGATGAGGCCTCGCCGCCACCACCTCCCCAGGCGTCACCACCATCAGCAGGAGCAGGAGCAGGAGCTGCAGCGCCACCACCGCTGTCCCAATCGCCGCCAGCTTCCCCAGATTCACCACCTCCAACGGCAGTTTCACCTTCCTCGACATCGGAACTCTCTTCTTCGAACTTCAACCCCTCTTCCTCAGAAGGTCGGTATGGCTCTAAGAAAGATGGAACCTCTTGGCCCATTTCAAGCAATGTCTTGGTGAGCGCTTCGGCAAGATGAGCACCATCCCTATCGTTCCAAAACGTAGTGGCCAAACCCATCGTTCCGATGCGAGCAGTGCGGCCTAAGTCAGAAATTTAGTAAACGCTCATCAACATGAATCAAACCACGGGGACTCTTACCAATACGATGAGTATACTCCTCGATAGTTTTAGGCATGTCGTAGTTGATGACGTGCAGAACGTTGCGAACATCAAGCCCACGAGAAGCAACATCGGTAGCAATGAGAATTGGACACTTTCCGGTACGGAAAGCAATTAAAGCGTCCTCACGCTCACGCTGAGTACGATCACCGTGGATGGAAGTAGTTGGGAGACCCTCTATAGATCATTTTTAAGAGATACTCAACTAAATGCTTAATTTTAGGGATTTGACTTACTGTTCCAAAGGAAATCGTCAAGGCTGTCAGCCTCACGCTTGGAATTGACGAAGATCAAGGTGCGGGCAGCCGGGGACGAGGCCAAAAGATCAAAGATGGCTTGACGCTTCTTGTCAAAGTTGGCGTAGATGATCTAGAAGTATATTAGATGCGTCGAATTTTCGACAGTACTCAGGGTGGTACTCACACGTTGAACAACATTTGGATTGACCGAGCCAATACGCCCAACGTTGATGCGAACATAATCATCGGCAAGGAACTCTTTGGCGAGCTTTCGAACAGACTACCAAAATCATGGTGAGAAAAGCACTGCTTGTGAGAATTGATGGCTATACTTACTGCTGGGAAAGTGGCGCTGAACATCATAATCTGAAGATTTTCATCCTCATTATGATCTATATTATTATATCAGCATCTCTTCCAATAAACGCGGGAATATAAAAACTTACCACCGGAGTGGAGGAGCTTGCGAAGTTGCGGCTCGAAACCCATGTCAAGCATTTCATCAGCTTCATCGATAACCGTATAGCTTGGAAGATAGTTAGTTCATTATCGATAGAGCGTCCAATTCAACTTACCGGACACGACCGAGGGAGATATTGCCTCGATCGATGAAATCTTGAAGTCGACCAGGAGTTCCGACGACGAGGTCACAACCCTTTTCTAATTCAGTACGTTGAGGACGAATGTCGGCCCCTCCATAAACCAAGCAAGGTCTCATGAATGATCTGTAGCAAAACTTGCGGCACTCGAGGAAAATTTGGGTAGCCAGCTCGCGAGTTGGAGCAACGATGAGAACCAAAGGCTCTGCCTTGCGACCGTACCCACCACGATTGCTGCGAGGAGCAGCAAGCGTCTTGATTTTCCCCATCAACTTGGAGATGATGGGGGCAAGGAACGCCGCGGTTTTGCCGGAACCTAACAAAGTTTGTTAGAAATTTATTAAGATAACAAGAGTACTTCAAATCAGATATCCTACCAGTTTGGGCACAAGCGATGAGATCAAATCCCTTGACGATAGTTGGGATACAAGCTCGTTGGATGGGAGTCGGAACAGTGTAGTGAGAGAGCTGAAGATTTTCCATGATGACCGGATGGAGTCCCATCTCTTCGAATCTGTTGAACTTTGGGGGGTCCCAAACTTCTCGATTGACATTGTACCAAGATATTTCGATGGTGCCAATCCTAGGTTCTCATTAGCATACAAAACTGCGAAGCAGCGAATACGGGCAGGAAGAATCAGGCACTTACCCCTGGAAGGCACCATTGACAATCGTTGGAACAGTGAAGTCATCACCGAAAATAATCTTCTCGAGAGTGGCATCACGAGGAGCAATCTCACCGTATTCTTCTTTCCACTCAAATCGTGGAGCTTCCGAGTAGAGAGGAATCTCTACATCTGCAGTACCGGTGGTACCAGGCGCAGGAGCATCACGAGAAAAGTTACCGTAGTTATAAGAGGACTTTTCAGCCCACTCCTTCTCTGTATTTTTTTCGTTGGCCATCTCCTGGAGGACCTTAGTAGAGATTGTGAGATCGGTTTCTGGATCCTGCGGCTTTTCTTCTTGGGATGCCTCGGCAGTGGCACCCCACTGGTCTTCGACTTCGTGGGAGGACATGTTGGCGAATCGTGAAGGGAACTAGACATCTAGTTAGCCGTCGAACGAAATGCAAGATCAAGAGATACCAACGGCTAGGAGAATGAAGTGAAATCAAAGCAGGGATTGGAGCAGGAACTATGCACTGGGAAGCCAGATCCAGGATGTGAAGAAAGGAAAACGAGAGAAGAAGATGGAGAGAGAATAATACTGATGGAGGTGATACAGGAGAGGATCGATGGAGAACACAGAAGAAGTTCTTGATGAGAATGGTAGGATGAAAAAGAAGACAGGATGAAGGCAAATATATCTATAGATGAAATCGAAGTGACTACAGGAAGGAAATAAGTGAAGGATGGGACAGTGAGAAGGAGAAGAAGGTAGCTTGAAGGAAGATTACGGCTCCAGCAACGATACGGCTCCAGCAACGATACAGCAACACCAGTAGGGGACTTACTTCACAAACAAGTTAGAGACTTGCGAAAGAAAGTACGAGATGTGGATGATCTCGAGAGAGAGTCAGAACTAATCAACAGCCTTTGGAGCTAAAGTTCAGACAAGGGAGAGCGGATGGATATCTGCGAGCAGGAAGAAAGTTAGATGTTGGGGTGAAGGAAGAAGGGAGTGGGGGGGATGACGGGTCCAGGTTGCTTAAATACCCCTCCGGCAGCAGTGAGGGAAACTTTCTCGGCGCTAGTGCTCTGACCTGAAGTAGTAATACTCAGCGGGGTGTTCTACCCTATTGCTCGGCCAGACATCGGCTCCCGTGAGAGCTCTTGCGATGGAAAAGCAGGCAGAAGTCTGCTGTCAAGGGGATCATATTGGGGGGTCCCACAGGGCGGTTACTTGCCTTCTTCCACCAACTTTGAGATCAAGTAGATTTCCCTCTTACCTATTCGCTCAATTTATACGATTGCTGCCATCCTATCTTATTGCATCGGTGGTTGCTTCACCCAGACCTAAAGAGGTACCTATTTAGTGCAAGGCGTAGCCAAATCCAGTAACGTGAATGTTTTCCTATAATACAGTCCCCAAATCTACCTGTCAATACAATATTCCCAGTTCCTATCCTACTTTCCCGATATCAGGTATGTAGGTACTTAAGTATATATGGAGGAACCTCAAGCCGGTGTTATCACCTGAACAGCAAGCTCATAAACCACAAACAAAATCCCACCGCTCACCACCGTCCTCGAGAGCCGCATAACAGTCCCAGTCCAAAATCCAAGAACTCCACCGTCTTGTAGTATCCCTTGGAAAGCCTCTCGGGTAGTAGTGGCTTTAACACACTGGGATCTAGTCTTGATTGTATCAAACGGTTGTGTGGCTATTGTGGTCACGAGGCCAGCAAATGCCCCGTTTGCAAAGCTTACGGCTGAATTTTGTGGGATATTATTCGCCTTTTCGGTATCTTTAATGATACTGTAGCTCCCTAGTCGTAGTGATGTTGTAGACGCTGTCTTTAGCGTGGTCCCGGTCAATCCACGGTACATTCCCTTTAATCCGTCATCTCGAATAATGGAACCGATTGCATTCCATGATGATTTAAATTTCCTATCTCCCTTAGCATCATCAATTAATGCGGTTTTGATCCTCTCTGTTGGCGTGACCGCGAACACGCTAGCTGTAATACCAGCGCTCATTCCTGCAAGCAAGCTCCTAGCTGGGGAGAGTCGCCCAGTATCTTTATCGTTGAACGTATTTTTGATAGTATCGAAAGATACGAACCGAACTGCATCTTTAGCAATGCTCCCAACAATCAAGGCACTACAACCTTTGTACAGCGCTCGACCACCCTCCCTCTTAATGGTATCCGACACAATCAGGTAAGGATTTCGAGGTAATGGTTGGCCAGCATTGAGCTTTAGTTGTGCTCGTGTTTTAGCATATTCGAATGGGTATGTGATAAAGGCCTCTACGCCACCTGCTATACCGCCTGCTACAAAGGAAACAACTGGAGGCGGTGCTTGGCCAGGCTTTGATTCTGACATCTTTGGATTAGAAATAGTTTAGCCTATACTTCCACATATATGTGTGCATGTGGAAACCAACCAAGATATGACCTTAAGTTAAGTTGTGTTGGCGAGAAAATGCAACAGTGTGTTATTCTGAATGTAATGTACGAGGTATACGATCAATGAACATTAGTGAACTTGATGGAACAATTAATATAATTGACAAGGATGGAGAAGGTTACTACGAAATCTCTAGAAGAGGTTTGGTTCTTGTTAAAGAGGGTGTTCAGGGAGAGAGAGACATCTTGTTTCCCCACTCCTACAATTTTTCCTTTCTGTTTTTCATAGATATAGAGATGCCTTGATGCAAGTTCTGGATACAAGTGTGACGTAACAGTGCGCATTGGATACATCGAGAAGTCTGCCAAGTTGAGAAAGCACAATAAAATCTTCGAGATAGGTAAAACTGTTCTAAGATATCGAACAAATATTGTAGATTGAACAAAGAAGAAAAAAGTGAATGAAATAGAGTAGATAGGGAATGCGGACGTGGCGTGCAACGCCAGGTGGCCGACTGCTTGCAGTCAAAGTTATATGGGTCAAAATCAAAAATAAAATGTCTCCGTAACGCCTGTGGCTCCAAATTCAAATATCTGCCTCCAACAAATGAAAACTCTGGTATATGCGAAAGAAATTGCAGTAGTAAGCCATGAAAACATTGAAGACAAATGCATAAAAAAAATATATAAAAAAACCGATAGGGATGTGCCGAAATAAATAAGAGCAACATGAAAAGGAGGGTATGTTTTGTGACATTATTATGGAAGTTCCATTGATAGGAGTTCGTCTTCCAGGAGCTTTGCATCTTCATCGCTAAATACGATTGTTTTATAAACGCTTTCCACAGGTGCGTAGTCCAAGCCGGTGGCCATCTTTCTCCACTCAATCATGCGAGCGAGGACGTTACGCTGTTCTGTAATAAAGCCCGTCTTTCTTTCTAAAAGCTCGAGTTCCACCACTCGTTCCTCAAGTCTCTGACCTGCACGGAGCTTATCTAGGGCTTTCGAATGGCGGAATTTGAGAGCAGTGTGTTCAGTGTCCCACTTTCCCTTCATTCGGAGCATGCTTTCGCGGTGTCCGCGGCAGAGGGCAACGAATTTACCCTCGTGCTCATCGCTTGCTTTGACTTGCTCAAGAGTCATCCCGAGCTTCTGGCAGAACTCCGCTTCTTCCACCTTAGCTTGTTGGGAGAGCTCGAGGGTTTGATCCTCTAATTCGCTATTGTGGGTGAGGAATTCGCCCACATGGGCGAGCTGGAGATCGGTCATCTCTTCGTAGTGTCGCTGTCTAAGTTTAAACAGAACGGTTCCCGAATAGGTGTTAAAGGTTTCTTGTTCCTCTTTTTGAGTTCGAAAGAGGGCCTTGAGTCGCAAGTCTTCTTCAGTTCTGAGGATCTGTTCTTCGGCGAGTTGTTTGGCTTCTTGCTCCTGTCGGAGTCTCTCCTGGGCTTCCGGATCATTAGCAATAGCAGCCTCCGCTTCCAACCTGGCCTGCTCCGCTTCATTGATTTCATTAACGAGGTTTTGGATATCATCATCGTCCGTCTGTGTGCACCCAGTTGGACAGCCGTATTCAAACGACCATGGGTTTCCGCACATATAACAAAACTCGGCACCACATCGACAGGTCATATGATTACAGCCATAGTTCAGCTCAATCATAGCCCTGCACCGATAGCATCTCTTCCATCCATTATCTTTGCTCAGACCGATGACGGCATTCAATCCAAGATCCTACAAAACCAAGTTAGTTTTCTCTACATCATTCAATATTTGTTCAAACCAAATTTTATCGTACCTCAGGGCAGTCCTCCGTATGCTTATGGGCTTTCCCTTTACAAATACGGCAAGCCCTTGTCCCACACTTCTGACAAGTTCCAACAAGAGGGTGATGTTGGTCCTTTCGGGGGTGATACGGGATGAAGGCACCGCACTTCTGCTTTGGGCAGAACAATCTCTTCTCGACAATGGTGTCATATTCGATGATTTTCCGAGAAAATTTCACCTTGTCCTCGTCGGTCTTGAGAACTCGCTTGATGACATTTGGTCGGACCCTAACACTACAGCACTTGGGAGGCATTGTGTTCTCCTGCTGAGAGGCGGTCATGACCATGACGTTTAAACATTCTTCGCAATACCTGTGGTCGCAATCCAGAGTAACAATTTCCGTTACGGGGAACATGTCGGTGCAAGAAACGCATTCCCTATACATAAAAGTTAGAACGTGGTGAATTGGGGGGGGCTAGAGTGTATTGGTTACGAACCTTTTGGTAGACCCCGGCGTCTTGAAGTAAGGCTCGCGAGCCCTTGCGTACACCTTCCCGGCAACCGTCGAACGGTCCGGTTGCTGGAGCTCGAACTTGAACTTTTCAATGAAGCCCCTAGCGTTGACATCCCGGTATTCATCGTATAGGAAATATGGCGAGGTGGACCAAGGTTCCTCTCCAAAGACAGACTTCCTGACCGAAGCAGAAGCTTTCCCCGGGGCAAGTCGGACACTCCAGAGCGCCCTCTTGATTTTGTCCCTCCTACTCAAATACCTACGAGGCGGAGGGGGGTAGTCATGGATGAGTCCATCAACCCATGGGCGGTCAGGGTCCTGATATGAAGCGTCTGAATCGGAAGAAGAGGTCGAGGCCCGTGAAGCTGGCCTCTGGATTTCTTCCGTGCTCCCCTCCACATTTTCCTCTACATTTTCCTCTACATTCTCCTCTGACTTCTCCTCTGCCTTTTCTTCTGGTTTCCCTTCTTCCTCTAGTCCATTTGCCTCTGGAACCAAACCTGCCGATCCAATTTCTTCTTCCTTAGATTCTGTCGAACTGGTTTCATCATGTCGAAGCTTTGCCGCAAGGCCAGCCTCTAGAGTTTCGGGAGGCACAGTTAGAACGGTATCTTGTGTGTGCCTCTTTGACGAACTAGCCTCCGCTGAAGCGACCGAAGATGCCGAAGCCGATAGAGCACCAAGGACATTAATGCTCGAGTTCGTACTTGCGGTGCCTGGTCTGGCTTCTAATTTTGTGATTGTGAACTGGATGGCGAGTAGTTCCTGCAACACATCGTTGTATTTGGCTTTGGATTGTGAGTAAGGGCCTGTAACCAAATCCTCCTCGTTTTCTCCAAGCTGGGCTTCGGAAATAAACTTGTCGAGAACTTGTTGCTTATAAAGTTCCCAATCCAGTTCTCTCGGAAGCGGCTGTTTACCAAGTTTTAAAGCCTCGATGTTACCAGCTGTTGAGGAGGAACTTGCGCTTGCACTTGCAGACGACATGCTTTCAGGTGCAGACATGGGGCGTCCGATAGGGCGGGGAACAGAGTACGGAATCAACATCCTCAAACTAACGACAATGGTAGTAAAAAGTATGGATCGGGTTTAAAAGAGAACGCTTTCGCGTTCGGTAGATGGGCTGGCTACTTAAGAAAGGATCCCGCTTGCTTTGAAAGAACTACTAGTTCCGTAGGTAGTCAGCGGCTGGGATTCTTTGACCTATAACCAGGTAGGATCTCCGTTTGGTCTGTTGGTGACTTCGACTTGGCTTGCAGGTATCCAAAGGTTCTAAGCGAAACACCCAACGTTGCTTCCCTGTGTCGGACGGACGGCGGAGACTAAAAAGAATTGACTTGGGAGAGACCAGAAATGCAAGGTGATGACGCCGAATCCTAGTTATTTATTATGCGCAGCTGGAAGTTCAAAGCTCAGAGTTCAAAGGCCAGATTTTGGAGTTAATATTTGGCTGGATCAGTGAGTCGTAAGCCATCTCAAAGACGCATCTCCCATGTTTACACACAAACGTCCCGAAACTCGTTCACACGAGGCTGATCGACAGCCTCCCCGCTTGGGCTATCTGGGATCGCGGCTTAGTCAAGCCTCCCCACGAAATGAGTCTAATCCTCATTTAGGCCTCAAATTGTGAAGAACTAAGTGAAAAAAGGAAGTGGCAGGGATGACTTAGGCGAGAATACACTCAAGCCCACGGCCCATGGCGAAGTGCCTGGAGAAAGCCTGGGTCGAAAAAGTATGCAGCGGCGCTATCGTTGGGCTGTCCAGACGGCTGAGCCCCGTTCGGTTTGAAGGGAACTGAAATCACGACCAATCATGCCAACTCTTCTCTTCCTTTTTTTCTTTCCTTCAAGATTTCAAAAGAAAGAGGGTTTCGAAACTTTGAAGATTTGGGCAACGGGAACCCGAGAATAACAAATCTATGATTCACCTTGCAAGGTCTTGAGTGGATTTAAAAAACTTTCTGGCATTGATGATCTCAACTTGGCCTGATTTTCCCGCGAACCGGCACGGAACAAATGGACTTTCTGTATCCCTAACCGAGTTGGTGACCACGACAATCGCAAGGTCAAAATCTGCCATGTTTATTAAAGAAGGGTTGAGAGCACATGGAGGAAAATACCGATATCAGCAAGAAGTTCGAGCTCCCGTTCCACAGCCCTTGTGGATGCCGGATGGTGACACGTGTGTTCGGAATATTCGTCTCTAAGCGTATCGGTCGAGACACAAATTGCACATAAACCCAGATCCCAGAATTCGAAGTCCGAAATGAAATATGGATTCGAGAAGGATGGTGTATGTTCACGGGTATTCGACCGACAATATTCGCAGACCTGGTATTTTCCGGACACAATATCGATATGTATCCCTGTACTTACGTCCTGCACAGGACGTGTTACCGACGAATCGAATGGCTAGCGATAATCAGTCTATCACCAATCAGCCAATATTCAAACCCGATGCACAAAGGTTGTTCCGGTATCTCTAAAAGCAAACGGCTTTTTGAAGACGTTCAATGCACGAAGGTGGGTCGGTGGGTCGGTGGGTCGTTTGGTTCTGTGGAGTCGAACATGCACTTGGCACACTACACTCCATTCCTCGCAGCCCGCAGCCCACAACACATCGACCGATGCAAGGCTCAAGTATTTCGAGTATTAATTGACGTATTTCAAACACTAAGCATCGTTAAAACTGAAGTTAGTGGATTCTGCTGAAGGATTGGGCTAATCTTGGTGGAGAGGCTAGGCTACATAGGATACAAGCTTCCAAGGTCGGGCTTGCACTTGAGAGTGGATCCCCATTGAACGATCTTGCGGGTTGGTAATAGTTGTAGTTGACCCGAGATTGCGGTATTGATCAAGGCTAACGCACATCACGTAGTAGACATATAATAAGACCAAAAAATATAAAAAGTCTAACTTACAGTAATGCCTTCCCTAAAGTCCGTGTATCAATATCAAAAAACTGGCGACAAAGGAGAGGTGGGTTATCCAGCAAGGAGGCGATTAGGCGTAGACGGCCCACAGCTCAGGAGGTTGATACTGTCTCGTTACATCGGGTTTTCTTTAGGCACAAGTCCCATCCGACTAGGTCTCGAGATAGAGATTCCACTCGAGAGGGTACCAGGACGAAAACCCCGTTAGCCGACGGCTGAAAGGTCTTGAGTAGCGCGGACTTTGTATCGAGGGTGCATTACTCGACGAGACGCAGTTGGATTCACCACTATGCAAGGTTGCATGCGGTATTCGATCTCATTCTCTCAAGCCATTGACCATGATTGATCCATGCGGTATCATTTCGGAACAAGGAGAACGCTAAATATGAGGTCTACCAGATCTGAATTCCGAGCTTCGTTCTAGGTCGTATTGAAATTTGAAATATGATGCCTGTTGTGTTTTAGTGTCGATATTCGAAAGAAAGGCTCGAGCGGAGTGTACATCTGAGTACAAATTCAGCTGATCCATGTACCGATCATTAATTGACTAGGCAAGATTAATCAATACCGGTACCTCATGGCCACACAGATACAAATACGCCGGCGCTGCGGAGGTGTAATGGTTGCTAGTCAGTCGCATAATATATCAAGCCGGGTATCTGAAATTGTCAATAACTACAGCCATACCTCTCTTACCCTACATAGTCACCTAGGTAAAAATCGAATGCCTAGCCAGAAGGAAGAAGTTCGGCCAGGGATCCTGAGGCCTTTGGATTAGCGTCGCACTTAGCTCTCCCCTATAATAATTAGTACTCTCGAAAATGCAACTTACGCGAGGAATTGATCACCGGAACCACAATTGGAGTTTTTAATAAACTTTCTGTGTCACCGAAATCTCCCACGAGTGCTGTGGAGTGACAGACAACCTCATGTCAGGGTCTAATGGGGTATGTGGAGACGCCCGGCCTAACGTTAACGTCCCACCTTTCGCTAGCTTCGAATTCCTGAACGACTTCGCCAGTGTGTTTCACTGCGGCGGCGGCGCGGGAAGAAGCTCAGATCAAGATGACTTGGCCGGTTCCCATCCTGCCGAACCATGGTACATGGGAACCATGGAAGTTTACGTAGCTCGTTCTTATTATGCATGTTCATGTTCGATCTCGTCAAGTTTTGGTCTAGAACGAAACAACAACAACAAAAAAACACTCACACCGACTCGACTCTCGAGCTCTCGTCGACAGCTGTCCAGTACACGTACAGCTGAGCCAACTGATCGATCGATTATCTCCTTAGGCCCATACGCAGGCAAATTCCGTCAAGACAACCTCGCATTTTAAACATCCAATCGGATGGGCTAGCTCATTTCCTAGCATACATACACGTGCAGGGTTTTGCGGAGTCTGGATCGATTTCGACACAGGTTGCAGGATGATTCCCCTCTTTTTCTGGGAGTTTGCGGTCTAGCCCTAGGTCATCAAGTGGCATATCCTGGAATGAGCTGTTGACCCTTGTGATTTCACTACAATATGCAGATTGCTTGCCTGGTTTCCTCTACATTCGATCAAAATAACATCTATATCGAAGAGTTTTTCGACGCTTTTGGAGATATCTAGATCTGGAGAACATGAAAATGTTGGAAGGGGGGCTCTTCTTCATTGTCCGGCGACTAGGCGGAAGCAAGGGAATCGCCAATCTTGCGAAGAGTCAAGGAATCTGTAACAGGCGAGCATACCCTACCTGTGTATCTTGCCTATCTCGCGACACGATTTATCTCGAGTAGGCGAAAAATATTTGAGGGTGGTGAGTTTTCCGGGTCAAGCGTAATTTAAAAGTCTTGACCTGGGCAATTCCAAGCAACCCCGTCCAACCCGCCCCTGTCAATTCTTCCCTTCCTTCCTTCCAACATAAGGCTTCCAAGATACGGTACCTGGGACTACCTTACTCGAAGCGTGGCCGCCAGGATTTGTCCCATGGTACTGCTTCTACTAGCGTATGTAGGTGACCCGAGCATTTTGTCACATATGCGGTACACCCGCCCTTGTCTGAGGATGCGATATGTTGATTGGCGTGCTTTCACTCTGCCGCCAGCAATAAAACTAGGCAATCGGGGGCGACGCTACTAGTTCTCTTCATTGCAACCGTTCGGAATGATACAATATCAATTTGCCATTGCTCTGGCAAGCTGGATTGCAGTAGATTGCTCTAGGTTAGCTTCGGCAGCTAGCTAGCTTTAGTATCCCAAAATACGATATCAATTCTTGTTTCCAGCGTCAGCTTGCATGACTTCACCGAGTCAGAGGTGTAAGCCAGACTATCTTTTTTTCGATCCAGAGCCCCCATAGAGCCCCCGTGCCCAATCATCAATTGGCAATCGACCAACAATTGAATTCCTGTAAATTATAAATCAACGATGCACACACAAACTCGATCCACTAGCCATATCGAAGTTCAGCTAGCCATGATAAAAGAGATTCTAGTAGCATATCGAGAAAAAAACGGAAACTGCACCATTGCGCGTGAGACGCCCTTGCATTTTTCGGATATCAACAAAACTGGTATCTCAATATTATTATGTCCATCGATCCTGCCGCAAATCTCACCCCACGTATGCACATTTATTATAATATATGCAAGAGAAAGAGGGCGTTCCAAGGTACTGCTCCAAGGAACTAGAGATGCAAAATGCACAAGGGCCTGGAAGCAAGTGGCAATGATAATTTTGAGAACCTGGTAAAATCGAGGAGGAGAATGAAAGAACTCGAGCGATAAATCCTGGGGAATTGCATACCATGGCTCGAAAACATGAAGGGTTATATATCGTCAAGGCCCCGACGACGAAATCAGCCATTTCTTATCCCAGACCATCTGCTATCTATCAAAAAAGAGCAGCAGAAGATTCTTCATACCACCATATTTATATCAAATTTGAATATTTAAATCTCGATTCTCTCTTAAGAAGTCTCATTTTCGGAATATTGCATATAATCCCCATACTCATTGAAGTTTTACATAAATTTCATTCATTGGAACAATTATTTGTTCAGATACCCTTCGAAAGCTTCCTCCCTGCCGAATTCCTTGTCGTCTACATCGCCCATTCCCAATCGGGTAATTGGCTAGATTCAGGTGATTTCGGGCTGAACAGCCAATAAAAGTGTTGAGAACACTTTCAGGATATATACTCCCAATTGTGCCAGTAACATCTGTCTGGGGTTATTCCTTTTGCCTCTGAAGGTTCGAATACAATCTCTAGAGGAAAATTACACGCTTTTTTGTGGTTTTATAATGCCTCGAAAGTCTGGAACGGTGCAACCTAAGCGGGCGGGGAAGAAGTCGGTGATGAGCCGGGAGCAGGTTCTAAAGATGGAGAAGATTGAGAAGATAAGGAGCTCCGCACCCTTACAAATCATGGACGGGCTAAAGGCCCGGAGAGGTCGACCAAAGAGGCAATGGCCCAATCCTATGACCCGGTTGAATCCCTACGAGGATGGTGAGTGTACATTCCACACACACATTAGAGTTCGACTTGTCCCAACACGGTTTGGAGCACCGCTAACATCAAGGGTACCGATAGTTCCGATGGTTGTCAAGCCGCAGGTACGTCTTTTTATATTGATACGATGGAGATTACCCCAGCAGACCCGGTGGAATGGCTGTCTTTGCGTTGATGTCGTATTTTTGAAGTTCCCGTGATGTTTCGCGCCAATATTAACGTTTTCGGCTGTTAACCCCGGTTAGACAACCGCCGAGCCACAGATTGAGCGTAAATCAAAGGGGCCCCTTCCACCGTTGAAGATCGTCATGGAGTCGGCTCCGGGGACGAAACGGTCTAAACGGAATGTTACGGTCACCAAGTTTGACGAGCCTGAAGAAGTGGAGACTGATGCTCTCGGAGAGGCTAGCCTCCTTGCACATGCTGAGGCCGGACTTCCGCATCACGTCCAGGTCCCGCCTGGGTATTCTTATGAAGAGTTCAGACGAGCCTCTAAAAGCCCAAGTGAGGCTCCCTCCGATACCTCGACTCCAAATGGGTCGTACCGTAAGTACCTAACATCATAACATCCATACGATGAGGATATTCGATTAATTAAGATCATCTACACTATGCTATGTTATGATGCTGATTGCAAGGTGTTTCTTCAGCATCTACACCACTGTCGACACATTACCATGCCACCCCGGGACTCATGTCCCCACCAACATTCTACCATTCCCCTTCGGAGCTAAATAGCTCCATGGGTGTGAACGTTTCTTCCATCTCTCTGCCTCCTCTTCTCACGTCCTCGAGCTCGGCACCTCACCCCTGGTTGACTCTCCCGACTCTCCACTATGGCAGGGTTGAGGCCCCACCTTGGCCCTGGGCGCCGGCGGCCTCACATAGCTTCTACCAGAATTCGTATCATTCGGCAGATGGCTACCACTACTAGTGTCCTCAAGGCTATAATACTCAACCTAATATCAACAATCAACGACAACCCTCCTATCCTTCCATTTTGGCCCGTTACCAACGAGTTTGTTCATTTATATTTTTATATCGGTCTTTGCGTGGCGTATGCGTGGCGTATGGTGGAACCTTGTGTCACCATAGCGGTCGATGGTCCGTGTTGTCTGTGGCTGTGGTAGTGGCTGTGATAGTTAAGGCTGGTGCCAACACAGCACTTTAGTTCTAAGGCGTCATGCGGCACAGTGCAGCGACAGCCCAACACGGACGATATCTCTGCTATCTCTGCTACCAGCCAGTGCCAGCGTTTTCGTCTATTTTTTGTCTTTTGCGTCGTTTATTCGCCCAGCCTCGTTAATTATCTTTGATCTTTGCATTGACGCAATGAGCTGTCACCTCATGACCATACTATCTATCTATATCCTTCCTCTTCCCTTTGTTTCTTGCTCCTAGCATGCCTTTTTTTTTTTTTTTTTCTCGAGCTCGTTCGCCCTGGCTAAAGACTCCTGAGGCTGGAATTTCGGTGGAACATTAATTGAAAGGCTGGATGATGCAGCACGGTGCATGATGCATCCAAGGAGATGTCATTGGCGTTGTATATATGGAGTTACATACCTTACTTACCACTAATACCTATTATTACTTACATCTAATGCAGATACGATTTCTCTTTTTTACCAAATATTGTGCACAGGCTGGCCTGATAGCATCTGGGAACTTGGGAAAAAAAAACTTGGTTCAAGAAGGAGCTGAAAGTGGATCTTGCAACTCTCTTCTGCAGGCTATGTCTTGGGACAAGGTTAGGACCTGTTATGGCCTGTTAAGACCTGTTAGGACCTGTTCACAGGAGCCTTTCATCTGCTCGAACAAGAGCTTCGGTTATGAAGCCTAAGCTGCTGATGACCCAAAGCAGAGCTGTGGGTTTTGCACTAGGCTTAATCCCGTAATTGGCCAACTCATCGTCCGCATCACCATCCCTTCGATAATCACAGACGGGGTTCATCCCATTTCGCCTCTTCTCGACTGGAGCCAATTGCCGTCATTCACCCTTTTTTGATGTACTAGATGTTTCGCAGTATGCATGCCGATGCAAAGGAAGGTTTTTTTTTCTCTCTCTCTCTCTCTGTCTCTCTTCCCGCCTTGCTCTCTCATCTCATCACTGCCGCTTGTCTACCTTTTTTTTTTTTTGTTTGTTTAATCTTTCCTATCAAAATTTGGTTCACATCCTTGGCCCTCTTCATTTGGTACTATACTATACGGGTATACCTTCAGAGGGACATAGGGTACTTTATACTACTGCCCGATTGACGTAGACTGCCTTGTCCCTCCTCGAAGCTTAAAATTAATTTATTTTAGATCTAATATAATATACATTGGTCATTAAAATCTTCTTGCGCAATTCATCCCTTCCTTTCCCTTCCTTTCATAAATCTTTTTGATCTTTCTGTTTTGCGACCGACTATAAACTTTTCGACGAATCACGACCAACTGTTGTTTCTCTCCCTCTCTTTCTATATTAATTATTCATCTCTCTTGTACGATACTAAGACCCGGAATTCATATTACGACGGTATCACGATTCCATCTGTGCAGCACAATACCAAAAGGTTTTTTTCTTGTGCAAACGCTAGTACTTCTTTCCGAGGCCAGAGAGAATCCGGACGGCTAGATCAGGATTCCCCAGGTGACAGTGGCTTTTAACTTACGTCTTAGGAAATTTCAATCACAATCACAATCAGGCAATTAGCATCAATTGCCCGTGCCTGTACATACTCCGATAGTTTACGAGGTTAGTTACTTGTTAGTTGTTTCCTTGAATTCGGATTCCTCCATCCCTTTACGTTTACACACGCTTTTCTTCTTCTCTTTCTTTCTTCTCTCCCCGTCGATGCATAAGTAACTTAAGTTATTGGTCTGAATACTTAGCTAACCGGCCGGCGCTTTGGAATTTCGAAAAACAACTAGGGTGTATCGCAAGTAACTACGGCGATATCTAATTACTAAGAAGTTATATCTAATCGATACACGAGTAATTCCACATACTGTGTATTTGCGCGCTGGAACACGGAGCACAATCTCATATCGAAAAGGGCTGAAGGTAAAACCCTGATAGTGAAGCGTGGGAAATAG